TAAACACTACTTCCACTCTCTGGCAATTTTAGAGTAGAATGTCGTATTAATTGTTACAGCTTCATTTTCCAAATTTTAAAATACCAACTTCTAAATCAGAAACAAATATTTCAGTCTCCGTGATAGAGCGACTAACTTTCTAAGTTATCAGACATGAGACGCCATCAGTAATTTCGGGCACGGTGGAGGCAACTTCGCGAAATGCTAAGTAGTTTTAAAAGCGAAATATTTTGTGTTCGTAGTTTCTACGACAAAGAACAACGGAACACAACATCAGTCCTTACAATTTTCGTTTCATCCAAACTTGACTCAATAATTGCTTTTGTAATCGTGGTTAAAACTTACGGATCCTGTTTTTGGTTTCTAAGAATCGAGAATAAAACGACTTCCGTGAAATTTCTTGTTGATTTTCTCGGAAAATGATCAAAATTTCCTTTTTTAGCACCAGCTGTCACAGCAAAATTTATGAATGAAAAACAGCGTGACGGCTTTTCAAGTTTTCCAAGAAAGAGCGTTCACGCCGAAATTAACCGCATGAGGAATTTTATCATAATGGGAAATCATATTGTTTTTTTAATACGCTAGTGTGTATAGAGCCCATCTGGTCTCTTTTTATTTTCGATTCAGAACTCAAAGTTGTGTTGTCTAATTGAGTTTTTATTTTTGAAAACCAACGATAACTGACTCCTTACTTCACTTTACGCCATCCCCACCCCCCACCCCCCACCCCCACCCCCCACCTTACCTTATCTATGCAATATCTCTCGGGCTGGTTACATAAGATCTTAATCTTCTCTACCGCTTTTTCTCGGAATCTTTTATGCTGTCGACAAGAGAATTATTGATTGACGGATTGTTGAAATAACCAATAAGAGTGTGCGAGGCTGTTTGAGAGCAGAAGTCAGGCAAAACGTTTGAAGGCCAGCTGTTCAAGGTTCGTAATCGGAGCTGACTGATTTGTCATATCGCCTGGTCGGTGAACTTTCTATCGATGGCTCTATTGCCATCTGATAATTCTTTTTTAACTAAATAGTAAATAAAAAGAAAAAAACATATATTAGTCGATATGACTTCAAGATGGCGGCGGTAGCGAAACGAGCACGCAGGTTCGTTCTTCCATCGGTAACATCACCTAAACTTGTCAACTTGATACTTGCTCCATTGCGGCTATTTTGATATGACTTTGAAATGGTTCACCTATACAGCACAGAAAGCATGATTGTTCAGCTCCAGAAGCTCCAGAAGTTCCAGAAGCCTTTATTCGCTGTTCTTAAAAACAATACCATAATAGCATTCACAGATCTGCGAATTTCACTTCTAAAGGTTCTCTAAACCCAAAGTTCTTTAATATTCAAATTTCACTGCGTCTTGTGCCATCAACCTTTTTTTTCGTTCGGTAATGTTAAACTAAATCCCGGAATGACTGGCAGGATCAACACCAATGAGCGATCTAACACGAAAACTCCGAAGCGCCGTGAAGACAATTTCACAATAGCTCATTTGAATGCTCGCTCTGTACTATCAAGAACAGGGACCACTTCGCCCTCATCAAGGACTTCGTCATTGCGAATAAGTTTGACATCTTTACCGTTAGCGAGACTTGGCTGGATATTGAGACCGAAATCCCGGGTTATACCATCTTTGGTCTTGATCGTCCAAACAAAGTTGGAGGCGGCGTGTGTGCCTTTGTGAAAAATAATCTCATGGCCGAAAGACTTAGCGATCTGTCACTTATCACTGAATCTGGCCTTCACCTATCATGGCTCAAAGTCCAGGCAGGAAACTGCAATTCATTCCTGATATGCACGGCTTATAGGCCTCCTTCCACGACTACAGACTACTTTCATACGGATTTTAGTGATGTTATTTCTGCTATGTCACTAAATAAACCTATTTTTATCCTAGGCGACCTGAACTGCAACCTACTAAAGTCATCCGATCCTGCATCACAAGCTCTCATCAACGTCTGTTCCTCACATAATTTAACTCAATTGACAAATCTGCCGACAAGGATCACTGAGTCACCTGCAACTTTGATAGACGTCATCCTCGAGTTGAATAAAAACCTAGTAAGAGATACAAAGGTCATACCTGTTTCTCGTAGTGACCACAATTTAGTTTTTGCTGTTCTTAAACTTCGGCGACAACGTCCTACGACGTAACGTCCTAACGACCTGGGTTTCAAGGATTATTAACACCAGGCTTTTCTCCACGATATATCTTAAGTCCCTTGGTCTGACGTCGACCGTTTCGACGACATCGAAGATAGCCTTTATGCCTTCAATCTTTTATTCAAGGAAGTCCTGGATGAACACGCACCTGGAAAAACGATCAAATTATGGAGCCGACCAAACCTGTATTTTACGGACGAGATAAGAGAACCTATGAAAATAAGGGACTATTGACGGAAGTTGGCAAGAAGAACCGGCGATCCACACGCTTGGATCGAATACAGGAATCTTAAACACGAAGTTAAGAGGGGGATTAGACAGGCAGAACGCGAGTCCATGGCAGATCAAGTAAAGAGAAATCCCAAAAATTCTGGCCGAGGAAGTCGCCAAATGCTCTCCAAATTCCCTGACGTACGTTTATCGTTGTTGGGGAAAGATCTTACTATAAACCGATAAAGATCTTGGCGTTACATTTGATCCGAACCTCAATTTTTACGATCACATCCTTAAAACTGTTGCGTCTTGTATGTCCAGCCTTGCTCGAATCAGTCGTGTTAAGCATATGTGTGATAGAAATACTCTAATGACAATAATTAATACCCTCGTATTTAGTAAACTGTTTTATTGTTCATTCGTTTGGTCGAATGCAGCAACTGCACATCTACTTAAGCTTCAAGCTATACAGAACTTCGCCATCCGGATCATCAGCAGCACCAGGAAGTTCGATAACGTGAGCCACATCTTAAAAGATTTACACTTTCTTCCAGTCAAATCGCAGCTATAATATGGCGATGCCGTACTTGCATTCAAATGTATGTCTGGTCTAACACTCAACTAACACTAGAAATTCTTACCTTTTCAACATTCCTCGTTTTAAGAGCGCTACAGGACAGTTTCGTTATGGAACGATTTAGACAATAGTTCTTCTAATCTGTTTTTATCTGTAAAAGAAATTAAGAATTAAACTCTTACGTGAAATTTTAACTTCTTAACATATTGTAATTTTGATTGTAATTTTATAGCGATCGTATTTTAACTTTATTCTACATATTTTAGTTTTAGATGATTAACACCGAAACCCCTCCTGGAGAGTGTTAACAAAGTTTGTATTGCATTGTATTGTAGTAGAAAAGATTCATTTATTGTGTTGTCTGATCGTAAGGTGAGCTGAGAAGTCCTGAGAAGGACAGTTACCGGAAGTGGTGGCTGACACTTCAACAGTCTTCGCGGGAGTCGTCGTTCTAGTCAAGTGAGGAGTTGGCTGTCAGTCGAATGTTGAAAGTCTTGTTCTTGTGTTCCAGGAGCCCATTACTTCCTATGTGTACTGATTAATTGGCTCGATTTTACTTTTGAAGAGAACTACTCACATTCGTTTGACACCTTTGAGCAGATAAGGCCAAGAGAATACTTGTTAATGCTAATCGCTTAGCACCTCATGCTAGCTACAATCTGATTCAATATTAGTCGACCCATCACGTTTGAAGAATACTGTTTCGTTTAATAAATAGGCGTTGCCTCGTGTTGACAGATTTATTCGATGACAAGAATCGTGATTGACATTAATTCAATCGATTGATTTAAAAGCGTTAGATTATTATGTTTTAAATCAGTTTTTCAGCAAAATCAAAGTGAGAAAGAAGTTATTTTGTTATCGTTTTTCTGTCTATAAATCCGCTTACCTGGAGAATCTACTAACCCGTAAAGTGAGACTGTTGTAACGACCCGCCACAGAAGTAAGTTTATATTGAAGTTTTTGAATTTAGTTACAAGATAAAGACTTGATTTGCGTTTGTTCTAATTGCGAATTATAAATGTATTTCTTTTAGATCGAATAATTATTAAAGCTTGGCTTAATATTATACGGTTTGTGGTGGTCATTTGATCTAACCAGTTCCGAGTAAAGAAACAAATACTATTTATGTGTAGAATAACACTCCTGTTTCTACCACATTCAAAATCATTGACAAGACCCCCTCCCCATTAAATGATGCTTGTATGCAGGCAAAAGTCCATGGAATCACGATACCACATTTTTTTCTATAGGAAGGGACAGTTTAACTTAACAAGGCCTAAAGAGATAATATTGAAATAATAAGGGCTTGAGGTAGGTCGTAAGTCGTCGTTGGAGACTTAAAATATTTTAAGTATTGACATCTGAATCCTATGTCAGTGACACACGTCAAGCCGAGTCTTTTGTATGCTTTGGAAAAGGTTCCCTACAGCTTGAATGGTGCTTTTCTCAAAATAATTTGCATTGTGCATAACAGGCACATAATTTTCAAAACAGGCCTTGCCGTCTGATCTCTCATCATATTTTAAAGTTGTTTCTTATTATGTTAAGGTCTAACTTTGTACATTATGCTAAGTAAACCTTTGGGGCTTATTGCTCTGTTATTAGAAAGAGATGCGGAAACCAGCCACTTTGTACATTATGCTAAGTAAACCTTTGGGGCTCATTGCTCTGTTATTAGAAAGAGATGCGGAAACCAGCCATGAAAATTCCTCCAGAATTACAGCGAACGAAGCTTGAGGATCAACACTCTCTAAAAATTACTCATTTTTTTGGAACATGCATTTAATTATATTTCATAACCAGTATATTGTTTTTAAGATATTTTTCAGCAGGCATTCTGTCAAGATGTCGTGATCCGAGATGTTTGATATGAACAACCGTTGGTAATCGTGTTATTTTTTGCGTATGGGTTTGTTTTTCACTGTTTTATAGGTCTCGAATGCATAAGAAAAGTCTGATTCAAGCATGTAGATATATGAGTGGAAAATTCTGCGCGAAAAGAAATTGGTTTCCAAAGGAACGAAGACGCACCTTTGTTTGATTTTAATTTGTGGCTGCCTGGGACTCGTCCTGCGTGGCAGAACTTTAAATTTAGATATCGCTTATGGTGTAGTTCTGTTTCAGAGCCTGGCGAAAATTTACGATATTGCGTTGAAGACTTACAAATATTTTTATCCTTTTTTCTAATTTTTGTTCTGGTGAACACCACGGGGAGTATTTCAGGTTTGACAATGGCTTTTAAAGTCTTACGAATTTTGCTGACTTCTGTCGTTCTCATAACTGCAGTTGTAAATGTTTGGTTTGTTGCTGAAAACTGGAGCATGGAAAACACACCCCCGTGGGAACTAAAAGTTGAAGACAGAGGAAAAAGAAAGATGAATGAAATTGATTCAGACACAAGTTTTGTAGAAGGTGCGTAGACATTGTTGTATAGCTAGCAATTAAAGCAAACGTCTTTTCAAGCTTCGGGAACAAGATGCATATGGAACAGATCGACATTCTGATCTGTAAACGAAAGAAACAAATCGTTTGTGATGTTTCTAAACCGAATCCTATGTTTGATTGAAATATTGATATGTAACACATATCACTGAAGTGTGAAAATTAAAGAGTCGCAGTGTATCGTTACTAATTTGACCTTCTGATACCTATGTACTCTATTTAAGAAATTTTGAAGACCAATATCGAAGACGAGCAATATTTCTTCCGCGTTCAACAGCAATGGTTAAAAATTTATTTCAAATACACTAAGTATCATAAAGTAGGTTGTGGTTTTTCATCAAGGTAAATAACACTTTCAAAAGGGGAGGGATCATCGTTTTTCCCACGATGTGGTCACTTCGAAAGTGAATCGCGACGTCTCGATTGCAAACTGGTAGTCTTTTACGGGCGGTATGGTCGATTAAGTAGCGTATTCAATCGCGTACTTAGTCGACCACATCGCCTGACAAAGACTGGCAGTATGGCAGTATCAACATCGTGATAAAAACGATTGTACTTCAGGCAAACATTGATATGAGCGAGAAAATCTTGTGGAAGGAGTGGAAACAATTCGAGTTTTCAAAGCTTCATTTTTTCTAGAAAATAAAAATGATTTCAGTTTCTAGAAACAGTCAAGTCCAAGACGAGAAGAAAGTGGCATCCTTCGATGTAAACAAATGTTTAAATAATTACAAAGTATAGTGTCCAAAAAATTTGTTTGTAAGAGAAAGTTTTTAATAATTTTTTGATGAGCTCTTCAACACAATCCGATCGGCGCCCTCAAATTTAGACAAGACGAACTTGAGATCATATTACCTTTTGCGATCATAGAGGGTTCAGTTTCATTTACTATTACATTAATGAAAAAAAAACAGGTGTGCTGTAAACCATTTCTTTTAATTGAGAAATGGGATAAGTTTAGTACGTGATGTATTTCGTATATGATAAATGCATAGAATCTGTGCATTCGACTTTTACAGCACCTTGTTTTCGTCAGGGGAATTTGTAAAAAGCATTTCAGATATAATAAAAGAAAAAATGAATTGAATATTCACAATAATATAAGTGAAAAAAAGTTGTGCCGAAACCTTAGGAACCAAATGCGGGTGGTAAACTATGTCAGGCTTGTCAAATGAGTTGTTAATGTGAATGGACCACCGTAAAGTGGTTCTAAAGCTGATGTTTCGAGAATTTGATGTTTTCTCAACTGACGTTTCTTACCGTTCAAGATTTAAGATGCAAAATAGCAAAAATTTTTCTCCTAGTTGTTAGAAAGGTCTGAAGCGTATCGAGGATCAATTTAGGCGAAAATGATGGATTTTAGGGTCGCAGAAATAAACAAACCTCATAATTAATGGTGTAAAAATTAATGCTGACAAGAATTACAGCGACTAAGATCTCGGCGAATTCTCCAAATGTGAGATAATATTGGTAAGGATTAGCGAGACAAATTGAGTGCCATTTCTACCACGAATGGACAAATTTTCCTCCACTGATATTTCTATTTTTCCAATGGAGTGATAGAATCAACAGAAACTAACAAAATATCGCCTTTTCGCAGCAGTTCCAAAATTTTAAATTTTTTTCTCTGAAATGCGGCTTAGAAACAGAAAACAACGTTTTAAGTTAAGACCAACTTCATTACCAGGTTCTGTTTTTTTGTTTTTTTGTTTTTTTTTTTTCACTCAAGAGGAGAGGTCCTAGGAACAAATCTTGGCGCACACGCAGCTTCCAGTCTCCAACAATTCCCCGTGGTGTTTGCCAGAACAAAAATTAGAAAAAAGGATAAAACGTCAGGCATGATGTATTCGCTCAGACAGTAATGGCTAAATCAATGAAATGTCCAGATGTGGTACACTTTTAAATCAAGCTTATTCATATCAGCTAACTCTTTTTTTTTTTTTTTTTCAAACAGATGGTATGGACATTCAAGTTCGTTCGGGCAAAGAGGAGGTGTCGGTTGTTGTTGATGGAAAAGTGGTAAATGTTCATCGCTATAGCTTCATTTAGTTTTTGGTTTTATATTATATGCTGAATTGGACATACATTTTGATTGGTGCGTAGGATCTGTCGGAGGACAGACGCATGGACAAAGTTTTCTTCTCTTAGGTTAAAGAAAAAAAATTGAAAACCAAGAGATTCATTATTGTGGTGCGTCTGTTTAGGAGTAGATCTCAGAAGACTTCAAAATGTGATAGGAAAGTTAGTTATACACTCGGCTGGTCTTCCTGTGGTACTTTTTTGTTCTTACCACATTTTGACGTCATCAGTGATCTATTACTGAACAGACGCAAGGCAGCCAGAAATATATTTCTTTAATTCTGCTCTGTGGTTGACTTTAAAGCTCACACTGTTTTTACTTTGTACTCTTAAGGTATCAGAAATCAAGGATAAAAATGTCCGAGGAATGATAGTGGTTGTTTTAAGCCAAACAACGGGCTCCCTTATGGCTGTTAGAGCGTTTGACACGTATTCATCCAAAGACGAAGGACAAGAACTAATAAAATTTTTCGGTCTACTGCAGGAAGGAAGGATTGTTTGCGTGGCCGTGAAGGCAAGTTGAGTTAAGTTACCACGAGGAACACATAACTTTATTTCAAAAGTATTCCGATTGTCACTGAGGACAACAGATTTCAATTTCTAACTTAATAAAATTTTAAACGCAGATGTATCTAAATACGAGGGGAAATGTACCAACGCCCAAATTAATAAGCCTGCGATAATTATAACTTGTCATGATTGATTTTAAATTCAAGTCGCAATTTTTAGAGATGGGTACATCAGACCAACCCATCTGGAAACGAGGTTGCAATCAGATATTAGTTTGATTGGCATTTGCAAGGAGACTGGGTCTGCAAGGATACGACTCTTGATATATTTCGAACTGTGTAGGACGTCAAATAGTAATATTTTTGCAGCATGCTAATCTTGCACCCAGGACCAACTTCTGTGGTTGATCGTTAGAGATCTGGGTTTAAGGAAAGGTGATGAGATAATACCCAAGATGGTGTGCATTGAAGAGGAGGGTCACTGTGCGACAATAGCAGCAAGCGCAAAGCTATCTAGGAATTACCAGGCCAAATGGGCGGTTATCGAGGCATTTCAATTAAACAGAGGACTTAGAGGAGACAGTTTTAAGAAGCAGAGCGCAAACATAACCAATGCCTTGAATTTCAAACGTATTTACCCTTCAAGTTTATTGGCCCCTTTTTTTAAGACCCTTAGAGATTTGGCTGGAAGTGTCCCTGAAATGTCAAAGGTCTCTTCTACCCAATCCATCCTCTGTATCACTCAGGTAAAAGGGGAGGATTGGAGCGAGGCCAACTCTTGTATCAATTCTCCATTTTTTTTCCACTAAGGATGAAGCAGCGAGCAACTTAGATGGTGACGTTCGAAGCTACATTGAGAAGTTAGGAAGCCGTTATGTAAATGTCCTTGGCTGGCGGGATATGTGGGCGTTTATATTCCAACAGGCTACCAATCAGAGGAAAACATCTGTGGAAAGCCATCAGAGGTCTCCAGATTTTGACAGCTGGGGAAATGATGTCACAATTCGAGCATATCTGAAGCGGGAGACAGGCATGTCCAGTGAATGCAACTGGGAACAAAACGATGCAGGGCGTCGTAGAACAGAATTCTGCCAGAAATTTGAAGGATATGGACGGGTTTGCCACTGTGAGTATTCCATTCAAGTTTAAGTATTTATTTATACTCTTGAGTGGAGGGAAGCACTCGGAAAACTAAATGTTGAGACTGCGTTTCTCCAAATTAATGACTTTTCCTTTTTAAAAAAGGAATTAAAGTGATTGAACGAAAAAAAGCACGTTTGACAATAGTTGCGGCAGTCTTGCTTAAGTTTACCGAGGCGCTCGCACACAAGAGAGAAGACATCACAAAAGCCGTTTATCGGTGAGGCTCTAAACCGATACTTCCAGTAATTCAGTCGAAGCGATTGCGCGTCCTGTCACACTCTTACTCCACGTCGCGTAACTAGATCGTTGAGCTTCGATTCGAAATGACAGTACCTCTTTGATAATCTACTTTAAGGCAACGATCCGGAATCAATCGATTTCTACCCACCTCCTCTTGAAGATGGCAGTCGTCTTGATCTACCAGTGTTGGTTATGGCTGGTAATCGCCCCCACTACCTATTCAGAATGCTCAAGACCCTGCAAAAAGTCCAGGGGCTGAATCCTGCCATGGTAACCGTATTTATTGACGGCTTCTATGAAGAGCCCGCCTCTGTTGCACAGGTGTTTGGTCTGAGGGTAGATCGACATGAAGGTATCAGTAAAAGGAACTCAAGGATTTGCCAGGTAAGCAAAGGTCGAGCTGAGGCCGAGTTTTCAAACCTTGTTTAATATTCAACTGTGTTTATTTCTATGGGGATGACTATGTTTAATTATTCAAAGATAATTTAGGTGTTTCCTTGATGCAGATCTCTATATATTAACTTTCATAACACCCATTTACGCAGTATGACGTGCATGGGAGGTCCCCCCCCCACCCTCTTCTGCTATATCCATCATCAACCACTCTCAGACTGGTGTCCTCGCATAGTGTTCCACAAGGTTGACTGTGCGTTTGTCCCTCCCTTTCCAGCCCTCAGGGGAAGGCTAATCTCGTGATTCCACGGGTGTTTTATACTGCGCACACCTCTCTATCTTATGCCCTCCATGGCTAAACCAAATGCAAGAAGAGAGACGTTAAGACGCGAACCTCAACTTGTATCTTCGGGCACTTGTTGGGGCTTGAGGCCTTTAAGTGTGTTCTCCAACCCTTGTCTGTAAAATCGCACCGTTCGTGCGGAAACTTTTGCACAACGGAGTGGACCTTAGCGATCTCTCCGTGCACGCACCCATTCTGATCGCACCAAGTATAGCTTATTTTTATCTGAACCGTTTTGTATTTACTTACTTCGTATTCAGCATTACAAGAAGTCCATAACAACCTCCTTTGAAAATTTCCCCGACGCCAATTTCCTGATTATTCTTGAGGAAGATCTTGACGTGTCTGTGGACATTCTAAGCTACTTTAAACAGCTTCTCCCGGTCTATGAGAACGACGAAAGTGTTTATTGTATATCAGCTTGGAATGATCAGGTTTGAAAAGCGTAAAATGTACAGTTCAATAGAGATATCTGTGGATTTAGTTAAATTAAATTGGAAGAGGGGTACTAATAAAAGAGGTGCGGTGTTTGTTCACATTGACATGCGTAAGCATATCGCTATGGCAACGATTACAAAAATATTATTTTTGTTGTCTCCTCCGAGACTTATATTGGAATGTCACGCGATCTTCCCCTGAAAGAATCTGTGGCGTCGCTTAACATCCTAAAGAATGGCCGCAAAGGAAAAAGAATTTGTGAACGGGGGATGGGAACGCCTCTTTTAAATGAGGCGGAAAGATTTTGGAATGGTTACACCTGATTGTGAAAATGCATGGCCTACTTTTAAAGCCATTTAAACGACAAAACCGACTGTGTTATGCAAGAAGTGACGATGAAATAACTTGCTTAAAGGTGCACAGGGCTTCGGTACACATGAAAATAGAAAAAAAGTTGATGTAAAGATGATATAGAAAGATCTTTGTATCAATTTTTCGCTGTTACGCAGGGCTATGAGTACACCGTTCATGACCCATCAATGACGTACAGGATTGAAACTATGCCTGGCCTTGGGTGGTGAGTACCATTTGAGCATTGGAAGGATCAAGGGTCAGTGACTGGGTTTCCCTCACTGAGCTGTGAGATCAGTCTTGTAATCTCGAACCAAGCACCCTTTAAGCAAGATACCAAACGATAAAACCAATCGCGACTTAGCTGGGAAAATAAAAATATAGTCTGGCTTGAAATTGGGCCTGGTTTAACCTCCTTAGCCGAGCGTTTTAATTTTTTGACACGCAATGAAGCGATAAAATTATTTGTTAGCACCAAATCGAGAAACGAGCTCGCTAGGGAAGGAGAATAGTAAATCCCGTGGGGAGAGGGGAGGAAGGGACGATGGGTGCCATCGGAAGACACCGTTCTCCTTCTATGAAAATGAATTAGGATTTCTTTTATCAATTTTTAGACTTTTTAATTTTCTTACAGGGTATTGAGTCGCAAACTGTACAAAGGAGAACTAGAACCCAAATGGCCTGCTCCCAATGTGTTCTGGGATTGGGACATGTGGATGAGGACGCCGACGCAGAGGAAGGGCCGAGAGTGCATCATACCGGACATCTCTCGCACTTACCATTTTGGGGCCAAAGGTCTAAACGTGGACCCAGCTATGAACGAAGCTTATTTTAAAAGACATGCGCTTAATAAGGAAATCGGTGTTAGGATCAACGCAGATCTCATGTACAAAGACAACTATGAGAAAGAGATAAATCGATTACTGAGGTAAATGCCATCTACTAATGGACTGAGGGGTGAGCATGACGGGAAAGTATGATCTGACGTGCGGACCAAGCTACCGAGAGACGAATATTTTCCTGCGCGGCCTGACCTAGCTAAAATTCAGTTAGCATTTCAAATAACCACCGCCATTTCACTTTTAAAGTAGAACAAAGGGAAGTATCTCAAAGACCCAATGAGACCCAAAGAAGACACAAGCAAACTTTCTGCTGGTTTTAAGTCATTGTCTGATTGGTGGGTCGCACGAGTTTTTAAGCCAATCAAAGAACGAGGTAGATGAAAACCCACACAATCCTAAATTACCTTCGAATACTCAATTTGAAAAATTTCTCTACATTTGTGGGAAAGACAACCTTATTTTGCTTTGGATCAACTCTTCTCTTTTATCTCGCCAGCCAAGCTGAAGTTCTTAATCACTCAAGGACACCTTGTACAAACCCTAAAGACTTCATACCTGACACTAAAGACAAGATATACGTGTTTTACATCAGGATGGAGAATCCAAAAGACTATACCACATGGATAAACGTTGCCAGATGTTTTAAAATCTGGGACTTGGAGGCCCGTGGATTTCATAAAAGTCTGTGGAGGATGTGGATTAAAGGCAATCATGTTTTATATGTTGGGTGTCCAGCGTCACCTTATTGCAGTCACAAGCCGACTAATGTTGAAGCTATTTACATGCCAAATAAGGAAACGAGACCACCCGATAATAATTTCTTTACCAAATAAGGTTGGAGTTTGAGATTTTATCTTCAGCTGAGTGTATTGAGGACGGAATCAAATGCACATCGATGTAAATGTATCTTAATATCCGTCGGAGTATAAAGCAATTTCTACGTTCAATAACGTTGTTATTCAGTGACTAGGTATCTTGAGATACCAAGGCGGACGAAATTTTTTCACCAAAGCTCTCTTGGCTGTATTTGATTATCACAGACAAGGTTTCATCATCAGTGCCAAGCGCGTGAAAACACACGCGATCTTCCACGTGATCTTCCACGTGATCAAGTTGTGAATGGTTTTAGCTTTGCGTGTGATCGGTTCAGTGGATGACATGCCGCAGTTTTTTTTTAAACCAGTCGCGTTGCCTGGATAGAAAATGAAGCACGAGCAGTTTTGGAAAATTTTTAACACTCACATGAAAATTATTTGAAATGCTTAAATCACTTGAGAATGGATCCAGAACAGTAAATGATCGAGAAGATAACCATATATTTTTTTTCAGATTTGTGCTTAACAAGAAATTGAACCTCAAGAATAAAACATGTTAAGACTTCAATTCAAATACCTTGTTTGCACTATTTCTTTTATAACTTTATGATAAAAACTGATTGTCCTTTTTAACTTATGGTGCTTTTTTCTTTTTTTTTAATTTTCTATTGCACAAATTTACACAAATTCCACATTTCTTGAGAGATTTGGCGATGAATTTTCTAACTCGGAGACCGAGGGCTTTTCATTGACATCTGTCAATAATTTTCTTTTTTGGAGTTTGGGGAGGAGGGAAAAAAACATTTTAACAACCTTGAAAAAGGTGAGAACTCAAAACAGCGCTTAAAACGTCACCTGCACAGTTTAATACATAAAATGATAGAATAATGATAACAGTGATTGATCTTTTCGGCAGTGGAGTTCGGTGAGCCTTCTTTTGCATTCATTTTCTGGGATGGTTCCCAAGCTACAGCAAAGGAAATCGAAAACATTTTTGTTTTATTTTGTGTCTTTACGTCATCGATGAATGCAAATTGTGTCGGCTGTTGGCTTTGTCTACAAAATTATGCACAATCACTTCGCAGGCAAATCAGCAAAGCAACAATGAAGAAAAACATGGCAAAATTAGTCTCAAATTTTACTCGACAGGCATCCCTGCTGGGAGTTGTTTTCAGAATTAGGGGCAAGCTAACAATCGCATCTCTCATTCGAGTGTTATTGTGCGCAGCAGTATGTACTGCCTTTCTTGGAAATATAATATTTCTACTGGAGATGCGTAAAATGAACAGCGAAAGAGAAAAAAATTTCATCGATCGGAAAAATCTTGGCCGAATATCTCTTCGAGATCGTGATGTTGCCGGAAGTAAAATGGAAGAGACCATTAACAAAGGTAAGTCTCTCTGGGTTTGGATAATTTTAAACAAGTTAGTCGCCTCCCTAATGTTTAGATATTTTCTATAGCTGGTAAAAGGCATTTCTGTGGGAGGTCGTGTTTTAAATATATATTGTGCGCATAATTGTGCTCATATTTGCTGTGTCAAAGTTCGGTGGAAATTTTATAAAAATGTTAAAACTGGAAAAAGGACCATCTATCACGAGCAAGTCTCTTAAAAGTCGCCAAGTTTAGCTCATGATCTAGCGGTTTAGGGTTGAAATCTGGGATGGATTATTATGTTGTCTTCTTGGGAAAAAAACACTTCTTTCACAATTCCTCTTTCCACTAAAGGGTGTACTGTGAGTGGATACCAGAGACAAAGCAACGAAAATTTCTATCAATCTTAAACTACTGATGATTCTATGTCAGCCTGTTTATAGCAAGAGACACTATTCTCGGTCCTTTCTTCATAGGGAACGCCTTGCACGAAATTTTTAGTTGGGAAAACGGTATGAGTTACTTGATGAAAGTGAGTAAGAATTATATCGATGAAAAGCTTAGTGTTTCATTGGGTAAACATTCCTGAGATAAGTCCCAACCAGTCAGCAGTCTCCCGCTAGAATAGCGTGTATCGTCTATGAACGTACCACCTTTTCTAAATAAAACTGTCGTGTGGTTCTTGTTTGATGCATAGGATATTTAGATATAGAAGTTTACTCCAGCAAAGAAAACGCCTCTGTGGTAGTGAATGGAAAAATAGTAAGTATGTATTGGAAACTGGTAAGTACGTAAGTGACAATGGTTCTCTTTTTTAACGGTTATAACCACTTTTTGAATCGAATGCTACGACTCACATGAAGAGAATATTGCTACTGTGTCAGGGAATATAGGCCTAAGCCATATTCATACATGGCGGCCACGCGGAACGGCCTGGTTTCGAAGACGTTCAGAGCAACCCTTGACGCCGCCATATCTCTTAGCGGCTAAGTAGTCAGCGTGCCGGGATCAAGATTGAAGAGTCTGAGCTCAAGCTTTGGCTTGGCCGTTGTGCAAGATACTTTTCTCCCATCAGTGTTACTCCTCATGAAAGGCCTGGGCACCAATTAATCGTCAGTGCCTCTCCATCGTGCCACCATCTTGAAAATAACCCAGTAAACTGGCTGTGCATGAATGACGTCCCAACATGCGCGCTTCACAAGCAGCTGAGGCATCAGTTACCACAAAAATTACAAAAACTAAGTTATTCAGTCAAGAATGCCTTTCTGTGTAACTTTAAATTGTTCAACTCTTCGACCACAAAGAGTGACTAATATCTAATTTCCTCTGACAACACCATCCCTAAATCGTACATTATGGTCACGAGAATCAAGGAAATAATCACCAACTAAAGAGGCTCTTGATAAATAGCAAAATTCTCCTTGTTAGCATCTTAGGAAGTGTAGAAAGAGCAGTATGGAGAATATGCATACTGATCATGATATCAGGGTGTAGAGGGTTCGACTTACCTCGACGTAGCTGAGTGCTCTTTTCATTTGAGGTTTATCAAGAGCTGAATCGTCTTGGAATGAACGTTGTGGTTCTTAATCAAAACACTGGAGCGGTTACAGCTCGAAGGAGATTTGATACGTATTCAACAAACCAGGAATCTACAGAAATGATGGAATTCATCGGCGGTCTGCCAGATGGACGAATACTCTGTCTGACAGTTAAGGTATTTCTTAACGTAACCACAGATACTTTCTTCTTATCAATTTGTTCATCGATGTGGGTGAAAAAATCGAGGTGATTCTATGTGTAATCAAAACGAAATCTCGAACATGATTGGTTATCACCAGCCCGATTTGAGCACTAATATGACAGTGTACGCATCATGCTTGTGGTTGGACAGTGTAATAGGACAGTTAAAGGGACAATTGACCCGTTATACCGGTGTAAGTGGACCAAATCTGTCTGTAATCATGCTCGTGATTAACAACTCGGACTCCCACTTCGTGGTCGTTCGATTTTGTTAATCACCCATGTGATTACAGATCGAATTTACCTCCACTCGGTCCTATCGCCATTATTAAAAAAAAGAAAGTATCTCTTTCAAATATTTTCTCAACAGGACGAAGCCACAATAAGTCTGTTGGCATCCGCTCGGAGCTACCTCCAAAGCCGTGGTAGCAGCTACATACAACAGCTACAATGGCGTGATATGTGGGCTTTCGTTACACAACATGTAAACAATAAAAACATGGTGTACGCTGAAGGATATCAGCAATCACCGAGTAACGATGAGTGGGCGACTCCTGTCAGAATCCACACTACAGTTCCGATCTCAGAGCAAAGTACCGTGGATTGCCAATGGATCAAAAATGATGACAACCGCCGAAGGAAAGAGTTTTGCGATAAGTTTGATGGCTACGAAAAAATTTGTAAATGTAAGGGTCTACACTGCGAAGACTGATTACCAGAAACACGTACATGAAAGTGACTAATCCAATTACAAGAAAAGAGCAGTGAATTTCATTCAAATACTTCCTCATCTATGGTTACTGCGAACTTAATCAGTGATTGGCAGAATTGAACTGATTGCTGTAATTCTTGTTGTTGACTACAATTCTTCAAATTCTGTTGCATACATTAAGAATAATTACCAGCATAGATTTTTTGTATCAATATTTGCACGCAATCACCATGGAGGGGGGGGAGGGACATTATTAAATTAATAATTATTATCATCATTAAAATTACAACTGCCAATGAGAGGGGATCGTTAGAATATTACAAAGCCTTATGCGTGGGATCGGGTTAATTTCATTGTAACACAACCAAAATCCTCCAACCATCCCTTCCCCCCCTCCCACCACTTCCCCCGACGATGATTAATGATTAGTCCCTCAGCATCACGTTTCCGCCTCGAAAGAAGTTTTTTCTTTCGTTTTCTTTCACAGGCGAGAATCCAGAACAGTTAGCTTTTGAGCCGCCCCTACCACCAGATGGCAGCCGAATCAACCTTCCACTGCTGATCATGGCTAGTAACCGCCCTTATTACCTGTACAGAATGCTTAAGACGTTACGACAGGTCCAAGGGTTGAATCATACCATGGTGACAGTGTTTATTGATGGATTCTTCGAGGAACCTGCTTTACTTGCTGGTTTGTATGGGCTGAATGTCGATCAACAAGCGGGAGTCAGTGAACGAAGAGCAAGGATCTCGCAGGTAAAAAGCATAGCTTTATGATTGGTTTAAAAAAGCTTTTGCCGCCTTCTCAACCAATCAGATGCAAAGGTGAAGTCAATCCCGATGTGGTCACGTGCATTTTCCCGCGCTTGGCTTTCTGAAATTCGATCTCTGTAGGTTTGGTAATAGAAGTCTTGATTAATTGAAAATGGTGCCCTTCTCTAAGCGACTTTGTTCCTCGAAAAAGTCATCCACGCACATGAGAGAGTTAGAATCCCACACGTCCAAGCGCTCCCTCAAGTTTCACCTTCATTCTTTTTCTCAGCATTACAAAAGATCACTTACGGCCTCTTTTGCTCGTCATGCTGATGCTAGCGTTGTGGTCATCCTCGAGGAAGATCTTGATGTATCTCCAGATATTCTCACGTTTTTCAATCAGTTACTCCCGGTCTTGGAAAACGATGACAGTCTTTACTGTATATCAGCTTGGAATGATCAGGTAAATAACTCCGATATCACATTAATTTGTGTGTGTGGCCAAAGTTTAACAAACAAATGGTGAAGTTTGATCGTTCGGATGAGTATAGTCCTGAGAAGGACTGTTATCAGGAGTGGTGACTGACGTTTAGACAACCTGAAAGGAAGACGTCATCAAAGTCAGGTGAATAGATGCTGTCAGTCGAATTTTCTAAGTCCAGGTACCATACAACACTTTACAAAAAGAATCATTCAAGACATTAACATTACAAAAGAACCGAACAGAACGACCAAACTTTACCGACGGATCGAGTCCGACCAATCACGATCGACATACGCCATTTACAGAGTCTTTTAGCCAATAACATCACGGCAAAACTAGCCAATCAGTTTATCCGAACCGGACTTAGAACATTCGACTGACAACAGCTATTCAATTGACTCTGATGATGACTTCCTCTCAGGTTATTGTCGAAACGTCAGTTACCACTACCGACAACTGTCCCTAGGACTACACTCACCCGGAGGATCAGACTACACTATTACATGTTACCCCTGAGCGCAAACCATCTACTGTTTTAAAAACTAAATACGAAAGGAATTAAAGTCAAGAATGAGAGATGAGTAAACGCCGGATCAATTGCTGACGCGTAGAGTTGGAAGAAGTAGAGGAAAAGAGGAAAGGAAAATGACGGGATTTAAAGAAAAAGGGGGAAAGGAGAAATGAAATTAAAGAGGAAGGCTGAGGAGAAAGTTAAGGAAAAAAGCCTGTAAGTAGGTTTTCATTGGCACAACGGAAACAGAGGCAAAAACCTTGGGCTTCGAGTAGGCGAGCGAGGAGAGCCAACGAGGGCTCTACGAGACTCACCGCAGACCTCTAACACGCTCGCTTAGTTCGTCGGCACGAAACTCGCGATTTTTATCACTCATCCTATAACGCAAGTGAGAGCTTGCTTTCAAGTCAAAGGGAAAAAAAGGGTGACAGCTTTAATAATGACAGAAGCTAACAAGGAATCAGTTAACTCCTCTTAATCAGCCCCAGTAACTTATAAATTGCAGTTTCGTTATCAATGTAGATGAGTACCTTGATAATTATGAAAATTAGATATCGTGGACGTCTGTAGTTATTATGGCTAACCTACAATTGATAGCTATTTGTCTTTATCAGGGTTATATACATGCAGTTAAAGATCCAGCCATGACCTACAGAGTTGAGACAATGCCAGGACTTGGATGGTAAACATTATACAGTCAAGTGTATTTTTTCAAATTTTAGTCGACGGGCTCAATGTCTAGTTACGAAACAGGGCTGGCTTTAGTGGTTACAATCACTTACTATTATGGTTAGTCTCACGCTATCACGTACAATCACACATTACAAATAACACTATCACAGACTAATACGCACTTTTGTTCACAATCACGCATTACCACGCACCATAAATTGCTATCACGCACTACCACTTACCAGAACACACTATTCGCACGATTACACATGACCAGTAACACTATTGCGGACCAGTGCGCCCTATCACTGACAATCACGCAGTACCACTCACCACAAATCGCTATCACGCGGGTGACTACGCGTTGGAAAGCTTTTGTCTACTTGCACGAGTTGACTTAAATTGATCTTCCTTTATCTTTTTCAAAGTGAACGCAGCACAGTTAAAGCAAACTAAGCAACAAGTGATGTCTCTGGAAGATCTTCGTTAAAGTGCATGTTACAGTTTTTCGACCATTTCAATCAACAGAGAAATATTAACACAGTACGGGTCTATTAACCAAGAACCGCTCGCCAAGAACCGCTCAGTCTTCAGGCTGCTTTGCTCGTGTTTGAAGAGCACAAGGCAACTTGGTAGAATTTTTTTTGTCATCGAGATTTATCGGTAAATCATCACTGCTTCGCGAGGGTCCGAACTTTTGTTATCTTTGAACGCTGATTGGCTCTATTCCATTGTTACTTACTTACATTCGGAAAAGTGACTTGATCGCAAAAGTGACTACGTGTGTGCGCAGTAGTTACAACCAGAGCACTAAAAGCAAAAATCTGTCCTTGATTTTATTTTTAGGGTTCTGGAGCGAAAACTGTACAAAGAGGAACTTGAACCTCAGTGGCCTGGTCCCAACGTGATGTGGGACTGGGACATGTGGGTAAGGGGCCCGCAGGTGAGAAAGGGCCGAGAGTGCATTATACCGGACATCTCTCGCACCTATCATTTTGGGGCCAGAGGACTGAATGTGAATCCATACATGCAGAGGACTTACTTCTCTGCACGTGCGCTGAATACTGAGCCAAACGTAACGTTGAACGTGGACATCATGTACAAGGAGAAATATGAAAAGGAGCTACAGCGGTTACTTAGGTAAAAATCACTGCAATTTGTTGCTGACCAAATTTGGGATTGCGTTGGATTTGAACTGTCTTTGGTAGGGCATATTCCCGCAAACCTCTCCACCAGTTAGATTCAAAGCCAGAGCAAAAGCGTTTTACCCGCGCTTTACCCGCTGTTCACATCTATCGAGCTCTCATTGGCTGGTTGTGATATTTGCCTTAGCCAAAGTTATCACATCAGCCAATCAGGAAAAAGATAGTTTACGCAAGGCGCTTAAGGGAACTAAAAAAAATTAAATCACGTAATGAAGCACGGTAAAAAGCTTGCACCTCAACAAACGATTGGTTTAACCTAGGGTGTGACCAGTTGACAAGTTGGTGCCAGTTTTCTAGACAAATGATCACAAAGCAAAAAAATAAGTCTGGCGCAATCTTGGGTTTTAAATAACACGAAGTAATGATGTACGTATAAAGTTGGGTCCAGACCCAACCAGCTGAAGTTCATCTCGTGTCTGTGGTATGAAACGACAAGGAATACCGCTGTATTAGGAGTGTTACTTCTCCTCGTCACCCTGGAGGGTATGCCAGTGCATTGCATTTTGTCAGTATCCATGGACACTACCGACCAGAGCAGGGTTTTGTTCTTTTTTGTTAAAGAATTCAACACAAAGACCTGGCCAAATCTCGAGCCCAGACTTCTCGTCCAGCGCGCAAGTTATGACACACTGCCCCTTCTACTTCGGCGATAATTTGATTATTTTACTTTTTTTTCTCTTCTTAATTTTTTTCAGAAAAGCTGTAGTCTTAGATCACTCAAGGACTCCATGCACAAACCCAAACGATTTTATCCCTTTGACGAAGAACAAGATCTACGTGTTTTATATAAGAATGGACAGCATTAACGACTTCACCACCTGGTCAAACGTAGCGAACTGTTTAAGAATATGGGATTTAGATCCAAGGGGTTTCCATAAACGTTTGTGGCGATTGTGGCTAAACGACAATCATGTGTTGATTGTTGGGTGTCCTGTGTCACCCTACTGTAATTACAAACCAAGCAGATTACAACCAATTCACATTCCCAAGAAAAAGAAATCTTGAAAATAGGGATTATAAATTATTTGTAAGCAAGACGGAAGCTAGAGTAAATATATGCGTGCGTGGTTAATTCCTTGCCAGAAATCCACATAAAAGTGGAATAAGATGCATCTGTAATCATGGAGAAAAATTTGAACTGTTTGCGCCAGGTATGCGAAATGATAAAGAAAAAAATTCTGCTTTTCATTTTTAGCACCGGTCTATGTAACCTATAGTTTATTACGTGAAAAAAATTCTAGACTTACTATTTTTATTCTCACAGATGACTCCCAATAAATCGCATCCGTTCGCGTTACCATAAGGGACCTTCCTTAGACATAATTCTCAGCAATGCATCTAATGCTGTATTTGTTTACACTGTTGTTAAATAATTCTTCAATTCATGATGTACGTGACTGACTAAAATCTCCTCTACGTTTTCATATGAGTTCAAAACAATGCGTTTTGAAGCTTTGCCTGAAAAAATATGACTAATTAAAGTCATCTTGTAGTGTTTGTGTTCCCTGATCGCTAACCACTCGCTCACTACCAGTACATTGACACTGAGAACACTGAAAAAACCAAAAAACTAATGCGCCGAAAACTGTCTCACAGCCATCTACAACAAAACATATTCCGCTTCGAGTATCAAAAGTTCCTCTTTGAAAACTTCACCGATACTTTTTTACTTCTCTGCTGGAACTCAAGTTATCAAGCTGGATATCAGTAGCTTCTTCTTGCTTTTTCTTGAAGTATCTTCCACCAAAATATCCCAACACCCCTCCCCCAAGGGCTATGGCTGCTCCGGCCTTTAATCCTATGGCTAAGCCCAAAGGTCCCCCACACACCCCTCCCACTGCCGCGCCAATCAGCGGATAGGTAACTGCTTTGAGTTTGCTGGCCTGAAAAGTAAAAAAAAAAACAAACAAAAAAAAAACACGCTATGTTAAGTAGTGTTGAAATTATTGGCAAGTAACTGTAGAATGTAAACAGAGAGTGACATAGGTCGGTAATGGAAGATGACGTTCCATCAACAGTGGTAGGTTTAGTACAATACGTCAATAGTTTTATTGTAATCTTAGAGAAAAAACCTTGTGAAATCCAGTAAAGGGAGTATATATAATCAAACCGAAAACGTAAACCGGTGTGATTGTTCGTCGCGAGATCATTTACGACAGTAGCTTCCGCACAACTTAGCTCTCTTTATTCCTTCTGGTACACGATAGACGCACGTTAAGTCATAAAAGTTCCATACCGATGACGTAATTTTCCAATGTCCCTAGTAACCTGTGATTGGTTGTTGTTCAGATTTGACCAACGAATCAAAAAAGCAGATATCTGTGTTGGTTCGTAAAACGGAATAGAATATTTCGCGTCGCACAAGTATTTAACCCTAGGTGTACATTATGCTCTACAAGATAAAACCCTTCACATCAGAGTAACCATCTTCCCTGTTCATGGTGCTTTTCTATTTGTTTCATGTGGCGGACGTTTGACGCAGTTTCAGTGTGAGAGAGAATTCGGTGCAAAATATTCGAACGACAAACGCGCCATTAAACGTTCAATCGTCTTGTAATTTCTATTGATTCAAAGAGGGGGTCAAATGAACCCTGTAATTTTCTATGCCACGCCCTTGATGATCACCTACCTTTCCCAATGCTCTGGTGCCTTCCTCAACATGAACTTGTGCACTCTCTATGTTGCCTTCGATGGAGTCGATTGTGTCTTGTTGCTCCTAAAGTTCACAAATGAATAATTTAAAATCACAAACCATAGCAAACACTCAATTATTAAAACGTTGACATCTAAAAAGTGTGATCCGTGAACGACTAGACCAAACGGCTTTCAGAGAAATCATCGCACAGATACATAATCAGTGATTCGTTTTTCCCGTTTTTCATGTGAACTTTTTTTTTCTACGATAATCCTTTTCTGTCAGGAAGAGCTTCCTTTTCTTTCAGATTGCTTCCATCGTCCATAAAGCAAAACTGATGGTGGATATTACGTACACCTGACCCATGAAGCCATAGGGTCTCACCGTTTATTGTAAGCGCTTTCTACGTGTCAACGTTTTTGAAATCGAGTGTTCACTTCTTCTAAAAAAACATCTGCCACCAGAACGTCTTGTGGTATGATGTGGAGATCCATCTGCAATAGTAAAATTTTTATAATAGAAAACTATTATAGTACTCACATGAACGATAGTTGAGAAGTCATGGATGAGATCATTCAGTTCTATTAAACCCTGCAAAGTTAAAAAAAAGAAGAGAATGATATACCCTTTGAAATATTTTCCTTAGCAGCCGTTTTTTGGTTTTGTCACGTAACGCGCTCTCACCTCGTTGCGTGACGAGACCAAGCAACAGCTGAAAAGGATACTACTCTTGAAATTGACTAGTCTGAAAAATTTAATAATCAGGTCAAAAGAGGTTAATTATTCACTTCCTAGATCCGAATATAAATTCTTAACACTGTTTGCCATGTATTTCCCATAATCTTGCATCAGAGGATTTGGTGTAAAATCAAATATACCCTCTAACTGATAATTTTATTTCTTCTCATCACCTTCCTGTTGGAAAATGTACTGATATTGTGAGGAGAAATTCATTTTTAATCAGTTCTGGGAAGATAATAAAAAAAAAAACTTACGGCTCTCAGTGAGTCCCAGGATACGACTGCGTCTTTGTCTACCACAACCAAGGTCTGAAGCTTTTGAGAGTTGCCATCTGGTTCTGTGGTGGTTACTGGTGGTAATGCTAAAAAAAATTTAAAAATTTATAAAAAAATAAACAAAATTGCACTCTTTTATTAACCCTTTACGACTTAACATCATTTTGAATACTCTCCATACTGTTCCCTATAAATTTCCTAAGGTGCTGAAAGGGAGACTTTGTTGAACAGTCAAGAGCTTCTTAATGTGAGATTCAAGGATGATGCTGAAGGAAAAAAATTAGATGCTAGTCACTCTTAGGGGATCAAAAGGTTAATGCAGATCCATTGAGTGCTAAAGAGAATCCTCAAGGCCTAGCTCTTTTTTGCGATTTAGGAACTCTTTCAGCTACATGTGATTATCCCAGTAATTTTATCAAATGACTTGAAATCACAATTCTACTGCCATACCAAGGTCAGTTGGTTTATATCACCCCTTTCTACCAGAACTTGATGCCAGAAATTTCAGGTATTCATTGCTTGAAATTTCAGGTATTCTTTTGCTATCCTGATTGCATTTACAGCCAAGACAGGGCACTGGACTTGCAGGGGTCCTGCATGAAACTACCAGACCTCTGCCTGTTATGTCCCACTTTTCTTACAAGCTCAAATCTTGCAGTCTTTGTCACTCGTGGTGGCACCCATAGGAGGGCCCAACCCACCTCATCTCCTCTATCTTAAGATTCTCAGATCACCTACACCCCTTTCAAAAACCTTTTGAGATCTCGCTATGTACTTAGTCACAACTATTAATAATGATAAATCCTCAGAAATAACTCACTGAATAGTTCTGTTCTGGTATTTTTTAAAGAAACACTAGCTGCTCATAATATCATGATATACTTACAAGTATCTTTGTATCTGGCAAAAGGCATCCTCTTAGGTTCCTTGTCCTGTTTTTCCCGAGCATACATCTGTTGCACCTCTCTAAAAGAACTGACTCCAGCCAAGATTTCCTCCTGTAGCGGCTTGATTCGCTGGTCAAACTCAGGAATATCTGATACCTGTACCTGTTTACGTATGTTTTCCATTTCTTTCAAGTGGGATTTCAATTGCTGTAAATTCAACACACATTAACCCTCAACATCATTACATACATGTATATATATAGGAAGTCTGTGTACTGATTTTTCTGTTTACAGTGCTCAATATGTAGAAGTAGAGCATGATATATGTTGCAATAGGCGAAAAAAACAGAGAGACTATACTTTCATCCCTACAAGCCTGTTTTGTGATTGCTCACTCATCAGGGGATTTTATTTATCAAATCCCTTGATGAGTGAGCAATCACGAAACAGGCTTGTAGGGATGAAAGTATAGTCTCTCTGTTTTTTTCCCTATCGCAACATGTATATATATATATATATATATATATATATGCATGTACGTATAGAATCCCCTGAAGAGTGACTTAATCACAAAACAGGCTTGTTGAGATGAAAGCGTAGTCTCTTTGTTTTTTCCCTAACTCAATAATATCATGCTCTACTTCTACTAACTAAAACACAGACTTCCTATCTGTCTATATATATATAATGAATATATATTCCTTATACTGTTCTCTTCACATTTCCTATGGTGCCGATAAGAAGAACTTGTTTAACAACAGAGAGCTTCTTAAGTTGGTGATCATTTCCTTCATTCTCATGATCTTAGTGAATGATTTAGCAGTATTACTGCAAGGAGAAATAAGATGTTGGTCTCTATTGGGGCTTAAAAGGGTTAAAAAAAAATCAGACATGGTTAAGTGTAAATGTTTGGATACAAAACTCAAGATTTTAACTAATATACTTTTTCCACACTAATATCAAATGATATTTCTTTTCAAGCATTGGGGTACAAGCATATATTAACTCCTTATCTCTTGTCAATCTCTATTTGTCCGCATTTAACTCTCAAGAGTGACCAAGAAAGAATTTCTCCTTACAATATCAATACAATATCAACCAGACAAGTGATGAGAATAAAGAAAACTATTAAGTTGGGGATAATAAGTTGATCCAATACTAAATTCTCTGAACTAACATCATAAGAATTGTATGGTTGACAGTAAGGAGAATTACAAACTTGGTCAGGGAGTTAAAGTGTTAACAAGAGTCTGACATAACACTTTTCCGTAAGCAGAAATCCACCTTATTTTTCTTTGGTGTTCCCTGATAGAATAATTGCCATAGGTGGACAGTTCTACTAATGGATTCTTTTTCTATTTCGGCTGGTGTATGGGTATGAGAAACTTGACTGCAATAATATATCTAAACTGGATTACACCATTTGTGCAAGAGTATCACAAGTTAAATGTATCTTTTTCCCATGCACTCCTAAAACTATTATACCTGTACTGTTCTTGCAGCATTTATTTGTTCTTTATTCAGTTCAAACCAAGCTACTGAACTGTAAAACTGCAAGACAAAAAAGTTGAGTTAAAAATTATGAACACAAGACAAATTGTTACAAATAGATAGTAACTATTGTGCTTCCAACCACTTCTGAACTCTTCATAAAAATTCTTCATAAATATCTGATTAACCAAGTTGGCCATGTTTAAAAGGTCTCTTCCTGCCAATCTTTCTTTAAGAACCTGTCAAAAATTTTCTTCATTTCTATATGAAAACCTCTGCCCCCAATCACTGAGATGAAACTCAGATGCTTGCCAGCATCTTGAACATCTCAGGAACTGAGATTCATAAACAGTAACAGGCTAAGATGTTGACTAGCTAGCAAGGGCTGAAATTTCACAAACGAATGGTATTCATCGGGTTTAGAGGTTTCAAGTCACTTTTTCAGAATTTTCTTTTCTACTTCTTTCCCCTACACATAATTGCAGATTGTAAAACTAAAATATAACAGATGTCTTGCCGTTTCCATGTTTTTCTTGTGTTGCTGAAGTCTGGCAAGATCCGCTGGAAGTGCCACTTCAAATTTACGTAAAGCTGGTTCGAATCTTTTTATTGGGTGTCTGGGTAAGTTAGTGACTGTCTGGTCCACTGAAACAAAAAATGAACAAAAATACCTTCAAATCTTCAAAAACAAATGTAAGACATGTAAGACACAGTGTTCTAATGATTAACAGAACAGACTATAGATGGAGAGGTCCACAATTTAGCTGAAGCTGGATTGGTATATTTTCACTAGGCAAAGCAAAATCTGTACTCAAGCCTATTTGCCTGCCTGGATGGGATGTTAGTCCATTACAAGGTTATGCCCTACCATTTCATCAAACTTCCCTGGCAATTTGGCAGCATCCATTTATACAGTATAGAGAGGCATGGGGAGAGTAGAGTGTCTTGCCCAGGAACACAACACTAAGACCTAATCAGGTCTTGAACCCAGACCTCTTGGCCTGGAGTCCAGTGCACTGGTCATTAGGTCGTGGTACTTCCCACATTGTTTCTTTGGCAAAAGACTTTATTGTTACAGTACTTCTCGCCAATCAAGAGTATAAATAGGTACCAGCATTGGCCAAAGTAAGGCTAGACTGGAGTAGCATCCATTCAGAAGGCGAAAAAAAGATGCAAAAAAGAGTACTTGAGCTAAATGGGTCCGTGCTTTGTCCAACTAAATTCTGATTCTACCCTCAACCGTTAATTGGTATCCACCTGAGCTCTATGTGTGGTCGCAACTTGAAATCCTAGATCAAAACTTTAGCCTAAAATTAATGCTAACAACATCACGAGAGATATCACAAAATGCTTTGATCAATATCCCTTAACAAAATAAATTGATCATAATATAGTTTGTTATTTTACAACTTAACTCTTAAAAGCTATATTAACCTAAAAAGTCTAGTATATTTCAACGGGTGTCCTATTTAAAACTAACCTAATGCTGAAGCAACATTTATCAACGAGATAAATTGGAGAATCATGCAATTAAAGCACGATTTTTTTTTTTGCACTGTATATACTTACAGTTCAGGTCTGTTGAATCAAAACTCGCCATGACTACTTTCAAGTTTCAGCTTTCCTTGTTATCAAATCATTTGACACATAATACGTACGGAAATACACACAACTTTGTTCAGCCAATAAACTGATAACCACGAAATTAAGTTCAAGGTTATTTACATCAACGACGTTCAAGAAACGCTTTTTCAGAAAATTTTGTTTGAGTTTTCAGCATTCTTTGATAGTGGCGGTGTCGAACAGATGTTGATAAAACACTACAAGCAAAATCGGTCCTTAATAAAATAGGAATTTCCGAAAAATACGCTGCGCTTTGCTTTCCGTGTCGCTACCGATGTCGCTTCCGAGAAATTGTTGTAGTTACTGCTGATAAATTGCAGGCGCACGAAATGGCTTTCGGGCTATCGTAACTTCCGAACTCTTCCGGCCAATTACGACAACCAACGACAACGAAGAAAACTCCAGGGCCGGTTTGTTCGACCGGGGGATTAACTATAATCTACGATTTTAAGTTAACCTTGGCTAAAATTTCTAATTTAGAAGAACGAGTATAAGAGCTAAGGTTTTGTCGATATTTATCGCAATGTGACTCGAAACTAACGGGAAAAAAATACAAAAGACAAGACCCTTTGCAGAGCTATAAAACTAACATGAAAATTTACTCGAACCTCGGGTGAGGTTAATCATATTTTGAAAAACCCGGTCCAGAATGGCGAAGTTCCCTAAACCTTAAAAGAAAAAAATATATTTTCGAAGTGGTTTAGAGGTTTCTGCTTAGGTTAGAGAAACGAGAAAAATTGGAAGTCGTGTGAAAATTTGAGACAAATTTGAGACAAATATAGGCTGTGTGCAGACGCATATCAGTTATGAACCTGAACAGCGGATAATACTTACAATGGTGCCGTTTAGTGTACAAGCAATGTTAATTGAAGAATGAGATGTTTTTTAATTTTATTTTTCAAGAAGAACGTGAAAGAAACGCCAATAGTGTGTAAATAAGAGTTAAAACGTAAATATAATTTACTATATTTTAAAAAATATAATCTCAACAACGATTGACCACATCGACCTTCACAAGTTCTATCACGGGACTCGGGAAGTACTAACAATCCTCAGGAAAAACATAAAAAAGATAACGAATTAATAAATTGATAATCTCGTGAAGCTTGCTTAGAAAATTTAAAGAAATTCAGTTATTTGAAGCAAACATTTCTAATTCGGAGTCGTTAGTCGGACGTGATTTATTTGAAAAAGCATTTCCGTTCCAACGTCCTGTGACCCAAAGAGAAAATAAACTCTGGCCGCACTGAGCGAACTGCCGAGGCAGATAAATCTATTGTTTATTTTTAGTACTGATAAAGGCGGGTGAGGTCTGATTTGAAAGCGATCTCCCTAAGTCGTTTCGAACTTGAGTACCACCAGCCGCGTGATGACTCAAACCGGAAGTCAGGAACAAAGCTAAATTATGACCAGCCGATCCAGATTTGCAGAGTCTACATAGTTCTCAGGCACATTCCGATCGTTTTCCAGTTTTAATAAATAACTACAAGTTATGCTGTAATTCTAAACACAAATATGTACTAATCCGTAAATATTACAACGAAAAAATCCTTGTCAAACCTGTCTGCACACAAAACTGTTTATACATTTAGCAAAATCATTTTGAACTAAATTACGCAACCACTGAGCATGCGTGAATCGCCCGGTCAATCGTAAGCAGATTTTCGTATTTCTAGATGCAGTTTGAAAACTGTTCGTGAGTTTTTGTCGTAACTTTGTTTATTTCGTCTGTATTTTTATATGATTTTACTAGAATGAATAGGCTGAAGAGAAGTTTAAGTTTAAGGAGTTCTAAAAGGCACATACCGGAAAGTGTAAGGCCACAAATTTGGGAGAACGACAGCTACAAAGTACGGAATGGAGGCGTTAGTTTCCCAGTCAAGGTTAGAATTTATCGCGAATTTTTCATGAGATTTGTGTTATTTCGCTTTTAAGGATTGCATGGTACTTAACGTTGTGGAAGAGAGCGTTGAAAGACGATATTCAAATCCTCAATTAATTCTAAAACTTACTGTTTTAGTATGTGGGATCGATCGAAGTTACCGAGTCCAGAGGAACACAAGTTTGTGCAGAAGCTTTCCGAAAGATGAAAGAAGTAAGCGGTTGTTTTTTGCATTGTTTCCATTTTTCACAGATACCACAAAGCTTAAACGAGGTCTTCAGCTGAAGCCCTTTTGTCTTAATTGTTTGAAATTTAATAACGTATTCGTGAATTCGGTTTCCTTCGGTTATACTAAGCGATTCTGCCAGTTGTATCAATCTGTACTCGTTTATTTCAGGTCGGGACAGGGAAAAAGAAGCGAATGCAGTTGCTTGTCACGGCAGATTGTGTACGAGTCGTGGACGAACAAACCAAGGTAAGAGAGCCCAAGTATTTTTTAAGCTTTAAATTTTTTCGATCGCGCTGATGTAACTACGCAAGTATTCGTATGTTATGTGGCATATTTAAGAGAGGCAGCGAGTCTGTGATATTGTCCGCCTTCGGTCTTTTTTGTGCCCTCTTTTTATTTTTAAGTCTGTTCTTAGGCGGATTTTCGTTTCAACGAGGCACGATATATATATATATATGAGCAATACGCATTATTAAATAATCCAAGATTTCAAATGATCGCAATCGCGAGTATTTGACGCGAACTTTTTTGAACGACCTGCGCGGAAAAATCTAGACTTGAATGATAAAATTCATCAGCTAATATTAGCTGGCTGTCGGAAGTTGTTCCTGTTTTTTGATAGAAGGCGGATTTTACGGAATGCTTTCGTATTTATTGAAAATTGATGTCTTTGTATTTCTTTACTTCATCACGGATTAATTTTATCGAAAGGACCGAAGGTACTTGAAATAGACTTTCAATATGAAGATAGTCTCTGTTGGAAATGTTCATTTATTTGTTCTCGATCGCTCTTTGGGTGATATTTCACGCAAAGTATAATTATTCCTCTGGTTTTTTTTTCCTTAAATATTACCCACCTTAATACTTTCCTCTCCAATAAGTCCCTACATCGCATATTTACCTCGAAGCAGCTGAATTCAAATAAAAGAGCACCATATATTTACTATTGAAATCGTGTTTAGAAATTGTTGGATTGATTAATTCTCTTCTGAGAATTGGTAGTCGTTCAGTAGATTTTTAATTCGTGTAATTTGTGTTTTCAGTGATCATTTCAACATGCAACCCACCCAACTTGGTTTCGACATGTGCTCATCGTATGCGTGAAATACAATTACTCCAAATTTTTTTCATCACGAATTATGATTAAACCAATTTTCAAAAAACAGACTGATATTTAAATACTTAACCATGAAATTTATTCGAGCCGGAGTCATCCAGTTTGATTTATTTCCTCGAAATTGCGAATTAACTAGCGCTTTCGAAAATTCAGCATCTTTGATTGGAAAATCGACGCTCTGTCATTCAGTTCTTACCCGAAGTAAAAATCGAGTTTTTTCATTCCACCGGGAAGACATTGCTCCTTTTTTTTTCCTTTTTGATAGAACTGTCTGCTCTTGTGCTAAGGGTCATAGGGAAAATTGTGGACTCTTTTATTTCTGTCAGAGTATTATTATTCCATTTTTATCACACCGTTTCCTCATTCTTTGTAGAATTCCTTTCAATCCAATTAAGTCACTAGGTTTTTTTTCCTCAAGGTGCCAAAAACTGAGTGGAAATACAGTACTTCTTATGGAGTTTTTATTTCTAAGACAGTACTGCTTATCTTCCTTGCCTCACTTAAGAATACAAACGCCTGGAAATGTAAACATTAACTTAAACTCTTCACAAGGCATCACACCTAAAAATAAGCATGTCAGTTCAGTCATTTCTAACCTTCTGAAAATGTGTTATATAAAGGAAATCTTCTGGATTACTTTCAAAGAATGCAATGTTGACTGCGGACATTTGAGCATAAGTTTCTCCTGAGAATTTATTCATAGTATATTACAACTAAATTTCAGTAATGAACCTTGTGATATAAATAATGAATTGTCTAATATTTGAAGGCCAGTGTGAGATTAAAGACAAATTAATCGGATTTGATTTTGTACTTTAATCCTGCATTTTTATTTTATTAATTTTTTTCAGTAAACTTACTCATCTGTTCAAATCATGAAATTGTTGCATAATTTTATTTTTTTCGTTGTGCGATGTTCATGCTGTTTCCTAAATTTTTTTTAATGTCGGTTTAAACATAAACTATTATGAACAATAACAACAATCAGAGGAAATTATATCACAGAAGGTTTTTATTAGATTTCAAAATTAGGCTCAACTCACTTATAGTTTTTGTTAGAGATGACAACATAGGCTGGTTGTAAGGCTAGTGAAGACAAAGGTCAAGTGTAAATAGCTTCAAAGTTCATTCATGGCTCATGACGGATATTCATTCTATGACATTTGAGTTCTTCTAAATCTCCTGGAGTGTTTTCATCATTTTATGTAAACAATGACTTCTATTATTTACCAATGAGAAGTAACAATTTCTTAAATTTCTGTGACAGTTTTAAGATGCGGTATAGTATAGTAAAAACTTCTCTCATTGATGAGCCATTTTATAATGGCTTGAAAGCATTTGCTGTGAAGTTCCTCTGGGTCTTGGATGATCTGTAGTGCTGTCAAATTGTTTTACTTTATTTTATCACAACTGAAAGTGTAAGTTGTTTTTTAGGTACGTGTACAGTTGCTGATTCATCAGATTACAAAGCTGGCATGATTTTTTTACCGTAGGAGATAGCAAGACTATACATAATTGCCTTTCGAACTTAACTGTTTATTTCAGTCCCTTGTCATTGACCAGACGATTGAAAAAGTGTCATTTTGTACACCTGATCCGGGTAACGACAGAGTCTTCTCCTACATCTGCCGGGAAGGAACTACAAGGAGATGGATGTGCCACAGCTTTATAGCTTTGAGAGACACAGTAAGTTGACACAGTAACTTACCTTCAACACTGTGGTTCAAAGTTCTCCTAGTGCTAAAAATTGTAAGACCTGTGAGCTGTGATCAGTGTCCAGCCACTCAGAGACAAAGAAAAAAAGATGGATTGGTTTGAAATTTTAAGATCAAAGGGGAAAATTGAATCACTACATATCTTACATGCAGATGAAAATTAAATGATGAAATGATTCCCATTTCATTGCTCTATGCTCATTTTTTTCAAATTCTTAATTTGGTCTCCTAAAATCAAGAAACAGTTGCTAGAGAAAATATTTTCCTGGACAAAGGAAACAGAAAGTAAAATTGAAAGAGGATACCTTTTTGCAACATCCTATGACATACCTCACCACTTTTCACAGTACTTGTATTGAAGTAAACAAAATGGTGGGTAATTTTCTTTGGAGATTTAAAGGACTTTTCAAAGCTTAATACTAGAAAAACCAACACAAAGTTCTCCTCACAGTATCACCCCTGAATCACACATTAAGGTCTTTAGAATAAAGGAAATGATTGCTTACTAAAGAATCTCTTGTTAGACAAATTCTCCTTGTCAGCAAATTAGGAAATGTATAGAGAACTGTTTGGAGAATATGCATACTGATGTTAGGGTGTAAAGGGTTCGAGTGTTGTTTATAATTATTTCTTCCACTTTACTGTAGACCATGAACTCTAAGCAAAGATTAAAACTGGCTGCATGACCACTGAAAACAATGGGCAAAATTGGTGACCTTGAAATTAGGAAGATGGACTCATGTGATCATGTTGTGATCTAAATAAGAACCATTTTTTGCAGTAGTTCCTTTGATCTAGCAGAGAAATAGAACAGTAGTTCCTTTGATCTACCAGGGAAATCAAACAGGGATCAGGAAATTGTCAGGGAAACCTGAAAAAATCCTAAGAGAGGAGGGAAGAGGAGATTATCTCCTTTGGAAGTAACAATCCTAGTTCATTAATAAAACCATTGATACTGGGATAAATCCTGGTTGTATGAACTATTCAACACTGTCTGTAGACTTATGATAAGCAAATTTTTCCTGTTTACGTATCAGGGAGAGCGTCTTAGCCATGCAGTTGGCTGTGCATTCACAGCTTGTCTTCAGAGAAAGCAGAAAGCCCAAGCTCTACAGCAGCAACACAAGGAGGTCAGAGAAAGATTAACGTTCTCTTCTGTATTTTAGACGTATGAATTCTCCTTTAATTTTATACGTTATTACAATATTCCTGAAAATTTCATGGGTCCTGTGTGCAGTTCTGTGGCTAGGTTATGAGAGGCTGCTATGAAATGTTCAGAAGAGAATAAACTCTTAAAGGCTCACCTAGGTTATTTTAGACTTAGGCATTGTACCTGATCATCAGCAATTATCAGGGACTTTTTGATTTAATTTGAATCAAAAATCAAAAAAATTAATACTGTGAGTCCAGGGTGAATATGAAAGCTTCATATTCTAATGATCTTGTTTGTGAATAAAACAACAAAAACATGACTGCAATATTTACCTTCACTTTGTTGGTCCAACAGCAACAACAACAACAGCCCCTAACCCAACAGGGTACCACTGTAGCTGCTGTAACTGGGACACCAGGTGCAGCAAGCACCATACCAGTAGTTAATGGCTCCAGTCCTCCAAATCCACCTGCACAGCAGCCATCCCCTGGACAAATGAAACCTTCTGTCCCTGTCCCATCTACTGTGCCAGCATCAACCACGGCTCCAATTGCTGCTGCAACAGTCCCATCCAGTACAACAACTCCTCCAGTTAAGAATGGTACTGTGACGACAGGAACACAGCAGTTACCATCACCAGCTGAGCCAAAGCAAAACAACGCTGGTACTCCTGTACTAAAACCTCCTCCCTCAGTTGCAAGACCACGTCCACAACCTTTTCACCCTTCACCTTTTACCCGTCACATGTCACTGAGGTACCGCTCCAATCCTCTCTCTTTCATGCCACTACGCAACGACACAAGTGGCTATGAAACATTGACAGAAGAACCAGCAGTTCCACAGTTGCCTCCGACTGTTGATACCCTTATGCTACAGAAAAATACGCCCACTCCAATTTCAACATCATTTGGAACACCAGTCTCTCAAGGTTCTGCAACACAGAACAGTGCTCCAAGTCAACCGCCTTCTATGTTTAATGGGCTGAATACAAACTCAACATCAACAATACAATCATCCAATGCTATACCGAACTTAAGTCAAAGGAGTAATGTCCCCAATGCAGTGCCCCCATTACAGCCATATCCTATGCAGGGGGCAACCCCCCAAGTCAATGGGTCAGGCTCATGGAATGTCTCAAACCAAGTACAGAGGCAGAAACCTCTATCAGAGGCTGAAATGTGGCTAGCATCAGCTTCAGTTGATACTGCACAGCCAGCCAAGACAGTGCAACCAAATCAGGGTTTGCTGACTACTGTAAATCCATTTGCAGAAACGTCATCCCAAATTGATGCTCTCTCAAATGCATGGACACATGATCTGCAGTCCACACTGCCTAGTGTGTCATCACAAGGGACAACTGGCTGGTCGTCATCATCTCAGTGGGGAACCAGCACCACACGTCAAACAAATGGAGAAGATGACTTTGCATCATTCTTTGCTTCAAGGCAAACCAGCCCCCCTCCACATGCACCCCTCAGTAAGAAAGATTCCAACCCATTCACACCAACTCAAGATCAAGTATTCTGGGTGTGATGAGGAAATTCATGGACAAGGTGACATTTTTAGTTCTTAGCATCAAGTGTTCTTAGCAGGAATTTGTACACAACTTTTTAACATGGATAATGATCGTTTGAACTTTTCATCTCTGAGAAAAAAGAAACCAAGCCAAGCCAAGCCAAGCCAAAGTGACTGAAGTTAGTGATGGTGACTGGGATTTGTGAAACTGAGCAAAAATTACCGTGAGACTGTCAAATCAGTTTTGAAATTGTCCATCACTGTCAAGTCTTATTCAGAACCACCTTCAAGCAAGTGCAATCATGCCATCCGATCAGCTCTTAATTTCAAACAAAATACTGTACAGATGGAATGGTTATTGGAGGTTTGAATCACCTTTTGAGCAGCAATGGTGGATATTTGCTTAAGAAAATTTTAACTGCGTTTTCTTTTAATGAGATTTTTACATGTACCATGTAGTAGTTGCTGATTTGAGAATTTAGAAAAACGGTGTGGGAAATGAAGAGGTTCTGTAACACTCAACATAACAAGAATGTGAAAATTTAGAAGGCTCAAGAACTTCTCTGGAAGATAACACATTCTTATTTTTTTTTAAAATAGTGTTATTCGTTTTCAAAAGGAATTTGGGCAAGCTGGAAATGCATGAATGATGTACGCCTAGTATCTAATATAATTATTGTTGATAGCTCATAGTGCTTTAACTTCTGTAAGTATTATATTCCAAAATGTATAGAAACCTTTTCACCTTACACACTTGGGATTTTTTTATTTCTTGCATTTCACACATGTATATCTCTTAGATTTTTTGTGAAGTGGAAATGAGGTTGCAGAGGTTCTCTTTCATCACAATATGGGTATATAAAAATTGTCATACTTATAAATATGTTAATTGTACAAAATATAGGGTTGATGTTTCTGAATTTTACACAAGTGAAGGCCATGTGAAACGACTTTACAACTGCCTTTGCACTTTATAACTCTGTTGGCCAATGATATCATCTTGGGTTTTTATTGCTTGAGCATCAGCTACTGCAAAGAGACTTTGAGCTTACTTGTTAATTATGCCCCCCAAAAATGGACAACTTAAAAAAAAATTTGTTTACCTACGTGCACTTTGTACTAACAGTTAGTACAAAATCTTTTAACAGCAAAGTTTTATTTAAAAATTAGATATCCAAGCGCATTATTTTTAAGTTGAATTTATGACATGAAAATGTGGTTTGTGGCAATTACGTGAATTATGTGTGACAAGTCTGTTTGAAGTATTTCATGTATACCAGAAATTAACTTGGGCAGAATGAAGAAGCATAACCTTGTTCCATGCTTGATTAAACATCATTAGAATTGTTTAAAATGATTCTTTTCATGATTTTAGTTTGTTAGACTTGAAGAGTTTAGGATTTTAACCTATCATTTCAACTGAAAAACTGTGTACAGGATTAAACAGACATTGCATTCTTACAAGTTACACTTTTTTTCTCTTGCTGAGTATGCTGAGAAGTATGCTGTTGAAAAATAGATCTGATTACACAAGCTTGGTTGGTATTTTCACTGCTCTGTACTTTTTTTGTCAAGATAAATTTTTCCTGCTTTGAATGAAGTCAAGCTAGCCTGGAAGAGGTAACCTGGATTGTGTAGATTTTGTCACAAATCACATAAACACTGCAGACACACTTGCATAACAGACGAATAAATAGATAAATAAATAGATAACAGAAAATAAGAGGACGTGTAAGCAGCTCCATTAGTACAGTCAGAATAGATGTTGGTTCCACAATGGCAAGATCTTGGCAAATGGAGCTGTTTTTCATGTAATTGCATTTATTTGGGCAGCCTAGTATAACATGCCAAGTCTCTCTTTTTTTAACGAGCCTCTGAGGTAAAAGAATTTAGTGGCATATTATGTTTATGTTGCAAAAAGTGAGGAAAATTCTTCTAAAACATTATGTAATTATCTGAAGTGCAATCACTTATAGTAGTTTTATTCTAATATAATTTTGTAATGTTGCCTTCCCTAATGAGCATTATGTTGCACAACTGTCAAATAGGTATTTTGCAATCAGTTATGTTATAACTGATCCTTTGTACTGGAGATTTTCCACTCAAATAATAATATAGCTGGTTGATTGTGGTGTAAATTCAAAAGTGATGTTATTTTATGTTATGAAGTCATGTTGGATGTGGTGCTTCAAATCAGCAAGTGGTTAATAGTAAAATAGAGTAATCCCAGTGTACGTAAATGTGTAGTACTTGTGCGGATATATTTGACAGAATTGATCACGTTGGGGGAGCTTGTAAACCCCTTCCGTTTCCCCTTTCCCCGCCCCTACCCCGCCTCTCTTCTCTTTCCCAGGCCACCCCTCAATTCCGGGGTCATTCTTCGAGGTGATTTGATGGACGAGTGTGTACGATAAAAGAGCGTGAAATAACTTACATCTATCGCGATTCCAAAGATCTGGATCAAGGCAGTTGGCTTTAGCATACCTTACTGTCTCGACTCGGTTGAAAATGTTTGAAAAATAACACAAAAAAGCAAATAATTATAATAATGGTAAGAAACAAAGCAGTCATGATCATATTAATTAAAAAACAAACAATCCAAAAAAACTCAACGCGCCATGTTTATAGAAAACTTGAACGAACTCGAGAAATACCATTATTTCGGCTTATGGACTGGTCAGGAAACATCGTTGAGGAATATGTCTTTTTCTCTTGATCCAAGTGCAATCTTAGTTCCTTCCCATTTGCGGAATGCAGGCTCATTTCCCGAATAGGAGCAGGTCATTTAGGCGGAAAAATACCTAGCGCTTCTTTCTTCTTTTTCAGTGCCGTGTCTGCCCATATGCTCACTAAACTTCAAACCCAAAATTGATTTAAACTTAAAACAAATTCCTATTTAAACGTATTTAACTGGGAATCCTAGTTACACCATACTTTGCGATCGTGGCATCATCCTGAATATTTCTTTCCATCTTCCTCGTGGTTCCCTCTGCAGTCTCTTGACAGTTTTGCCGCAATCGTAACTTCCGGTGGGTTGGCTTAGCAACCAGTAGAAGTGTTTAGGAAGATCGATTTCCTGCATCGCAAGACGAATGCTAAATTCCTCGATTTGTTCTGTAATGGCTTGAGATGATGTGGATCTGGTGTTTTATTAGTTATGGACCACTGTTACTACGGTATTCACTGTAATATTAAAAATATTTGAGAACCCTCACATTGGCGAGGCTTGAATAATGTCAAAACACCTTATGTGGAGAAATTACAGTGGTCTCCCGTGATCGTGCACGCGACGACCAGCGTGACTGTTCATTGAAAAGTTACAACTTCGTTACTATGAGCATGACCAAAGAATACCTTTAATTATCTGAGGGAGTTTATGGAAAATTCACCGTCTACCCAGGCCGTGACAGAAGTGGACCACGCTGGCACACCAGTGCGGATCTTCCCGTTCAACATTCAGCAATGTCCCTATAATAGAAATTGCCGTGACGACGTTTTAGCAAGACTTGTGTGAGCGCGAAGATTTGAATACGAGACTCCAGGAATTTAACGTTGCTTTAACCCATCCAGGATCCACTTCTAAAAGCTTGAATTGGTTTTGCTTGGTTCCGCTGTCTGCCGTCATAGCGCTAAAAATGAGCTGAAGAAGTCAGTACGAGATTTTCTTTCAGAGCGCAACAACGGTGCCGATGATAATGAGAGCGGGCCAAAGTCTGGAAAAACAGGCAAAATCGGGTATATCGTTTGACGAAGTTGACGAAGGCTGACGGAAAATTTATCAGCAAGACACAAAAGGATCACGATATTTTGTAATGGTCGCGCTCTCAATCATCAAGTTTCTTTTTCAAAGTAAGTTTCAAAATTTTCTTCGAGAGGAATCTGGGAACGAGGGTGACCATTTGGATGTGAGCTTACATTTCCAGGGAAGAGTGACCACAACTATGCGCATGAACAAGATGTATTTTTTTTTGCAACGAAACAGACGGTCAGAGGGTCTTGGACATAAGTAGACTATTGTCCGTAAGCAGTTAGAAACAGGTCACATCGGCTCTTGACCAATGAATGGGAAGCAAAAAACGCATCGGATGATTGAGACTGCTTCCCAACGACATCATTAGTTAATTTGAATTGTACTGCCAATTCCCGCTATCTACTACAGAAAGAGTTGACCTACAACACTGTGAGCAGTAAAAAGTTCGCCACATTTGAAAAAATAACATTTATTTATCCCCTATCAATCTGACAGTATTCCTTCAGTTATAAAACTATGATATTTAATTATGAAAACTATGAAGATTCAATTAAAAATGAGATTTCATATCTTTGCAATCTACGTCCGTGAACTGCGCATTAAGAGCTTCTAACATAGATCTCAGAGTTGGGAAAACTTCTCTCACAAGAGGGAGGGACGTCACTGGTTTGGAAAATCTACGATTTAAAAAAAGTCGTTGACGTTAGATTCCATAAAACACGAACTGTGGGTCTCTAGTTTGGTAACTGAAGCAAATTTCAGTTTAACATCCACATGATTGGTCTAAAAACCATGCGTGGTCTTCAAAACCAATCAGATACAAAACTAAAACCCATCGCGAGTCGTGACCCGCGTTTTCCCGCGTTTTCCCGCGCTTCACGTCAGCGACGTCGAGTTCTGATTGGCTCCTCGCCATGAAGACCTTTGTTTTGATTGGCCGTGTCAATTTCTTAGGTTTTAGCTTTACAACACTCGATCAAAGTGCGTTCCTTACTTCAGATATCAAAAATCATCTATCAGTCAAACTTACCAAAACCTGTCCGCTGGACAAACTGAAAAACTGACAAAATCTAAAGAGGGTTTCCAGCCGATAAACAAGGATGCCATGCACGCAGAAGAGCAGTACTACAAGTCGCTTCATGCTTCAGAGACCCGGATCAGTTCCGGCAGGATGTGCGACTCGGTACATGACCTGACTTTTCCATCATTTTTCCCTAAGATTTGTCAAAGTCTATTCGTTATGAAATCAACGTAAAAATTTTGTGTTCCTTACTTTTTTAGTCCCATCCATCCCTTTACATTTTTAGTGAAATTCTCCACTGATCCTCCAATTATGGCCTCTAAATCTACCTCCTACAGACAATAAATAAATACATAAATAAACAAATAAATAAATTGATAAAGAAAATTTAATAAACAAACATAAATCATTTGAATTTCTACTAATTGGGTTAGGAAGAGGGAGGGGGAAGGCAGAAAGATTTCCAGACATCAATCCTATTTTTATTCTTGAAGACAAAGGCAAAGTGAATAAAAAACATGCTAGGATATCAATTTTGGTGTATGTCGTCCATATCAAAACGAAATCGTACGCGGATGGTTTTTGTCTTTGGGAAAACAGTCATAAACATGTTATATTGCATAACGGAAGAATAAACTACCTTGAGCCAATGGCCCATGCCTGACCAGGAGTAATACTACTTCCCCCTCGATGGGATCTTAGTCCATTGCAGCGTTACCCCCCATCCCCCCCCATCCAACATTGCGTGCGGTTTCTCTTACAATTCGCCAGTACCCACTTATACACCTGGATGGAGAGAGGCACTGTGGGTGAGAGGACCAAACACAATCACTTCTCTGGTGATAGAGCCTGATCTTTCCGTCCAGCTAGGATTCTAACGTACTGACCATTAGCCCACAGCAACTCCTAAAGCACACTGAGAAACAGTGCCTTCTTCAACGTGGTATTTTACCTTTCCTGAAGGGATTTTTCCCGTTGTTTCCCGACCAACAGCGAGGAAAAGGCCCAGTGCCACTGTATAAGCCACAGCACTACAGACGATAAAATTGATAAAAAATAAAATCATTCCTCAAATGTTCAATTGGATAATACTGATCATGGTTTAAAAAGCAAACGCTGTTATGTGCAGCTGCGCTACTCTTTGAGAAAGGATACAATGAACGGAAACTGTTCGAAACTCTAAGTTACACTAAACGAGAAAAGACTTCCACTGCCACACAGTTGGGTGTGGAAGTTTGGGTCGAGAAGCTGTAAGCATGTCTCTTCCCTGTCAGGCAAGATAAAGAGTTTTAAAACACCTTTCTAGATTAACAGCCAGTGTGTCTAACAAACGCTGACTCTAAGTAGTCAATTTAGGAAAGATCTTTTAAAATTACCTTGATCCTCGTGAAAGAGGCATTAAATTGAAAAAGTAATACACCAGGGAGAGGATGTTATTGCCAATGATATCTACATCCTGCAAGAAAAAAAAAACAGAACGCTTAAGAGAATGCGTGGAAACTAACTCCACTCACGCTTCTTGTAAAACCAAAACCCATACAAGAAAACCTCAGCCAATCAGAAAAGAGGTTGTCTTCGAAAGAACCAATGAAAACCTCAGATACAGTAACATGATGTTACCGACCTAAAGCGCGGGAAAACGCGAATGACCACGTCGCGATTGGTTTTAGTTTTGCATCTGATTAGTTGAGAGGTTGACGCATATTTTCCTGACCAATCACAGAGCACAATGAGAGAAAATCAACGCCATCACGGATTCCCTTCAACATTCAATGGGGAATTGCTCTTTGAAAAATTGAACCGACTGCAATTGAACGCGAACAAAGGCAGGCATATTAAGTCAGAAAATATTACCTTGTTGCCAGGTTTTCTAATTTCATCGTTCAGTTTTTCCCAAATATATTCCAGCTCCGAATGATAAGATGCAGTTCTCGCCGGTGTAGTAGGAGTGTCCATTGAAAACAAAATGTTTGAGCCGCTGGAAAGAGACCATTTAACGATCATTACTAGTAAGAAAGAAAGAAACTTCGACAATTCAATTAATTTCAAAGTAATGTAACACGACACTTGCACAAAATGTTCGATGAGGCCTACCTGACAACTTAAGTCTGAAATAAAATTTGTTACAAAAAACAAAACGCAAGTTTTTTAAGAAATCACGACAAAGTCTTTGTCCAAAACAAGACACTTCCATAACAAAACCAACCATAAATTGGTTTCCAATTTTTTCCCTGCCTTTAGTGCAACTGTTGTTTTCTTTCTGCGATTTTCTTGGTTCGCAAACCTCGTGGGGCCTTAGCGAAATGATGAGCGGTAATTTACCTCTCAGAGAGACTTAAATTCAATCCTTCTAAGCTCTTTTTTCCTCCTCCTTTTGAACTTGTCACGTGAGTCGATAAAATCATACCGGGCTGCGGGTTTCTTGAATCGTGTTGCTGAAAGAGAATCGAAAAACCAATCCAAGTTTAGATTACAAGGTAGACTAACGGTCTACGCACCTAATTGCGGGTCAGATGATCCAGGTATAAGTCCTTTCCGTGTCACTGTATTGTATTCTTGGGCGAACTATACTCTCGCAGTGCTTTACACTTACCGGAAGTGTAAGTGAGTACCAGTGAAGTGCTGCAGTAACAAGGGGGGAGGGTGGGGGTGATTAAAGGTGGACTAGCACCACGTCCAGAGAGAGGAGCGGTGGTGGTATTTGTCGCTACATGCTTTTCAAAGAGAAATTTTCAGAAAGTTGTGGCGATGGCATGAGAGGCTCCATACAATCTCGGAGAGAGGTCTCAAAGTTAAGAAAGACAGAATAACACCAGCAAAAAATATAATATAAGAAAATTAATTGAAGGACAATCAATCAGAATTTTTTAGCAAACAGCTGAATTACCCTCAGTATGAACTTTATTACGACGAGACAGTAAATTTTATCTGCGTAATGAAAATATTCACTAAAGATAATCTCACCTTCAGAACCTGTATAAGCTCACGACACGTTTTCGCCTTCTCGATTTTCCTCTTAAAATCCTTTTTATTAAACTCATCCACTCTAAAAAATGAAGAGATCTCATTTCTTAGAATCACTTTTGGTGCAACATCTATAAATGGCTGATACACTGACTCAGAGCAATACAAGGATGAAACAATCCGTTAAGAAAAACCGGTGGGATTCGGCCAAGAACCCCTGGGGTTCACGTCAGTCCGCATGGCTGACCACTCAGTGAACAATTTTAACAACTTTGATGTAAATCGCTAAAAAGGTAACTCACAAATGTTTAAGATCAAAAGATATACTAAACCTACCTGTACAAATGCTGTAACATTGTTTTTGTAAACTGGAAAATCTTGTCAAAGTAGTCTGAGTACCTCACGCTTTTCAACTGTCCCCTAATAAAATATAAAGTACGTCTATTAAATATTCGAGAGTTTGTTGCTTGAAAGCGTAGAACAAGGTGAAGTGAATCGCGTCCCGGCATCCACAATTTCCCTTTCTTTTGACGCTACTTACATGTATTTCCTTTCAGTTCTTATTCCCTCCTGGAAATAGTTACGGTAACCCCTGTTCTCATTTGTCCTTCTCATTGTTGCAACACTCAATTGGAACTGAAGCATGCTTTATTCACTTGGCGTCGAAAAATACATTTGAAGACAAAGAAATTTAAGAAAAAAAAAGAGAAAAAGTCATCTACTATAATATCGGTTCTGAAACAAAAGCCTTCCATCTTACCTTAGCAGGTTCATCCGGAAATTAAAACCTGTTTTGACACTTTTCTCTGGCATAAGGTCCAACCAGAAAACAGGTTGCTCTGCATCAGAAAGTCTGAGAGAAGACAAATCACGCGCAAGTTACCGGAAAATTATGGGGGAAGGGGTTAGTAAGGAAGGGTGCTACTCGCGAGATGGGGTGGGAAGGGGGAGAAAGTAGGGTAAGGATTGGGAGGGGGGAATGGAGATATAAGATTAAAGGTGTGTTAGAATTAGTTAAGATAATATGCTTGCCATCTTCCCAGAATAACTTCATTTATTTCATAGCCGTAAATTTTGCGAAACGTTTTGGTAGCGTTGCCTTTTTATTAGATTTTACACTGGCTGGCTACCTCACCTGTTAGAGTTCTTCCCGGTCACATTAGCACAAAGAGACTGGGAATCCCCCCCCTCCTGAACGGGAGGCCAGTCCGTAGCAGGTTACCCTTCAGTACCCAGGTCCTCCTATAGTTAATTGGCACCTATTCATACTCCTGCGAGGAGAAAGGCATTGTGGGAGCAAAGTGCCTCGCACAAGGACACAACACAGTGACCCGGCTTACGCTGGAACTCGACCTTTCGATTCTGAATCAAGTACATTAACTACTTTGTAACCAGTTAAAAAAAAAATGGACGATGACCCAGCCGGGGTTTGAATTGAAGAGCAGCGCAAAGCCACCTCATCAACAAGCCTTTCTTATTCAAGTGTTTTTCCTACCTTCTCCATTTAACAACCACATTAAACATGTCCCTCCAGGAGGCTTTCTTGTGATTGGTTTTCGATGACCGGCCAGCTCTCCAGTACTTATTCGCTACTTGAGCTACATCCAACATGGCCAGACCCATAGCGCGATGATGTCTGATGCTTGGTAAGAATCCATTGGAATTGTACTGGACTAGAGGACCAAGAACAGATGACTTGCACAACAAGAGCTATACAGACAGTCAACGAAATAAGTGATGTTTCTCAATGTTTATCTGCCTAATATTACATCGCGTGTTTCCGAGAAAACACATAAGTCAAAATTCAAAGCAGATATAAAGCTGCCCTTCACCTGTGCCTCTGGACTGAAATCGCCAAACGAAACATTCTCAACCTCTCTGTTTATGAAAAAACAAAATCAAAGATAAACACATTAGGTAAAAGAAGGAAACTAAAATTGAAGAATAGCAGGTAATTTAGTGTTAACAACTGAGTTGAAAACGTAAATTGGCCACCGTAAAGAGTGAAAAAGCTGACGTTTCGAGCGTTAGCCCTTCATCAGAGCGATGGACGAAGGGCGAACGATCGAAACGTCAGCTTTTTCACTCTTTACGGTGGCCAATTTTACGTTTTCAACTCAGTTGTTAATACTAAATTACCTGCTATACTCTCCCACCGACGCAGCACTACAGTTTCTTTAGAAACTTACACCCTTTATAAAATTGAAGAAGACTCAAAAACGAGTACCACAGAAAACTCACCAACAAAGAACAAAGGAAAGGTCATTGCATTCTCTATACAACTTGTCCATTCTCAGAACGTCTGGTCCTTAACAAACTCAGTAAAGTCATTTTGATTTACTAACCGTGTATGCGGCTGTATTCCTGGCTGTTCACTGTAATTCTGCAACACAACAAACGATGGTCAAATTTCAACGTAAAAGCAGAATTGTTTTACTCAGAAAAATTCTGCAATTGAAAGATCAAATGAAAGGTCGATTTTTTTTACCCGCAATGAGCTAAAACAAGGAAGAGAAGTGTTTAAAGGAGGACAGCTTTCGATACGATTAAAAAATACTCGCGCGTTAGATTTCATGCGTGGCCCGCGGGAGAGACAACACGCGCGCAAAAATAGAATGCGTTTCTACCATGCACGCGTTCTTCCACGGAGACAGCTGGTCTTACAACTCGTGCCCTCGCCTCAGAAAGAAAAGAGTCCAAACTGACTGTTCTTTATCATAAAATACCTTGGCATTGAAAGGCAATCCTTTGACCCACAAATCTCTTAATCTTCCATCAAGATCTGTGCCCGGTGAGTATTCCGACAATGGAGTGTCCAAGTGTGAGTGAAGATAACGTGAATATTCTGCCGATAACAAAATAGCAATGAAAGCTAGTTATGGACTCTTACTAAATGGAAAAGTTATGAAGAGTGGCGAATAAGAGCCAAACAGTTGAGAAATGACACCAGTGACCCAAAAGCGCGGGAAAATGTGTAGCTGCTGAAAAGTGCGAGATACTGGATACGAATGAAAAGCGCAGGAAAACAAGCAGTTGGCGACAGGCGCGGTATACTTGATACCGATGAAAAGCGCGGGAAAACAAGCAGCTGGCGACAGGCGCGGTATACTTGATACCGATGAAAAGCGCGGGAAAACAAGTAGTTGGCGACAGGCGCGGTATACTTGATACCGATGAAAAGCGCGGGAAAACAAGTAGTTGGCGACAGGCGCGGTATACTTGATACCGATGAAAAGCGCGGGAAAACAATCAGTTGGCGACAGGCGAGGTATACTTGATACCGATGAAAAGCGCGGGAAAACCTAAAACGAGTGAAAAGCGCAGGAAAATACACGCATTCAAGTAACGCTACCACTCGCTTTAAGTAATTGCGATTGGTCGAAAAACTTGCCTTTTCCGATTGAAAAAGCATCACTTTGATCTTGCTTTATTTCTTAACCAATCAAAAGTACTTAAACAGAATATTATTGTTTAGTCGGTATTGCTTACTGCTTCGCCGTTTTCATGTCACCACAATAACAAAAAAAGAAAGGAAAAGAAATTCCTCCAGCCCACGTAAAAATACCGTTAATGTAATGATACATCATGTCCTCATGTTATGACAAAATGATCAATGTTTACCTTTGAGATAATAACTTTTTATCACATCCACATTTTGCAAGGGAGATGAGCTTGCCTCGTCTAGCAGGATCTGCAAATTGAAAAAAAAAAACTTCTTATAAAGACAAGACTCAATTTATTACCTTAACACTGATGTCGTCTTTCTCTTATTCATGTTCCATAAAGAAAGATTATTCATAAATCAACAATTTTCTTAGTTTATTGAGCTACCTTGGTTCTCCGATGTTTGGGAATTTGAGTGGTTCCGAAATCGTTATCAAAGCCAAACGTTGAAGTTAATTTTCAAATGCTTTTATTAACACATTATTTTTAACGGTGTTGGATTCTAGCTTGTTTTTTATAAAAGGATTTTTGCAACTATTACTTCACCATTTCAAACAACTTTCTGAGAAATTGGATGACTTAAGAGTTAATCGCATCGCATATTCCTATTGCAATTTTTATCACAGACCTGGGTGCTTGATTTTACACTCTCGAAAAAGTTTCCCAGCGCAGCATGACTGACTCCCTTCCAATACTTGCAAGAGATACTGCCCGGGTTATATTTCAGACATGCCTGCAAGGAAAAGTCAATGGCAACACCAAATTAGTCAGGAACGAAGTTAAAAAGGACTGCGCAACATCGCACCGACAAAGTAGGCGAAATAAAACCTGTAGAGGACTTGACAAGCACACTTAGCAAGTATTTAAAGGAAATTTTAAATGACAGCAAAATATGATGCATTGTGAACATTTCTTATTTGACACAAATGCGCTGAACATAGATAACTTGACATTGTGAAAGTAAGTTTACTAGCTGAAAGCTTTATCATTTAAAATTAAATCATTTTAAAGCGTCTCTCATTATCAACATCGTTCTATTCATTCACCTACTTTTCGTAAAATTACATCACATACCTTCAAATCTGATACTGCCTTGTCGGGCCTTCCACGCATATAATTTAGGATTCCCCTGGAGTGATAGTTCTGAAAGAGAAGCACATTTTGTCAATAGAGTGACACATACACGCTACTTAAAAGAAGATAGCCCATAATCAAAAGAGTATGATGGATTGGGATAAAATTGAAGAAAGAAATGAAAGATAAGCCGATGCGAGAACGAAGGATGCGAAGGAATGGAATGGATCGGAATGGTACGGGTTGGGCGGAATAGAGAAAGAGGCCAGAGTCAGATTGATTGAATAAAGAGTTGTGATATAAAGACAAGTCAACTCTGTTTTTTTTCGTCTTAACAACATGATCAGTTTGCTGCAAGATGCATTTGTCTGGTCCTGTCTTGTCTTTGTTTATGGCTGCCTTTCCCTACCACAACTGTGACAACAACAACAACAACAACAACAACAACAACAAAAACAAAACCATCAAACCTGTGCAACAGTTGGCTCTATTTTTATGGCTGATGTGAAATGTTCATGAGAAAGTTCTGGCTCTCCTACTTCCCTACAACATGCATTTAATTCAAATTAATAAAGATTCCAGAATTAACTAATAATCAAAATAAAACATAAAATCTATACATTAAAATATAGTACTTTTACATAAAAATTTTACTTAATTTCCTCTTTTGAAAGTTATTGGCAAATGTTTGTCACTACACTGTCATTAATTTTCCTTATATCTAGTAACTATTTATTGATGACAATTGTCTATCTTTCAGTTTTTTAGACTGTCTGTCTGTCTGTCGGCCTGTCTGTTGGTTTGTCTGTTGGTCTATCTGTTGGTCTGTCTTTCTGTCAACTGACCAAGTCTGTTTATTTGTTTGTCTCAGAGTTTATGAATGCCAGTCTTTTTATCGGTCTGTTATGAACATCTTTTATCCATGGTATACCTGTAGGCATGACCCAGACTGCGATGACACTCTGCCTGATTCGCATTTGTTTGCAGAACCACTTTAAAGATTTCAATGGACTCCTGAAAAGAAAGAACACTGATTTCACGATGGACAAGATGGGAGAATTTCAGTCATATATACAAAAAGGGAGTAAAAACTCTCACTAACATCATAACTTATGCATTCATGAGCGACATACTGCACCATAATTGATCTTTGGTTTACCTTCACTCTCCCCCTGTGGTACAATGATAAACCTTTATATAACATAGCTGTAGGCTGGTTCTTCTCAATCTCTAAACATTTTTCAAAACTCTTAGATGCTGCCTCATAATCCTAAACAAAACCAAACATTCAATGATTAATTTTAACACAACCATCTAATATTGTCCTTCAATAGCATTTTGAAACAATGTAATGCCATGGTGAGGGTTTAACCCTTAAACTCACATGATCTGATTGTTAATTCTCCCCACTAGCTGCTACACATTTGCTCATAAATTTGTTACATGATTTCGGTGTTAGATGAAGATTATAGCAACTTCTAACTGACAAGTTTGAATATTCTCATTACCTGTTTGCTGAATAATGTATGGATATTATAGGGAGAAGTTGTATGTTCATCACTTCTGGGAGTTATAGGGTTAAGCTTAAAATACATTCCCAACCTTTTGCCAGTCCACAGCATCATCATTGACAACAATTGCTACCAATTGATGCTACTTGCAGCATGAGACCTTCCTAAGAAGTGGGTTTCCTTTTTTTAACCTTTTGACCCCTGAGAGTGACCAGAATCTAATTTCTCCTCACAATATCACCCCTGAATCACACATTAGGGTCACAAGAATAAAGGAAATGATCACCAAATAAAGAAGCTCTTGATTGTTCAACAAATTCTCCTTGTCAGCAGAACTGTATGGAGAATATATATATTGATGTAATAGGGAGTGAAGGGTTATGGGGGTAAGTGCCTTTCAAGACAGGATTCTTCCCCCCAACCTTTATCTCACCTCCTGCATAAACAGCAGTGTACCACTCATGATGTACAACTGAGAACTTGGCCTCAGATCCAAGGCAACTTTAATGTCAGCTATGGCTTCTTTGATATTTCCCAGAGGAGAGAACACCTGAAGAAAACAGAGACACAATATATACATCATAAGTCAGACAAAAGATAGATAAAAAAAAAAAATTATGGATCTAAAAATGTCATGAATAGCTGTCTGACAGGGGAGAGGGGGGGAAAAAAATATTTTACATGTTTACCTCTGCTCTCTTGATCCAACCATCAGGATTGTCCGGGCTGAGCCTGATAATTGTTGAAAAATCTTGAATTGCTGCCTCAGCATTTTCCTTGTGCTGGAAAGAAATTATAACTTTTTTAATACAAAATAGAATTAATTACTTGGAATCAAACAAAGATGTACAGAGCTGGGGTTATGGTAAAGCACAAGTAAATACAAGATATATTAACAAAGAACTTACTTGTAGACCCTTTTGTACATAGGCTGTGCCACGCCCAAAATAAGCTGCTGTGACCCAGGGGTGTTCCTGTAAGGTAAAGTAATCATCTACAGTTCAGCCAAAATATTTCATGAATGAACAAGCCAAAAAATTTTATTGCATTTTAACTTTACATTTTCATGAGCCCTCAAATGCCATGCATCATGTAATTTGCTGCAAGTTTTAGACCAACTATAACATTTGCTGTTATTAAAAAAAAAAATTAAAAATACTATGTGGCAAATAAGCCAATTTTCATCTGGAGATCTTCCAATGGATCCTTACTCCAATTCTAAGTGTGATGTCAGATCCTTTCCTGTCCATGCTCAAACACTTAAGAGCAACCTCCTTGATTATTTGAGATTAGCAGTAAACCTGATCACATTTAAGCCTGATTAAGACTTGTTTATGATTATTGCTATTACCTTCGCTACCATTATAAATCAAACATTATCATTTATTAAACAGTATTATTGGTATATACAACCTGCAGATAGAAAATACTCATTAGAGAAATGCTACCTTAATTATGTCAGTAAACTGTCCAATAGCCTGATCCAAATTTCCTGTGTTCATCAGCAGCATAGCATAACCTGAAACATAAATGCTCAAATCAACTTTGGGACTATAAAGCAATACAGTGCTCTTAGAACATCTGAGAGATTAGATAAACAAATAAATAGCATTACTTTTCATAAAAGAAAAAACAATTTTCAATTAGAGATATTAGTGATACACCAAAATTTTTCACCTTTGTGAGTAAACCTACTATTTGTTTCAGATCAATCATTGTGTCATCATGGTAGCAAGGTTTATAAATATAATGGCTTCACTTTTTAAAAATGTCTTTTTTTCCTCAAAATTCATCACCATTTCTAGTGTTCAATTAAATCTTTCTTTAAGAGGAAACATTTAAAAGAATGACATATTTTTTATCATCAATTTTTTCAGAGATGGAAGCAGCTTTTCTGAGAGCTAAGTTTATATGCAGATGATCTCCGCATTTAGTATTCATGTTCATAACTTACCAACTCTTTTATCAATTTCATTATTTCCAGTCAAAATAATTTTCTGTTGTGCATCATTTGCAATCACAAGATGCAGACTCTGAAAAAGATTGAGTAAATGAAATCAAATTCTTGTATTGAAAACGGACTATTAATTTTTTCCCTTCATAATAAATATAATTATTACAGTTATAAGCCCAGAAAGGGGAGGGGGGGGTGAGACTTCAGACTTTGGGGCATATTTTTGCTGAACCAAAGGATCCTGTCACAAAAGAACAACGAACCATTACTTGCAATGACTGTGACAACGAATACATCAGACAGACCAAACATCAGTTTGGTAGATGTTTGAAAGAGCATCAAAAAGTGGTTTTCTTTTGCAAAAAAGAAAATTCAGCTTTATTTGAGCTCACATGCCTAACTAACCATACAATTGAGTGGGATAAGTCTAAAATCATCACCACCAATTGGCGTTACCACCAGCGCATTTGTTTGGAAGCTTGGCATATTAACTCTGCCCACGCTCCTTTAAATCGTGATGATGGCGGCTTACTTCCTGACGCCTATTTACACCTCATCAGAAAAAAGGCAGCTAATTAGTGATCGTATAAAAGGACTACTTGTCGCAGTGTTTAGATCACCCCTGATGAATGCACTAGACAGGAGTGTCGAAACGTTGGGTCTATGAATTGTAACTTCTTTGGTTACATTCATTAAATCTGTAAACCAGAGTAGCATCAAATCATGTTCTGTGAACATATAACAAACAATACAGCAGATCTAGATTTTGTCTAACAATGATTAGAAGTTATATTAGAAAGCCAGGGGACATCTGAGGGGGAGGGGGATGCACACCACCAGCACCCCTCCCCTAGATCCACCCCTGAATAGGTAAGCAATCTTCTAACTCCCAACATCTGATTTTATGTTCATTGAGTGAGAACTAATAATTAGACTGGAACACATAGGAAAAAAAGAATACAAAAAGAATACAAAATCTTTCATTAGGACTCAGGGCAATTGCCTAATGCAGAGCCAAAACACTAAAATGCAAGGAAATATGTTGACAAGAACTAACATTCTGATTTCACTGTTGGGAACATTTTAAAATCAGAACATTTCCGCATCACACTTGAACCTTGTTCCTGGTGTGAGTCTTGGGTGTTAACCTTGCAAATGATAATGAGGAATTGAGTTCATTCACATGCAAATTAACCAGTCTCATTTTCATAAATATTGTGGTACACCTAACTTCCTGTTGTTGAAAAAACAAGTGACAGAAATGGGTTATCAACAAAATTGGAGCCCCAGGGTCCTTTTAAGTTAAAGAAAGGAAATCCAGCCAAACAATGCCGCAGACATATATAAGCGAAAGAGACCTTGTTGAGACAATGCAAACCGCAAACACTATTGTATACAATCAGCAGGATATGTTTAACCATGCAGAAAAGACTTCCTGTTACATGAACTCGAATTGATTTCATGCCCACCAGGTGCATAAATAAAATTAAGAAATAGAAATATGTCGTTCATTCTGTTAAAGTGTCTGAACTACACATTTATCATTCCATGATTGTTTGTGTCTTATCTTGTGTTAAGTTTAAAAAATGAATGTTGCACAATAATTACCTTGTCACGCTCTGGCGTATGAATAATGAAGTGTTTTTTGGTGTTTTTAGCTGGTTTTACACAAGGACTGCTTAGGAGTACTGCTCCATTATCGCACTTGTTTGGCTTAACTTTGGTGTTACCAGCTGCAGGTCTCTGTTTACATCCATGGCCTATGTAAAAAACCAATCATATGTTTAGAACTTACATAGCATATAGAGATAAATGTAATATGTGCACTGGATTTTTAAATTCAATGTTAATTAGTTGCAAGAGGTAATTATCTTCGGTCTATGAATCCACACATGAAATGTATAAAAGTGATGTTTTAAAACATCATTAGCCTTTGGTTGTTTAGGTTGAGGGAAAATGATGGAGCTTGAAAATTTAATCGAATCTCTAATGAAGACTATTGAAATAAAAAATTATGTTATCTAAAGAATGCTTCAATATGCATCACTCTGAAATGGCAGAAAATAAATTTTTGACACGTTTCAAATGCAAATTCTGGTAAAAGTTCATAAGAGCATTACATCATAATTGGTAAACTGTTGCAACTAGCTTTGAACAAGGATCATTTATGCTTTATTCCACGGCTTAAAGAAAAGTTATCATTCCCAGTTTTTTCTGTCATGTTCTTTATGAGAATCTTTCATTCAGTAATTCATTTCTACAGGTAATTTACAGCTTGGATGGCAAAATGTCATTGACTGGAGTTTAAATATGTCAAATGCCTTCTGTTGGTTTAAATGGTAAGCTAAACTACAATTAGCTTGAAGACAGGATCAAAGATCATTAAAGATAGCAGTAGAGATCAAAACAGATTACAAATTATGAAGATAAATACTTTGGGACCAATTTTTCAAGGTGCAAAAAATGTAACAAACTTTGGATTGTATAGTGTCATTGGTTGGAGTAAAAATTTGTTGATGATATTCTTAGGAAAAAGTGCTGAGCATCTTCTGTTGGTTTAAATGATATGCTAAGGTACAATTAGCTTAAAGGCAGGATCAAAAATCACAAAGCATAACAGAGAAGATCAAAACATGTTACAGAAAATAAAAACGTGACATGGTCTTTTAACTTGCAGTGCACCAAGCCAAAACCAAAAGATGCCAAGACATTCAGTTTTCTTAACCTTTTCTGTTTTGAATATCAGTTCTTGTCCCTAAAATCGACAATAAGTGCTTTGTAAAGTGACTTTGTAAATGAGCTGTTAATAAACCGCTTTCATTTCAAGCATATGGTAAGATTTAGAGACCAATTAGACAAATTATGCTGTATATCTGACAAAAGCTTGTGATTTCTCTTTGGGTGATTATTAAAAATAAAAATTCCCAGTTTCCTTCAATGAAATATCTCCACGATGTACCTTCTAAAATTATAGCATCTGTAATGTAACCACCCGTGACGAACCCTTGAATTTTAAAACTTACCGCAATTGACGGAAAAGAAATAGACGAAGAAAAAGATAAACAATAAATTTAGTTAAAAATATTGCTTTTGGAATAACATTATTTATAGCGAAAGAAATGCGGAAGAAGCACTCCTTAGCAATCGATTTGATTGTTTTTTAATAGCATTTTGATGGGTAATAACCTGTCTTAATGCGCGCATATGACAAATTGTTTGTTGATTCATTGAATTCACGTCGCTTATGATAATTTAAATTGCGCGCAAATAAAGATAAAAGCATCTGCGTCGAAAACAAACAGAGTGAAAAATATTTGCGTATTTGTTAAGTTATTCGAAAGTTTAATAGAAGTGGATCAAAAATAATTGTTGCTTAGATACTTCTCTGCTTGTGAAGAAATGTCCATGTAAGCCCATAGGGGAAGGTTTAAAGTGCGCTATGATATGTATCTCACAATTTCATCCACTTGTTCGGTTTTCAAGCCAAAGTCTCATAAAAAGTCTCCTAAACCACGCCATCTTAATCATTTTAGCTCGCGTACAAACCTTGATAAGGCGTTGGAGCTTGAGATTTCTTTCCGTGCTCTTTTACTTTCTCATCACGCTCTTCTCGTGCGCCGTGACCATCTGGCGTGTAGTTAGCGAGTCCACACTGCGAGATCCCACCTTCACCAAAATTCACATGAACAACTTGCGAGCCTGACACACAAACACGGTTGGCTTCTCCGACATTTTCTTTGATTGCAAAGGTGTTAAAGAAGCAAAGGAATATAACAATCAAACGTGACTCTAAAAAGAAGCGCCACGCAGCCATGTTTACGTTTGTACGCAGCCCCAGACCTCCTCTGGCTTGAGACATTTCATGATCTGTTACACAATAAAGGTATGCTCTATCTCAATGTTTTCTTGCCATCCCCAGTTTGAGTTCAGCGTCGTCAATGATCGGAAATTGTATTTTATCGTCTAAACGGGGCCTAATATCGGGAATTTGATTATATTATAACATTCATGGATGTCTTTTCGCCTAAGAGGGTAAGTAAAAGGCCTTTTACAATATGTGTTTGTACGAATAATACTTCAGTTGAGTCCAATCTTTCTGTCACCTGACAACGAACACAAATAATGTTGAATTATTAGTTTTCTTTCTTTGACACACTAATTTTTATCTGTAGATATTCATTGCAGACTGTCAGACTGTCCTTTAAAAAAATAAAACTAACAAAAATTTGTCCTATGATGAGATTTAGTAACAGATATCGTAAGATATTTTAACAATCGCTATCATTTCTGAAATTGAATTTTTTTAAATATTTTCAACTGATGTGAAATTTTGAGCGATCTTTGCCGTAAGTTGTTATTTACTCAAATTCCTCTTACAGAAGTTGAGAATGGTAATGTGAACACATTTTAAATGTTTTAAAATGATTTCTTAATTGAATTACAAAAACTTTGTAGTTCGGGAAGAGGCATTTTGAAGCAATTAATTTAAGGGCCAAATATTCTTAGCTGAAAAATACTTGACAATTAAGCTTATTCCGTGCCATGTCATTTTAAAAGGCATGTTTGAATTCCTGCATAAATGAAGATGTTAATAACATTAGCAGAAATCAAATTGTAGTTTGACTGGTTCAGGTTACTAACTATCAATTAATGGTTTAAAATGCTTTGTCCAAATAAAATGACAGTTTATTTAGAGACATGACAGCTAAAATGGCATGTTTTACCTTCTTTGTGGATGGAGAGATGTAACATTTGCATAAATCAAAGTTTGGTTTGATACATTTGCCACAGTACTTTTGACTCCTTTTTAAATGGACTTAAGGATTTGGCCAGTAGAGATCGCTGAACTAGAAAGGTCTGCCTGCATTTGTACCATACTTCAGTTATTGTGAATTAAGATTTATTATCCTCAATGACAAAGGATAAAAAGTGAAATATTCTTAATGATACTTTTTTCTGCAAGCTCAGAATGATTTTGGACAGTTCATATAAATTGCAGTTCTCATTTTTAGCTAAGAAACACAGGAATTTGTCAGGCTTAACTAAAGGGGTAGCTAAATTAGGAGGTATTTTTCTCTTAGCAGGGAAATCCTACCATATCTGGTGTGTAATAAACGCATTCAGGTGGTATCAGAAAGTACTTCTTTGAATGAAAATTGAAAATTGGCAGATGCAACATTCTTAATAATTTTGTTTTATGATATGAATAACTGCAAAGAATTCTCCTTCTTATCTAAACTTAATTCATTTAAACTTACCTTATTTTCATGTACTCTGATAAGGGGCTAGTACTCGAAACATCAGGGTGGGTGGGCTAATAAGCTCCAGTACAGACTATTTTTTTTACTTTACGCATAGGAAAGTTAGTGGATTGCAGCAGCTAAACGAGTGGACTGATATTCTGTTACATGATTTGCACTCTTCTGCACCTTCTGATAAAAATTCCTTTGAATCTAATTCACACAAAGAGGACAATTTAAAGAAAAACAAGGACATGGCTAAGGTACTGGTAAATTAAATGTAATTATAAACTATTAAATATTTTAAAACATTTCACTAAATTTATGAAATTTATACCTGTTAACCCATTGACCCCTAAGAGTGATAAGTATTTAATTTCTCCTTACAATATCACCTTTGAATCACATATTAAGGTCATGAAAAGGAAAGAAATGATCACCAACAAAAGAAGCTCTTGATTGTTAAACAAATTCTCTTTGTCAGCACCTTAAGAAATCTGTAAAGAACAGTATGGAGAAATCGAATAAGCATACTGATGTTAAGGTGTAAAGGGTTATTGTAAGAGTTTGAATATTTTGATTCCAATTATAGAGTACTAGAACTCAGGTTTAATTCTAAATAACTTCTAAATTTAAAATCATTGTTAACATGAACATGATTGTTATCAATTTTTTAAATTAATTCTCTGGTGTTGCAACTCAAATTGGTAAATTATTGTTCCCTTTGTATCAGATTATGATAAATCTAAGACCAAGAATAAAAAAAGATAAACTCTGGTTTGGACAAGTTTAAACTAAGATAAATTTTGAACTATAAAAGATATGATTCATTTCAAGTGAATCCATTTGGAAGTCCACCCTAAAAAGGAGGAATGTTAATAAGCTGGCATAAACAGTGTCACTGTCTAACTTTCACACATTTGAAAATTTGGTATTTTCTCACTTGATATCAAAAAAAAACCTTGCTTTTTCTTTTATACTAAAGATTTTCTCTATCTTTGATCTTTGCCGTCCATTTTGTGTGCACTTGGTCTCCTTCTCCTCTGAATAATCTGTTTATAATTAAAATAACCCACCCTTTTAATTAGGATGAAACAACACTCTTTCTGTTCTTTATTCTGTTCACTAATTTGTTTGAGAGTAACTCTGTCTGTTTTTTTACTCCTGAGTAGTCATCATCTGATGGTGAAAATAACAGGAACTTTGCTGGTTATAACATGCTGTTAGTTGATCTCCCTCCTTCTCTTGCTTCTTCTGATGCTGCTGATGGTTCAAACCTTAATCTGGTAACATTTCTTACTTCTTTCTGTCGATTCTCTTGCTAATTATCTTCCTTATTCATAGTCTCTGGATATAAACTGCTTGCCATTTGGGTCGAGTTCATGTTGGTTCCCTTCCTTGCTCTGAGGCTTTTTCTCTAGGTCCTCTGGTTTTCCTCCCTCCTCCCTCCACAAAAAGCAGCATTCCTATTCCAATTCAATCTGGAAACAGTGCATGGACAAGAGGCATCACCTTGTGGAATTTCCACTTTTAAATTCCAATCACTCTTCATTGTTTTAAGGATCATCTCTCCATCTTGACAGGTTATACATCAATACCAACCCTACTGTCCTAGTGCAAAATGGTTAGGCGGCTGATTGCAATATTCTCAACTCCTACCACAGAAAATGAATCTGCCAATCTGCCAATCTGCCAATCTCCCAATGAAGTTGACTAATGTCCTCTAGATAAGAATTAGTTGGGACATTTTTTCATAGAAGTGGGAGAATCAATTAAATATTTAATTCTCCATTCAATTGTAAGTGGATTTTCTTTACTGGGATAGTTTTACTTAAAAGGATGTGAAAATGGGAGATTGGAAAAATCATGGTTTCTGAAAAGTGTGTTCTGTGAGTCACATTCCTGAGTGACAAATGCTCTCAAAATTAAGATTCCAACACTGTACATTAAAAAATGTCTGTTTAAATTAGATTTTGAATTCTTAAACAGGAAATCAAACAGGGGAGGCGGGCTGCACAGATTACCCAACCTCAACAGGATGCTGAGGAGGATATTTTAGATGCAGCTCTTGGAGACATAGCAACTGAAAGTAATAATGCATTTGCTGCCATAGAAAATGATCAGGTTTGTCAACACAGAACTTTAAGACTGATATAAACTAATAAACGAGCATTTGAGGTGGGGGGACCACTTAAGGCAACTTTGCACCATCACTTAAATTTATATTCTGGATGTTTTCTTTTTTTAGCCTCCACCAAAACCATCTAGAAGACAGGGAGGCTGGGCAGATGACACACCCAAAGAGAAGAAAAAAGGGTCAGGAGAAGTCATTTTGTTTACAGTTTATAAGCTAGTTGTCATCTGAGTTTCAATGAAATAAGACGGACATCGGAATGTAGTGTTCGAGATCGGACAGTAGGGTCTGAAACTGGATGGTAGAGTCCGAAATTGGACAGTGAGGCTGAAATTGGAGTGGAGTGCGAAATTGGATGGTAGTGTCTGAATTCAGCCAATGGCGTCTGGAATAGGAAGGTAGTGAAATAAATCGGACGGCAGTGGCGGAAATCGGACGATAGTGTCCGAAATCGGACGATAGTGTCCGAAATCGGACGATAGTGTCCGAAATCAGACGGCAGTGCCCTGATTCATACGGTAGTGTCCGAAACTAGACGATTCTGTTCGAGATCGGACGGAAGTATCCGAAAGCGGAAGGCAACGCCCGAAGTAATGGAAAGAGTTGTTAATCCGACGGGAGCTTTGCGAAATCAGACGGAAACGTTTCACGTCTGACATAGCTGTTTGAAATTAGACTCTAATATATGAAGCATTTCCAATAAACTTTCCATCAATGTCATACATCAATGTCAAAAAACTGGTTTCATTCATTGAGTGAGGTTGGCAGTGTTAGGAGTTTGCATCTTTTACACCTCCATTAGAAATCCATCTATGGCATATTAAGGTGAACATTGTAACCAGCTCTTGTCAGCATCGGGCCGTTCGATGTGCTTTGGCGGAATTTAAAACTCACTGAATCTGAATAAAAGTATCATTGATGTCAACGCAGGTCGCCAAACTAATGACTTTCGCTGGAAATTTAGTCGCCAAAATTATTTTTTACTCGTCTTGGCAGAACAGTCGCAGCTTGGAGAGCTTGATTTACAGAAGCTCATCGATTGCTTTTTTTTGTATTTGACAGGAGAAGAGACGTGGAAACCTTCCAAGAAGAAGAGTAAGCTTTTACAGTATTTTTTTTTGAAAAACGAAGGCTCCCAAGTAATTCACATTTCACTAAAAATAAAATATTTTGTTTTTCTTGTGTAGTGAAAGACTCAAAATTGATAACTCAGTTACGCAAGATGAGGATGATGGTGGTGAGAAGATAAATAACTTTGTCAAATTTGATCGTATTTTACTGAAACACTCATAGGCTGGACAATCATATAGCTCTTATCTGGTTTCTTTGTATCTTATTCCAGGCGTTCAGTTGGTAAAACGAAGCGCTATAATATTCACCTTCGAGCAGCTTGAAGAGACTAAATGGCGCGCCAAGAGTTTTTTTTTTCATTTCGTTTCTCGGTTCATTGACAGACGTTAACTGATGTCTTTTGGTTTTTGTGTAATGTGTACGAAATGGCGCGCCAAATGTTTTTAAATTTTCTTCCTTTTTTCGGTACATTGACAGACGTGAACTAATTTTTTTTTTTTGGTTTGTGCGTGATGTGTACTAAAGTAATTATTCACTTCAATTTTGGTGACAGTGATGGTTATTTACCTCGCTGCTCCGTGGCTTAGTAAAAAGTATCTTTCCACTTCCATTTCGGCGAATAATTGTCTACTATCTCGATGGTTACTGGATTTGGTGGTCTATGAAGATAAACCGTTTTATTCATGAGCACGGAACTCTCACAGTGAAAGAAAGAAAATACTTCTACTTTCCAGTATTTATACAAAATTGGATTTCTTTTCCTCAGATATTCCTGTCATCCCAGACTTAGAGGATGTACAAGAAGAGGACATGATGACACAGATTGCAGCCCCACCCAGGTGGGATGTTACTCTACCCACGGAAGGGGGGGGGGTGGGGTAGACAAATATTCCTGTGATCCCAGACTTGGAGTATGTACAAGAAGAGGACATGATGACACAGATTGCAGCCCCACCCAGGTGGGATGTTGCTTTACCCATGGGGGGGGTTGCAGGAATTTCCAAAGAGTGGCCCTAGCATTCTTTGTTTTGATTAAGGGGCATACCACGATTTTCTTTCTTTTTTTTTTTTTTTTTCGGGGGGGGAGGGATGGGGGCCAACTGCACCTTGGAATTCCATCCTCTAAATTAGACCCTTGCCCTTGACCTCTATTAACGCTGTTACTCTCCGGAATGATCAAAGAGTAATTTCTTCTCACGATATCGATACATTGTTGCACAGATAGGAGATGGGAAGGATGAAAAATATCAATCAGGATATAGATTGATTTAACATTTAATTCTTAGAGCAAAAAATATAAGAAATATGGATAGACAATGCTGATAATTTACATGTAGATCTTGGGAATGAAAGGGTTGTGTTGGCCCTTTTATTCTTAAAACGTCCGTGAAACTTGTGAGGTTAACTGAATTCTTTGTGAGGGAAATAGGAGTCGTTTCAAAGGAAACTCTTTGAAACAAAAATTATCTCAGTTGTGTCGTAGGGGAATCTTTGTTTCACAAAATGAGCTGTTTCGAAAATCTAATTTTTCAATTTTTCTGTACAGTGTGCAAGTAAACAGAGTGGCGACCTACAAGGAACTGGACAGTTATTTTCAGAAACAATCAGCGCTCTTTAATGTTAACTTACTTGTGAGTGTTTTTAAATCAGGAAAGGTAGAAAAATCCTGGTTGTTTGAGGAGAGGAAATTTGAATGTAGAGAAACTGAAACCCTGCATCGTTTAAACTGAACACAGAGAATCTTAGCAATGCTTTTTCCACAACGGAAACACTTTCGAGTAAGAGTAACCGGGAAATCGTCAGATATCTTAATGGGCGCTTGTTGAACTAGTTTTTTCAATTCCAAGCAGTCTTTTAGGTGCTAATTTTTTGCACACGCAGGAAAAGGAGAGAATTTTTCTTCATGTTGGTCTCTGTTTTCTTCGTCAAGAGAGCTTATCGGTATTCAACCTTTATTCCTTCGAGCAGTTTTCAATGGGGTATCGATTAGACTGCTTTGTTTTGTTTCCGCTCTATGATTGGTCCAGAAAACTCGCGCTACCATCTCAACCAATCAGATACAAACCTAACACCAATCCCAACTTGGTCACCCGCGTTTTCCCGCCCCCGAGCAAGCTGCCTGTTTTTACTTTGAGTTCTCGTAATGATGTTAACCTTTAATCCCTAAGAGTGACTTGCATCTAATTTCTCCTTACCACATCATCCCTGAATCAAACATAAAGGTCAGGAGAATAAAGTAGCTGATCACCGACTAAAGAAGCTCTTGATTGTTAGACAAATTCTCCATGTCGGCATCTAAGGTAATGTTCAGAGAACAGTATGGAGAATATGCATACTGATGTTAGGATCTAAAGGGTTAACCTTGGTTAAGCTATTTTCTGTTTTCACCTTGAAGGATGGAGAAATAGACCTCAAACTTCTGACGAACGTTTTGTCACCAGAAACGGAGGTATTTGAGGTAGGGCACAATAGCCATGTTTTCACGCTGCTAGTTTATAATAAAGTGAACAGTGTGCGACCAAAATACAAATGAATAAAGGGGGTAAGTTTCTAAAGAAACTGTGGTGCTGCGTCGGTGGGAGAGTATAACAGGGTAATTAAGTATTATCAATTGAGTTGATGACGTGAATTGGCCACCGTGAAAATTTTTAGAGCTGAACTTTCGAGCGTTAGCCCTTCGTTAGAGCGAGTGCTCGAAATACTAAATTAGCCTGCGACCAAATTAGCTTGAGTAGATATTCTTTTAGAATCCTACTATCATCTTAGTCAGCACAACGATGCCGGTTGGGTTAAGGTTAAATTGTGGATTTTTTATGTACAAGTGAGCTACGATAGTGCAAGGTGCCCATGTTTAAGCTGTGCTAGTGAAATTAGGCATTGTAGCTGAACAGGTACCGCGCTGGACTTGGATGCGTAAGGCCTGGGTTAGAGGCCGAAGTGTGTAAGGTGCTTGAAAATGTATCGATGCTGTTAGGAGAAATTCATTGATTGGTCACACATGGGAGTGAAAGGGTTCAACTGTTCTCTTTTTCATTATTTAATCCCATAGGAGGATAAACAGTGGGACTGGGACCGACTATTCACTGAAGTTGCGTCTGAGCTGCAAAGTGAGTGGAACACAGACAAAGTAACCGAGGAAGTTGAGGAATCCTAGAGTAAAAAACGCACTGTAAAGCTTAACATAAACATTTTAACTTATTGACGATAAAGGATGGCGTCGGACCAAGGATTATCCCACTTTATGAAGGCAGCGCAGACGAACTCAGTAATCAAGCAAAATGTTCAGCCGTTTTGTTGCCATCTTGCGTCGTTTCTCCAACTTATTTGAATTTTTCTTTCTTGTGCATCGGTATCTGTTACACAGTTTTTCGTTGGTTTGATATTTCGTCTTTGCAAATAGTAGCGTATACCATCAGCACATTGTACATTGCTAACCTGGAGATAATTATTTAAGTATCTCAAAATAAAAAAAAAAGTAGTAACTGTTAAGATTGCAAATTTTCCAGGATAATTGGAAAGTGGATTGTTCCGATTTAATACCAATGGGCATCCGAAATTCGTCTCGAAACCATGAACTAGTTGTAACTGATAAAATGGTCTCAATATGTGGCAGCTCAATGTCGTTCCCAGAGGTCACCCTTCCCTAATCCCCTTCGGGAAGGAAACGAAGACCCGCCTGCAAGGGATAAGAGAAGCGCGACCTTTTGAACGAGATTGGTCGCGTTAAGGATTGAAATCGGCGGGAAAATACAAGTCGTACCATGCCAACGAGCGTCCCGCGCTCTCTACGCCCACCTATTTTTTTCGCTGTCTCTTTTCTTCGCGTGATGAATTTAATTGGGAAGGAGCAACGGCCCTTTATCTAGAAATTGAGCAAAGCAATAGTTGTAACGATTGCGTCCTTCATTGTTGATAAAAACAACAGCCAACGGGAACAAAGGAAAAGAACTTGAAGTAAAAACAAGCAAATTGCCTGAAGCGCGGGAAAACGCGGGTGACCAAATCACGATCAGCTTTGGTTTGAATCTAAATGGTTGAGAAATTAGTGCCACTTTTCTAGACCAATCACACACCGAAGCAAAGCAAAACTAAAGATATCCCGGATTAATATTAACACAACTGAAAATTACTCTCGTTCACGTTATATTTTCCTTTCTTGGGATGCTAATATTTGGAAATAAAATAAAGCATGATTTTTCTTCTCTCTAAATTTCTATTTCAAATTTCGGAAGCTAACTAATGCATAATATTGTACCAATTCCTCTTAAGGAGCGAGCGAGGTTTTCAATAAGTTTTCCTTGTAATGAAGTGTCATGCAGTTAAGCCGCTTTCTGGAGTAGAGTTGTACTCCGTCGATCAATTAAAAATTCGACTACCGTTAAAATCCGTGAAGAAAATTTCCTTAAAATACAAATTTTAGAACCAAACATAAAACGGTCCAAATAAGATAACAAAAATAACTCGCACTGCAGTTTTTCAATGCCCTTCATTGTCAGATTCCGACTCTACAATGACATCATCGGAATCATCATCGGCTAGGTTCGTGCCCTCATTCGCCTTTTCGTCTTCTACAATGACGTCGTCAGAGCCATATGATCCAGTCTCTTCTTCATCAGATCTTTGATTCACGTGTAAACTGTCGACCTCCTGAGCTTTCTTAGACTTGAAAATAGCATCGGAGCCTTCGGAAACAAACAGTTTTTTTCGTACGTCGTCGGTACTATTCGGGACTCCAGCTGCTTCAGAATGTCCTCTAGCGCCTCTCTTCTTCAGAGATTTCTCAGTTGCTGGGGTTGATGGAATGCAAAATTCGTCACCGCACTTGAGAGGTGGAGCAAGTTTGGCCATGACCTTGAAGGGGTTTGCAGTCTTACTTTCCGTTTCACTCTCAGTCGTCAAAATAACCCGCACCGTGTTGAAGGTCTTTAACACTTGCTCCTCTTCGTGAATCACATCACCCCAATTCAACTCGGCGCTCCAAAGCAATCGCAACTCGGCTGGTTTCCCCTTCTCACCTTTGGTGAACGCGTAGCGCTTCACCCCGGGACAGAATTTCATGTACACCCTCTTGACCATGCCCAGTTCTGGCACAAGAACGTCAACTGATTGGTCCATTACGTTCAGCACAATTCCATCTTTCTCCAGAGGGCCGCTTTCACGCACAAAAATACCAAAGAACATTTCGGTGCTCAATTCGCCGGCTCTTTTAGCTGCCAGTTTGCGATCATTGCAATGGTGCGCGATCATGTCAATGGTAGAGGGATCCTGGTCCAGTGGTTCATCGATTCCAAGGCTCGCAGCCAGAAGCCTGTGCACTACTACATCTGCGTATCTTCTTATCGGGGACGTAAAGTGTGTGTACAGAGGCACGCTTAGGGCATAGTGTCCATATTCGCCGTCATCTACGCACCCCGTGCAAAAATACTCCGCGTTTTTCATGGGACGCATAGCTAAATTGACAAGAACTTCACGCTCAGGAGAGGAGAGCGGAAATTGTGCAAGCGACTCGTGAATAGTCTTGGATGAAGTGGTGTTGAACTCAATACCAAGCGATCTGCACAGCTCAAGAAGATCGTCGAGCTGTTTCTGTTGCGGTTTTGGGTGTCGTCTTAGAAGCGCTGTCTCGGGATACGACCTGTAGATGTGGTGAGCAATCGCCATGTTGGCAAGCAACATGAACTCTTCAATAAGCCTGTTCGAGTCGCGCTGTTTGTGCACGTGGTACCCGCTAGGCATACCGGTTTCTTTATCCAGATCAAACCGGAGTTTTGCTTGGTCCAAACGGAGCGCGCCATTCTCTAAGCGATTGCGCCTGAGACGGATTGCAAATTTATGAAGCTGATTTACCTGCGCGGAAATTTCCTCCGCAGTAGCACCGTCTGAAATCGGGGGAAGCTCGTTTTCATTCCATTTCCTGTTCGGCTTTTCAATCATATCTTGCGCATGTTCGTAAGCCATTTTTATTCGCGAGCGAATGATTCCCCTTCCCTTCCAATCGTCAATTATTTCTCCTTTGCTCGTTATTTTCCAAACAATGGAGATTGTCAGGCGGTCTTCTCCAGGGTTCAGACTACACAGCTCTTCGCACAATCGCCGTGGGAGCATGGGTAAAACTTTCTGCACCATATAAGTGGATGTTGCTCTCTCGGCAGCCACTTCATCCAGCGCTGTTCTTGAGCGAACGAAGAAGCTGACATCGGCAATATGGACGCCAACTTCAAAGAGGTCATCTGCGAGTTTCTTGCAGTGTACTGCGTCATCTAAATCCCTGGCTGTGAGAGGATCAATGGTAAATACGCAATCATCGCGGAAGTCTCTTCTGGTATTTCAGTTCCTCGCAGGGTACTTTCCAAGGTGTTTCTTGGGGTAAACACGCCAGGGCCTCGTCCGAAAATGGCCCAGAATCTATGCCGTACTCGAGAAGGATCCCCTCTGTTTCGGGTTCTATTTCACCTGCTTCGCCCAGGCTCCGCGATATTGAACCAATTGCGAGAAACGAATCCCGGGAAGAGTTCTCAGGCCAACTCACAATACGTGCCACGTGCAAGGTATTTTCGAAGTCACGTGGTCTGTTAAAGAATCCCGGCGGGCAGTTGTCCCGCGGGATACGAAACCTTGGCAACCGACTGTCAATCGGGGAGAAACACCCATCAGGTCTTTCTTTGGGATGGGGGAAGGGTTTTAGATGTCCGCTTGCAACCCGCGAGTGTTTCTTCTCAATGATGTAGACCACTTTGGCTCTTCTTTGTAAAAATTCGTCAGGAACTTGATTGACATCGATGTAATGTTTTTGACGACGTGACTCAGGGGTATGGCCAGCCTTATTCTCGATACGGACCGTCCTCGCTGAAGGAGATTGCATAACATTCGCAGGGCTCACGGCTAAGGAGCCTAAACTATCAGCTAACTTGTCAACGTGGTTATTCTCTGTATTTTCCCCTGTCAAACCGTTGTATTCCAGTTCTTCCAGCATTATTTTCCATTTATCCTTGGGATATATCTTCAACACAACGACGTCGTTATTTAGAGCACGGTTACGATTCAACATTCCTTCCAAGAGTACATCGCGTTTTAGACCCGGTACTGTTACCCAAGCCAGCTCATAGTTTCGGGGACTAATCCTTAATATTCCTTTCACAAGTTCTCCTCTTTTTAATCCATCTGAGACTCTCTCTAAGGACCAATACTTTTCGTAGAGCGGTTTCTGTTTCTTGTTGCCACTGCTGGGCGTTCTTCGAGTTGAATTTCTACTCTTCTGAGTATTTGGAGTGGATTGATTCGCATTTTTCGTCTCTGAATCTTTAGCGGACACTTCCCCGTGGTGAACACTGTCGTTTGGTTCTTGACTACGATGTAAATCACTCCCCACAAGGTCGTGATGGCTTATCCCTTCGCTGGCTTCCTCGCCATCTTGAACTTTATTTGTTTTTCTTCGCCTATTCCTCTTCCTTTTACTGCCACTCGTATTCTCAGTGGTAGGCAAATCTTGACGATCTTCTTTCTCCCCACTGTCAGCAAAGTTTGAGCTCGCATCGTCCCCTTTTGCCATGATTTCTTCTGTTTCTTCAACTGGTAGTTCTGTTTCTTGAAATGGCGGTGGTTCCTCGCCCAGCTGTGCACTTTTTCCTTGTCTTCTTCGCGATCTGCTCTTTTTCTTGCTGTCTGCTTTTGGTTGATCTTGACTAGCAGTGAATTCTGAATCGATGCAATCGTGTTCTTCTTTATCAGCAAAATCGCTCAGCTGTTTAGCTGAGTCAGGGGAAGTACTCTTCGTAACATCACAATCGTATTCCATTGCATCACAGCTGGTATTTGCTGACATAGCACTTACAGTTTCAGAATCTTTTTTTTTCTTTTTCCTTCTCTTCCGTTTCTTCTTTGTATTTTGAGATTTGCCATCTGTAGCATCTTCTTCTCCCCTTGCATCATTATTGCCGACCACATGTGTCGAATCAATCGTGTTCTTTGCTTCCTCTTTCGATTGCTGAATCTTTGCACGTGGATCATTAACAATAGCACGCGCACTAATGCTGTCTGCGCGAGCATTGCTCTCGGAGGGCTTTGCACAATCTGTAAAATTTTTTGCCTCTCTATTTCCCTCGCTGTTACTTGCAACTGCGTCTTTTGAATCCATTGAAAACACACTGACCTTTGCAAAATTCAAATGAAGGTAAAGTCGAACTAGAATCGAAGTGAAAGTAGTGTGTGATCCGTTCAGTATTATCCAAAATTAAGCCAATACAGAGCGCTTCATTTAAGTCGAATTAATGTCTTGCATCACTTTTAACATGGAATGGCTCAGTTTCACCTTAGGTGTTGCATTAGAAGAGAAATTCTCGTGTTATCCGTCTTTCGCTGTTTCCGCCATCTTTCTTTTGTTTGTTTTTTTCTGTTACCCGTGAGACTTTGAAGTATTTGCGTAGTCACGTGATCACTCGCCGAGAAAAACAAGATGGCCGCCTCTGGAGGCACGCAAATGACATCTGGAATGATCAAGTCTTCTCAAAATATTCTGCGATCAGATGTTCACTAGAAGACACCCAAGGAGCCACCATGAGTTCGGACTCTCAAACGCTTCAAGCCAAGTATCAGAAACTAGCTGCAGAATTTGCAAAGGTACTTAACCGTGAATCGCGTCAAAACATCACAGCCATATCTGTCAAGTTAACCTTGCTAGAATGACTTAGGTTCATTAAAGATCTTTTTCCTCGATCGTTTCACGTAATCTATTTACAAAACATTTTTGAATCAAATATCACAATTTCTTGAAATACTTAGGGGTCACTTGATAAAATTACCTTTAGCGATTTTCAGCTGATCATAAAGAGAGAGATATATATAATGAATCCACAGTTTTTATTTTGTTTAATCATTTAGCAAAGAGCGCAGAACACGGTTTTAAAGAAGGCAGTTATCGAGGAACAAGAGAAAACCAAGACCCTTCAGGTAAGGAGATTTAATTATTTTAGTTATTTCCTTCTACATCCTTTCTCGGCATGGCGTCTTTTCTGTAGTAACTCATTAACAGTATTCGTTTGCATGTTCTTTGAAAATTTTATCTAAAAAATTATTACCTACTCTAGGAAACATTGCGGCAGAAGGACCAGTCTATTAGAAAATATGAACAGGAGATTGACAGCCTACAGTTCAGAAATGATCAGGTGGGACAGGAATCACTGAATTAAATTGGCAACTTTTATGATCAAATTTTAGGAGGTTGAGGTCTCATGAAATGAGTTTTGACCATGGCATCTCAGGATTACATGTACTTTGGTTGCTGAGTTAAAACTGCGCTATGTTTAAAAGCTAATGACAGTCAAACCTCTCCTCAATGGCCACTTTTGGAACAGTGGGGAGACAAGTTCAGAGAACTGGAATTTATAAAGATAGGATTTTGATTATGACACCTCCTTTTTTTCCCATTGATTTTATAAGTTGTCAAAGAGAGTGGCAGTGTTGCAAGAGGAGCTTGATGATTATGATGGAAAGAACAGAAGAGGAAAGGTTGCTATTGTTCATATACTATTTAGAGTTAAGGGAGACAGTGATCTAGTGGTTAGTGCCAAGGCCCTTATTGTTCAAAGCTTGTATAACACTATCAACAGGGTAAATCTTTATGCAGTGGATAGTGCAGGATGCTTTGCAATTAGTTATCTGCTGGAATAGAAGTCTGGGTTTGAGACCTGGCTAGGTCAATGTGTTGTGTTCTTGGGCAAAACACTTCACTCTCACAGTGTCCCTCTTCATTAAGGAGATTAGATGGGTACCAGAAAATTGTCATGGACACCTGATGATATGCTGGGAAGAAGCTTGTGAAGTACTGGCATCCCATCCAGGGGGGTGTAGTGCTACTCTTTGTCGCCTTATGCTATGTAAAGAAGGATAAACTCAGCTGGGAGGGTACTTAGCTTGAGCACAGGCTTTGACTTTTTAAGGATTACTTCCTCTTTCCGAGGACTGATATCATTTATCAATTCTCATTAAAATTCTTCTGTGATTCCATGCAGATTAGTGATGAGAATACAGAAAATTATCAGTTGGATGAAATTGATTTGATATAACAACAGATTCTCAGAACTGCTCAAACAAAAGACACATAATTGAAAATGAAAACTTGTAGTGATGCAGAATTATTTTTATTCATTGTCAGAGGTATAACGTATAGAGGTATAAAGCAGTCTTTCCTGATGAGTTTAAATTTGCGTCTTTGTTCACTGTTTATTTATTTTTGTTTATTTACCCAATTTCTTTTATGCATTTTAGTCAAGGATTGATGGTGTGACAAAGGGAGAGGACAATTTTGTAAAAGATCAGGAACTTCAGATAAAAATTCAAGAAAATGAGAGACTGCAGCGAGAGGTTATTATGATATCACAATTATTCATTCACTGGGATAGAGGTTTGTCAAATAAATTTAATCCTGTTTAATCATGGTATTTTGCAGTTGTATGAAACTACACAGGAACACAAAGGAACGATACTGACCCTTCAGGAAAAGTTGGAATCAATTGAAAGGTTAGAAGATGCAAACGATCAGAATGTTCTTCTAATCACTGAAGAGGGCTTATTTAGCACAAGAGCTGCTGAAGGTAGTGGGTGCCAGCATAGGCTTGCTAGAGAGGGGGGCTTATTAGAGAGAGGGGGATTTTTCAGGCAGGGACACCATCTTAGCAAAAGGATTCATTTGAGGGAGGGGTTTATTAGAGAGAGAGGACTTACAAGGGAGGGGGATCAATCAGACAGGGGGACCATCTTAGTAAAGGGCCTTATTTGAGGGTGAGGCTTATTAGATAGAGGTTTTTTTTTTGAGAGAAGGGGACCTATCAGGCAGGGGAACCATCTTAGTGACAGGACTTATTTGAAGGAAGGGCTTATTAGAGAAGGGGATATTAGAGAAGGGGAACTTGGTAGATAGAGGTTTTTTTTTTTTTTAGAGAGAGAGAGAAAGAGAGAGGACTTATAGATAGGGGACCCATGGTAGATAGAGGGGACTTTTTTTTTTTTTAAATAGAGAGAGAGAGGGAAAAGAGAGAGAGATGGGGGAGGCTTATAGATGGGGACAGACCCATCTTAACAAATGGTGCTTTTTGGAACCATCTTATCAGAGAGGAGACTAACTAGGGTGGGGATGGGCTTATTGGAGAGGAGGGCTATTAGAGATGAGGGTGGTGCTTGATAGAGAAGGAGGCTGTTTATTTGAAAGAGAGGCTCAACAGAGAAGAGGGCATATTACAGAGGGGTCCCTGTTCAAAAAGGGGGGGTCATAATAGACAGGGAGGTTATTAGAGAAGGGGACTTATTAGAAAGAAGTAGAGTGGTTCTAATAATCATGATGATAATAATGAAATAAACTTTATTCATTGGGACACATTTCCTGATACTTATAAACTGGTAAATTGAAATTGGTCATTTGTTTTCAGAAATTCCACTGATCACCAAAAGATTTTAGATGAGGCTAATGCAAAGCACAAAATGGTTGTTGATAAACTCAATGAGGAGAGAGCTTTACTGGAGGTTTGTGCAGCCATTTGTACATGGATCTTCACAACTTATACCTAAAATAATTGTTCAAATTTCTGTATAACTGGTGTCTTGATTCTGAGCCCCTAACCCTCTAATTCTTAGAGGTTCAAAACACGTGACGCTTAAATTCCAGATCACTGTCTGTATTTGAGCAAGTGGGCACCTGCCCCTCCCCTAACCCAATAACAGTCAACTGATAACAACTTAGGGTTAATGTTGGGTTAGGGGAGGGGAGGGGTAGGTGAGAGGTTGCCCAGATGCAGGCATTGATCCAAATTTTCCTAACTGATCAATGAGAAAAGATAAAAGAGGTGAAAAGGCAAATTATTGATCAAGTATGAGAACTGAAATCACTTTTGTATTCTGTGATGAAGATTTACTCATTAATGTTTAAATCTTGTTTCATCAGGCAAAACTCCATAAGACAGAAGAGGAACTAAAAGTAGCAAGTTTAAAAGCAGAAAAGGGGTAAGATTTTAATAATAATAGATGTATAATGTCTTATGGACCTTGGTCAGACATGATAAAAACCAAGGGTGACAGAACTTCCTGACAACTGCACTTTTTCTGGGCTTTAATAACCCTTTAACTCCCAGAGGTGATTAACATGTAACTTCTCCCTATGACATCAGTACATTATCCAGCAAACAGGTAACGAGAATACTCAAACTTATCAGGTATAAGTTGTTATCTTAGTCTAACACCAAATTCTCATAACTTATATATAAAGAAATGTGTAGCAGCTTAGATGGGAGAATAAACAATCAGATCTTGGGAGTTAAAAAGATAAACACTGCCTAAAGGCTTACAATTACTCAAGGAAGAAAAGTAGGATGGCATTCATGTGCTGAAAATATCACTGCTATGAGTGACAATTTTCTTTTCCTATCTGACAGTCACCAGCAACTTAAGCTGTTACACAAAGAGATGACATCCAGATATGGTGAGAGAGAAGTTTAGGCACATCTGCAATTATTTTTTATGTCAGATAGATCTATGAATCATCAATTGGAATTACTGGTAGGAATTAAGTTGGAGAAAAACAATCTTGTGGCCATGAAACACAGATTCTTATCCTGAGAGGAAATTACTGGTCAGATCAATTGTCAGAAAACTTGGAGGAAATTGTTTGTGATCAGCCATTTTTTACCTGTGATACATAACTGATTTTAAATTTGTTCCTCTTGATGCAGTTGAAAAGTCCCTTGCAATGGAAAAATGTTCTTGACCTCACTTGATTCCAATTGTTTTTGTTAAAAATGCACCTTTCAAGTTTTATGCCTTAATCGCAAAAATTATTTCCATGTAATTTTAAGTGTTAAATCTAAAAATACAAAATTTACGGGTGCATGTTTCTTTATCATATTAAGTAGACTTATTATAAATAATTATTTTAAACACTCTCCTTTCAGATGATGTTTCTAAAGTTGTCACAGAAAAACTTCCATTCAATGATACAAGTGAGTACATCATGGCAGCTGGGTATCTCCAAGCCTTTAAACAGGAGTAAGGCCAAGGGTGACCTTGTTGTGATACAAACCTTGCTGCTTTTCAAATATAAATTGCCTTGTTATCATGCTAACTAGATACTAGTGTCTATCACAACAAGGTCACCTTCAGCCTCACTCGAAATTGAAGGCTTGGCAACGAAGTACACAACTGTAAAATGGTCCATTGTCGATGTGAGAGTCATTGACCCTTACTTATTTCCCTTCATTACTTTTCGTTAAATTGCAGGCATCAGAGAGCTGAACAAACTTAATGTACCAACACATGATCGTAGACACCAGGTAAAAAATAATGCCTTAACCCTTCACCTAACATCAGTATTCACATTCTTCTTGCTGTTTTCTTAACATTTCTTAAGATTCTAACAAGGAGAATTTGCTTAACAATCAAGAGCCTTTGGTTGTTGAAACACTTATGTGAGAATCTCAAGATAGATAGATAGATAGATAGCTTTATTCAAAATGGACAAAACACTTAGCCCAAGACTAGTTTACAGGTTTGGGACATAACAAAAAGATCAGAAAATAATACAATAATAATGGTGCTTATTTGTATAATTTCAACTATAACTTTCCAACCACCCTACCCCAGCCCACCCCACCCCCCCAGAAAACATGTAGTGGTCCTTCACTAAAATTATCTAATTTGTAACAAAGGAATGCTAATTTTTTTATAATTTACTGGATTCCCGCAGGTGAAAGCAAAGGAATTAATTTGTCAAGCAGTTGAACTCATTCGTGAGCTTGTATCAGGAATGTCAAACTTTCTTACCTACACTGAACAGGTATTGAAATTTTTCCTTTTTCAGTTGTTGAGTGTCATGTATTGTCTTTGAAACAACTTAACTTGTATTTAAAAAGCATTTCAGTATTGCAGTGTTTTTGTCAGTTTTGTGTTTTCTTTTTTTCTTATTTGCCTTGAATAGTATGTAACACTGGATTTTAAAATAGTTTAAACCTTAAACTTCTCCACTTTACAGCGACTCAAGACCTTCTTTGTAGAATCAGCTCAGCTGCAGATCAGTCCTGTCACACAGAAGGTGATGCACTGACTTACACTATCATAACAATAGTGCTACTAAATTTTTTGTTAATTTGCTGGGTTTTGCTTGAGCACTGAGTGACATACTCTTGTTGTATAGATAAATTGCTATGAAAATGATGTAAAAACTGCGCTCCAGGTCAGGACCATTTTGATTATGGTGATTGGTAGAACAAAATTTTGGTAACTAGATTTATGGTAACAACCAAAATTAATTTTTTAATCTGTATTTTATTGGTCATAAAGCAATTTGTTACTTGGAGTTTATGGTGTAAAATGAGTTAAAAATTTTCTTAAAATAAGTTATTGGAAATTTAGCACAAAATGACCTTTTCTCTTTTTTTTTTTTATTCAGATTATTTATTTTTACTCAAAAGGGATATTTAAGGGAATCTAATTTGGTCAAAAAGGTGTGGGTTTATCTGATTGATGTGGTACATAATTTATAATTCTAAATTTATTTTGTGTTTTTGTAGTTCTGTGAGTACCTTCATGGAAATGCAACAGTACTGAGAGCTGTGGATCAAACATTTGTGTCATTCTACAACAGCATCAAAACAGACTCTTTGATTTCTTTGGTAAGAGTGACAATGTTCCTACAGGTCAAAACAGATTATTGAAAAGAAATATTAACATAAGTGCATGTCGCTCATAGCTCTGGCCTCATATGATGGACATTGTGGGAAATGACGGACTGGTAATAGTTTACTGGGTGACTGAAATAAACAAAAGGAAACAAACTTATGGATTCGCAATAAAACTTCATGTGCACCATGAAGGCGTCTGTGCACTTTTTCTTCCTTAGTTCGGATCATTGCATATTGATTGAGAAGAAACATCTTACTCATTACTTTTAATAGTGTGTAATGATGTAGATTATTTTTGCCATGTCAGTAGATCCAGTGGTAGCTCTTGGGGGAGGGTCTGGGGGAACTTTATCTACTTCATTAGATTTATGGGTATTTTTGGTCCCCCCCCCCCCACCCTCATGGAAAATTTCTGGATCTGCACCTAACTTGTGTGTGGTGGTATATAGTTTGAAAGAGTATTTTATTTAAATAACTAATCAATTTTACTGTTTTTGTCCCTCTAGGAAACCATTCCTGGTTTTTATGATTTTTCTGAAGCATTTCATAAATACAGCAACTATTTAAAGAAGCTTCTTCCTTACTTTGTGTTGAGGTAAGGAGTTTTGATTTTATTGTCATAGTGATCATTGATATCATTATCCTGCCCATTCATATTATCTGTGTGAAAATGGTGGCTAAGTAGTTAGAATGCTCACATGAGATTTGGAGTCCTGAAAAAAATCGATCTGAGTCCTGGAAAATTCTTGGAAAAAGTCTTTGAAATTTGTTTCTGAAAAAGGGTATGGATCCTCGCGTTCATGGGCAAGGCAAGAAACTCTGATTGCTATGTGAGCTAATGCTGTATGTATAGTGATTTCCCAAGTTTATGACCACTGAAAAAGTAACTTTGTTCCAAAAGGTGTATTTTTTATTTCTTATTTCAAGCACCAGTGAAGAATGTAAAGCTTCAACTTGTTCCACTACACTAGAAGCCCACAACAAAGCTGTGCTGCACTCTCTAAGAAAGCTTATCACTGTGTTTAACAAGATTGACACTTACATTGGTGTCTTGGCCTCAGCAAGTACGTCGATAGTAAAGCGTTTTACCATAGAGTGTTATGAAATCAAAACTGATTAAAAATATATCACTATTGCTCTTTAGATCAAATAAAAACAAGAGGTAGGCGAGCATAGTGAACGAGAAGGGGGGGGGGGTGTGTGGCTTGTTGCACACTAATCTCATTGCATGTTATCTCGCCAAGCGCCATCTGAATATTTTTTCATATTTCCCCCTTCCCGTCTATGTGGCGGGAAGGGGGGGGGGGAAGGATTGTGCTTCATCAAATGGTCGTTAAGGAAGGTAGAACCCCCGCTTTCCACCTCCTCCCTGCTCCAACTGATGGAAAATATCACAAGGAACCAATGAGAACTATTAGAAAACATAATTATGTAACTGGCTGTAAGCGCGGGAAAAAGCGAGTGACCAAAAAGAGATAGGTCTTAGATTTGCATCTGATTGGTTGAGAGGGAGGCGCGAGTTTTGTAGACCAATCACAGAGCGAAACGTAGCAAAATCAATGAAATCCTGGATTACGTTTGACTTTTGGTTGAACATTACGGTGATAGTACCTTACCATGAGACTCTTCACACGTAAATCGTTTCTTTTTCTTTAACCGTAGGTTCCGGATCTGAAAGAATTCTACCAGCCAATTATAATGTTTCCTTTATGCATCTTAACTCTGCCCTGCAGCAACTTTATGAATGTGTTAAAGGTATGTTCTCGCCCTAGTGAACTGTTCTTGACTTATAACCTGTGTGATTAAGTTACATATGGAGCACTTTTCAACCAATCAGAGAGAATGAAAATATTACAGGCAACCAGTTACAAATCGAAATATAGACAGGCTGCCTGTGTGTGACCAAGGGTCAATGGAATTTGATTTTGAATCTGATTGGTTGAGAAAGTGGTGCGAGTTTTCCAGACCAAATATGACGAAGCAAAACCAAAGCAATATGGGATTACTTTAGACACTGAATTAAAAATTGCTCTAACACCGCGAGACACTAATTTTTTTTTTTGCAGTATTATCAACACACTTCCAGTCTAAGGTTTCTCTTGAACATCAGCTGCCAACAGCAACACAGGTTAGAAAAAAGAGAACAAACAAAGAAAAATAAAAACAGCGTCTTTTATCTGTGCACGAATTTGTGAAACTGTAGTAGTGCCTGATTAATCTGCGTTTTTTATATTGTAGACCCTGAAAAGCACAGACGAATGCATCGTTTCTTCTTTAGTGTCTCTGCTAACTGCTAGTGCCAAGGTACCACTTGATTTGTTTTAATACCTTTGGTAGTCGAAAGACGTCAGTGATTCGGTTTCGTCTCATTATTTTTTGCCATAAGATTTTCTTTGCTCTATAGACACCCTGGTCTTGTGGTCAGCAGTTGTATCCTCGACCCTTTGACCCCAAAGAGTGACCAGCATCTGATTTCTCATTACAGTATCACCACTGAATCACTCATTAACGTTATGAGAATAAAAGGAAATGATCACCAGCTTAAGAAGCTCTTGATTGTTAAACAAATTCTCCTTGTCAGCACCTTAGGAAATGTATAGAGAACAGTATGGAGAATATGTATACTGATGTTAGGATGTAAAGAGGTTAAATTTCACTCCCATTACTCACCCAGTATTCCTTTAAATCAAACTTCAGATAGGAAAGTTTATGAGTGGAAACTTGGATTTCTTCTCAACGAAGTCTGGCATCAAAACAAGAGGAATGACTTCTGCAGCTGATAGCGAGGTGAGTGTTGTAACATCAGCTCTTCTCTGTCTTTTAGCTTCCTTAGATTTCGAAGTGAAGATCAAGATGGAATAAAGCTGACGAATATGTTTTTTTCTCTTGACCTATTTTTTGGATTATGTATTAATCTTGTCGGGGAAGGGGGATTTACATGTTGTTTACTTCTGGAAGGGAAATAGTAAGAGCAGTTAGAAGCCTGTTGTCTGTTTCGTACGGATCAAGAAAATTTCAGTGATGGACTCGGAGCCTTTCTCTCTCTCTATCTATTTTGTTTTAGCTTACTTCATCGCCAGCTGTTTTGGAATTCAGACATCACGCTGCCGACTACATACAAAAGCTAATGCGGGTAAGTTGGTTATAAACATCCTTGCTTGCAGAGCAGGCGTAATTTTTTTAGTTTTTCAGACGAACGGTGGCGAGTGCTCTGTGAGGGTCACGAGCTCCTCCGCTCGCGTGTGACTTGCGGGAAGGAGACCTTGATTAACAAAAACCAAAAAAAATGATGTTTATTGTGTTTCTTCCAGCCATCCCCGGAGTCAGTTCCTTACAGAGTAGCGCTTAAAAATCACAAGATCCTGTTAAGTTCGACAGAAAGCAAAGATTCCTTAGAACAGCAGGTAAGCCATTTTTACTCGTGAGAATCTGTTTTTGGGTAAAAGCTTTTCGTTCACTGATCATCATCTTGGTTCTCTCAACTAAATGACTTAGATTTCGTAATAAAAGAAACGGAGAAAATACCATTTGGTCTTCTCGTAAAAAGCTTAAGTTTCCGTTGTTAGGTTACAAGGTATTAGTCAGGAACTTGTTATATTTGCATGATTTTGATGCTTTTTTCTTTAACTGGGGACACGCACGGCCTCATCGTCAACAAACTCGAGAGCTCCGTTTTCGAGCCTTGGCCTGGTCATTTTGTTGTGTTAGAGCGCTTTTCGATTGAGTGTCATAAGAACAAAACCAAAGTAATCACGACGGCCAATCCGATGAAAGGAAAATACCTGTAAGGGCCAATGAAAACTTAAAAACCGACCAAACATCCTATAGCGCGGGAAAACGCGGGCGAGCAAGTCGTGTTTGGTTTTAGTTTTGCATCTGATTGGTTGAGAGAGTGGCGTGAGTTTTCTGGACCAATCACAGAGTGAGGTGAAGCAAAATCAGAGCAATCCCGGAAAACTTTTGACACGATTAAGGGAGAGTTGACGAATCGGTGAAACAACATCCCATCCAGCAGAAGTGAAAATACTCCTGATCGATTTATTTTCTAGAAACTGGGATAAGCTCCGGCACAAATGGGTATATGCGCATGTCAGATATAACTTATTTTTCTCTCGCATAGATTTCAATGACTCACGAAAAGCTTTCCAAGCTTGAACAAGCCAAGGAACATTGGATGTTAGAATCTCAACTTTTGCAAGTAAAATATGAAAAAGAAGTCAAGGTTTGTCCCGCCTCTGTATCTACATAAATTAAGTTAATAGTTGAAATTCTCAAGGAATTGTATGGGCTTTAAAATTAATAGGATATTTTTGGTATTTTTCCGCTAAACAGTTCTATTGCAAACTAGGAATTTTATTTTATTTTTTCTTTCCGTATATTAATTTATTTTCGCAACCTTTCATTAGAAAGTACGAGATCTGGAGGAAGAGATAAGCAAACTTCAGACTGCCAAAGGAGTACTACCAACAGTAGACGGCCTGTCGGTAAGTGAAATTCTCTTTCTAATTGAGTTTCAAGTTGCTTTCATATTGGTTTTGTGTAACTTTATCAGTTTACGTTTTCACTTATGTTCTGTTCCAGTCTATCTCGGACGAAACTGGATCCATTTCATCACATTCATCATTGACGTCACATAGTTACGAGGTCCAGGCCCCGCCGTCTGATGTAGGAATTTATCTTCTGCCTTTAATTTGCTCCATTTTATTCTTTTGATTTTTGAGGACCTTCTGTTTTTCTTGTGGGCGCGTTGGCCAGCTAAGGCAGTGCGCTCTCTATTTCTATAGATTTAACATCTGGGAGGATACTAACTGCGTTTAAAGAAATAAAAATGCACCAGAGCTGTAAACTCCTAGATGCTAAGCAGAAAAAATAAAGAACGTGCACCCCTAGCCAAGGCAGTGGTGCAACCCTTGAAGTCTTTGGGAATCCAAATTTTAAGCCGTTCATTACAGTTGTAGGAATGTCGCTATACACAGGGTTTGATTCGCTAGGGAGCATTGATCGAACTGCAAGGTTGACCGTAGAATGTCCCAACGGTATAACAGTCGCAGTTTACAATCCCATAACTCTTTGTGCTCCTTCTACTCTCTCCCATGCCTCTCCAGTCAGAAAATAGGTAATATATGCTAATCTAGAATGATCTTAAATGACATTGCTAACTGTGGTGCTGTTTTACATTTCATTTGTGTGAATATAGCTTGGAGGAGTGGCGCTACTCAGCCAAGCTGAGGTAAGAACCAAATTTTGTCGAAATGAAACGAATTTCCGTGATTGAATATTCTTGTAAACGGTGCTGAAGGAATTGACGCCTTCTTTTCTCGTTGCTAAATTCAAGTTTCCTGTGACTTTTTCTTGTTTTGCTTCGGACGTTAGCCTGAGGATTTATTTTTACAGAAATAAAGTTACTTGTCACTATACACATTTTAACCCTTTACACCTTAACATCAGTAAGCATATTCTCCATACTGTTCTCTATACATTTCCTAAGGTGCTGACAAGGAGAATTTGTTTAACAATCATGAGCTCTTTTACTTGATGATCATTTCCTTTATTCCTGTGACCTGAATATGTGAATTAGAAGTGATCTTGTAAGGAGAAACTAAGTGCTTATCACTCTTAGGGTTTAAAGGGTTTAGATGAAATGACGATATACTTCTCTGGTTGGTCGTGGCTAGAAGGAAAAGGCCGCTAATACGCATGCGCTGGTCACGGTGAATACCGCGGACAACCTCAATGTCTTGCGCTGTTTCTGGGATATTTTACCCAAGATTTTTAAGAAACTTTTAAGTGACCTGCTTTTTTCAATGCAATTTCAGGGAGCAGAGGAAGTAACAAGGGAAACACTGATCAAAAATCATTTTACACAGAGAGTAGCTCAGCTTACTTCACAGGTAAATTACTAAAATAACAAATTGTTAGTTATTTTGGCGCAGAATACTCTGCAGTTATAAGTTGGGAGGGGGAGGGGGAGGGTAGAGAACTCAGTGGCCTAGCGGTGAGCACGCCGAATCCCGAGTCAAGGGGTCTGGGTTCGAAACCTGGCAGGGTCACTGTGTTGTGTTCTTGCGCAAAACACATTACTCCCACAATGCCTCTCTCCAGCTAGGAGTATAAATAGGCACCAACAGGCTGTCTGGGAAACCCGGGAAAATGCTGGGGGCTGAAGGGTTGGAGGTAACCCTGCAATAGACTGGCTCATCGTCCAGGGTGAGAAGCAGTACTCCTGATCGCTTCATGTTCCAGAAGCTGGGAAAATATTCTTCCCCTGGATTTTAAAGAAATATGGATTGTTTGTATTTTTCTTAGGTACAATTTGCTGAGAGCAAGACTGTATCCATAAGTACAGAGGTAAACAGCTTCTCAAGTCTTCTGGTTTTATTTTTTGCTCCGACGAAGGGCTATCGCTCGAAAAGTCAGCTTTGTAACTCTTAACGGTGGCCATCTATAATACAAAATTACCCTTGTTATACACTTCCACCGACGCAGCACCACAGTTTCTTTAGAAACTTACTCCCTTAAATCAGATTTCGATTGTCTTAGGCACGGGAAATCGGCTGCAATCAAGTTGTAGCTGGCTTTAGTTTTCATGTGATTGGTCGAGAGGGTGGTGAGTTTTCTTGCCCAATCACGAGAGAAGTAAAACTAACCAACGCAATTCACTGTGGTTTCCTTGTTACACTAGGAATGAAAGGAATGATCTACATTGGCCAGGATTTTTTTAATTCAGTTTATAACTTAGCGCTATACTTATTTAGTTACTCTTTTGTTTCATTTGCGTTGTCATTCATTTCTTTTTTAATCAGTGCCGCGCTCTGTACCGACGCATGAAACAGGCTGAAAAGACAAAACAAGAACTCGCGAAAAATCTCAAGACTGCAACCTCCAAAGTCAGCCAACTAGAGGTGAGTTAAAACTGGCAGTAAACGCCTCTGAGACTGTTCATGTATCGGTGTATCGTGAATTAGTTGTTTGTATGTTTTACCGCCACTATGCGCGTTTGTATTCACTATTTTCCCGCCACTAAACTCGTTTACGTTCGCTACTTTCCCGCCACTAAGCGCATCTGTTCACTTTCTGCTTCTAAACATCTTTATGCTTATTGTGTTCTCGTACTAAACGCGCCTTTGTCAACTGTTTTCCCGCCTTTAAACGCATGTGTGTTCACTGTTTTCCCACCAGTAAGCGCGTATTTTCACCTTTTCCTGCAACTTAATGTCCGTATGCTCACGGTTTTCTCGCATTAAACGCGCCTTTGTTGATTGTTTTGTTGTTACATTCACTGTTTTCCCGCCTCGAAACGCGTGTAAGTTCACTGTTTTCTCACCAGTAAGCGCACCTTTGATGACTGTCTTCCCGCCTCTAAACGCTTGCGTACTTGCTGCTTTCCCTCTTCTTGACGCGTTCGTGTTCACCGTTTTTCGCCATTTGAACGAGTGTGCTTACATGTCTCCCGCGTATTTTTTAGGACGAGGTGGAGACAATCAAGCGAAGCTACGAGACACAGTTATCAATGATGAGCGATCATTTGTGCGGAATGAATGAGAAGCTCACCTCACAGCAAGACGAAATAGAGTCCCTTAAGGGTAGTAAGGCGAAAAAGGGAAAACAGCGGTGACGAAGAGAGATTATATTTTCAAATAGAGACAATAATATTGTGAAGAGGAAAAGATTGCGGAAGGTTTTATTGATTTATGAAAGACAGATTTTAAAAATGGCCATCAAAATTTATCAGGAGAGTTATTAGATCCGTGATGCCGTATAAGCATTCCTAATAGTAATAATTTGAGCTCTTATAAATTTTTTTTTTATAAGTGCTTAAAACAGTAGGATTTGTAACTATTTTCTCGCAGTTTTTCCATCTAGTGTCTGTGATGTTTTTCCTAACTTTCTGTTATCTTTCTTTTAAGAGAATATTTCTCCACGGACAAGCTCTCTCTCGAGTCGAGTAAATTCTTTGCAAAAAATTCTCATTTCCCCGAATAAACGAACGTCTTACTCAAAACAACAGTTACCCCCTGAGCGTTACACAACAGTGTTTGAGCTTTGTTTTGCTTTTCCTTTTTGAGCTATGTACCAAAATCACTTTCATCTATGGAATATTATGTACTTGTTGACTGAGTAGGAGGGCTGGACGGGTCAAAATAATTGGCTGGAGGTTATGACTTCGCTCTATCCATGAATCATGGCCGAGAGCCAAATATTGCCTTTCGGCCCGATCAAACTCAGTCAGTCAGCATTGAAAATTTTAGGAGAAGTTGCTTGTTGATCATCTGTGAAGGTTAGGGCTGTAAATCAGTTACACCAATAACGAAACTTCGGGTCAGTTGATGATAGCTTTAACAAGATCGTGTCAACAATCCTGTAACTTTGAACAGCTTTGTAAGAAATTTTTGTATTAGAATTCTACGGATACTCAGTAAAACTTGATAATTTTTTTTAATTTAATGGTCGATGTAACTTGATAGTGTATGTCAATGCAACCACTCTTGTTTGAGAGTTCATATCGTAACAACCCTCCCCTCCCCTTCCCACTTTTATTTAGAACTGTACCTCGCAAACACCAGAGTGCATGACCAAAGCCTACGAAAAAAGCTGGTTTGGGAATGATAAAGGTGAAGTGCATGGACTGAAAGAAAAACGCTGCTAAAACCTCGGCTTATAGGAGATTTACCAGGCTTATATTTATCCAGAAGAGATTATTTGATGGGCTTACAAGAGCTGAATAATTTTTTTAATCATGTAAAGGACTCTATGAAAGTTACTGCTTACAGATAGCTTCAACTGAGTGCAATAATTCAAAATAAATGAAACCATCAAAGCATTAGGATATGAAACACTTAACTGATGCTATCATCTTTAAACTAAACCATATAAACGAGAACTTTATACAAGTAAGTATAAGTACGAATGAAAACGACGTTAAAAATAACCTCTCAAATTAACAGTTATTACAGGATTAAGTTGTATCTCTCCTTTCAGAACAATTGAATTGAATGTAAGCTCTATACTCACTTTCGCTATTATTCCCTCTCCTAAGCAGTAAAAACCATTGGAAAAAAAATTGAAAATAACCTCCAGTATTAGTTATTTTGGGGAAAAAGCGCGATGTCGAAAATTTACAACATCTCGCTATGTTTTGAAATGTGCTGCCCTACACGCAAGTTCAGAGCAACGTATGCGATAAACCGTAAAGGTGTTAAATTAAAATAATGAAATCAGTGTTCTCTTCAGCATGTCTTCTGATGCATAAACAAAGTGAATTTGAGTGAAATATAGACAAAAAGACCAGTAATTGATGAATATGGATTAAAATCAGTATTAACCTTTTAACTCCCAAGATCTCACTAGTAATTCTCCCTTCTGTCTGCCAATTGATTATCATTAAGTTTGTTTGGAGAATTTGGTAGCGGATCAATGAGTAATTTTACAATTGATATTTTTCTTTAATCTCATCACCTGTTTACATGATGTTGTATAGATATAGGAGAAATTTTGTCTTGGTCACTCACGGGATTTAAAGGGTTTAGGTTATTCTTGTAGAAATTAGTTCTCAACGAAGTTGCACTGCAACTGTTTCCTTTTCACTCGTCATTCGCTTGACGCACGCTATGGATTTAGGACTTTCTACTTCAAATAAACATCTTCCCTCCAAAAGTAATCGGAGAGTTAATTAGAATGATTAAGCGCATTAGCCTGATCGAAGCCAAAATGAACCGAAAAGAGGAATAATCGATCAGAAGTTGTATGAAGGCTTTTAAAAGGTTTTTCAGGAAATTTCTGAGACAGCGTTTTGATAGACGATATATTTCTATTCTGTTAAAAATACTGAAGGTTTTAGAGAGAGTCATGCCATCTGATAAACAATTTGGAATCTTTTGATACGAAATTGTTAACTGACGGAGTAACCAGCCTATGTAAATAGCGACGAAAGTTGTCTATCGGTAAGATCAGTGATGAGATCAAATAGAGCCGCCTTCAAATAAGTTTCTAAATCTTTAACCTTTGATTGAAAGAAAAGGTGCATTTAAATACAGAATCTTGGTAAACGAAAGTACGAGAGGAAGTAATTTCCGCATCGAAAAAAGATAGTGGCAATCAAAATTGAAATTTCTTTTAATCGCCCACGCTTTAAACAAATAGTGAAACCAAGTTAAACGTGATGTTTACTCGATAACTAAATTTCTCCATTCTCGCTTTAAAGGCCTCGTTGCGAAGCAGCGAAAATGACAGCTGAGGCACATGGTTTCCATTTACAATTGCGTTAAGCGCTGTCAGTCAAATGGAGCAAGACGCTCAGTGATTGGTCAATTTCGCGAAGCCATTTGAGTGCTTCTGTAAGCAGCTGTCCTCTCGAACTTAGCGTTTGTCATGAAAAGGGAGCTCGTGGATACGAATGCGGCGTTTGGTAGGAGTAAAAAAATGATTTGTGAAAGTAATCAGACGACAATTCAAACGTAATGACGACCATGACATTCCATCGGGGACAAATGGAGTATATACAACCGCCGCAGAATTCTCAGGTAAATGGAGTGCACCTTTTGTGAAGCATTCTGATTTGCAACACGGTAAATGTACTCAACTTTTCAAACTCACACCCCTTTTCCTTGTGCCCGCCCACCAAACGCTTTTAATCGACAGGAAATCCAACCCTCTCCTCTGGCCCTGCTAGCTGCGACTTGTAGCAAGATCGGACAGGGATTTGAAGCGCCTCAGAATATCCTACAAGCGCCGATCAACCAACTAGACACACACCAAGAGTTCGCGACCTCGTGGGTTTCGGAACAGAACGGATCGTCGCATACAAATGACGATGTTTACAACTCCAATACACCAAACGTTCTCCAAACGCAAAATCACTCCAACACGGGTCTATATGCCTCCATAAACCAGGTGGAACAAGGCCAGATGTATTATGCAACCGTTACATCAAGTCCTGTTGTTCTTTCACAACAAGGACTTGTAACAAACACCGAAGCCAGCGTTAATCTCGCATATACTCCGGAATACGACTTGTCTAAAACGGTAGATGGAGTATGGACGGTTAAATCCGACTCAGGAGAAACTAACACTGCGATCGGAGCACAGTGGTGGCAAGGAAAGCCTTTATCTTGGGCTAAAAGCACAAGTAGTCCTTCGCATCAATTTGTAGTGTCGCCTTCGTACTCAACAACAGTGGGAACTAGCGACGCTGGTATGTCTATTATTGAGCAACAGGGACAAGAAGCGGCAGTTGACAACAACGCACAGAATCCTGCCTACGTTCAAGTTACAAGGACACCACAAGGGCAGATTATTTTAACTCAAGAAAGCTCAGAACCGAATAAATGGCTCTCCACTGGAACGGTTAACGTCATCGCTGCCGCATCAAACGCCGCGAACGGAAATGCTGCTATTCAGGTACAGGTTCATCCAGAATCTCCGCAAGATGCTCAAAATGTCAGCGTTAATGTTGGACAAGGGAGCAATCGGCGGCTTCGACGGGTCGCCTGTACTTGTCCTAATTGCAGAGAAGGTGAAGGAAGAACAGCTGATGGTCGTAAACAACACATCTGTCATATTCCAGGCTGCGGGAAGGTTTACGGCAAGACATCTCACTTGCGGGCGCATCTGCGCTGGCACACGGGTGAGCGCCCATTTGTGTGCAATTGGCTATTTTGCGGAAAACGATTCACTCGATCCGACGAGTTGCAACGCCATCGAAGAACTCATACGGGCGAAAAACGTTTTGCGTGTCCAGAATGCGGAAAACGTTTTATGCGAAGTGATCATCTGTCAAAGCATGTACGGACACACTCAAATGGAAGGCCAGTCAAAGGAAATGGCGTGATGAGCTCAGGAGAAACCATCGCTATTCGGCCGATCCCTCAACAAGAAATTTCAAACTTGCCAGTAATTGAACCACGGCCTGAGGAGATCAAAACTAAAGTGGAAAGTGATCGTTCGGCAGTTGTGGAAGTAGATCTTCCAAATGTTGCGGTCGCCGTTGAACAGAATCAATTGAGTGAGAATGAATATTTTACGGGCGATGCGACAGAACACTATCTAAACGATATGAGTGTTGCTCACGAATTCGTTGCAGTTCGAATGGATGGAACTCCGGGTACAGCTATTTTAGTACAAGCACCAAACTTAAACATTAGTCAAGGTGTTTAAAGAAATAGAGAAGAAAAAAAAACTGCAGTACACTGATAATCAGTTCTTAGAATGTTTAATTCTTTTTTAAATTGAGAAAATGCTTCGATGTAAAATTGGCAACATTTAGTTCAACATATTGTAAATTTCAAACATGTGGCAAAAATCTCTAGGTTTTTAAGATTTGTGGAAAGCTGAAATAGAGTGATCTTTCGATTTAAGATGTGCAAGATTTTCGTGCCTCGATCGAGTTAATCAAATTGGATCGAATCCAATTTGAATAGCGTTGTGTATATTATTCAAATAATCTATATATGTATGTGTGGGAAAGCAAACTTTAGTTTGCGTTGTCTTAATTGTGGTGAAGTAAATAAGAAAATTCTAAAATTACCACACCAGTTAGGTGTCTATATATGATGGGATTTGCTACCCTCTGTTGTTAAATAATCTACTGGATGTATGATTATATTTTTACAATTCAATCTGACTTTTTTAAGGCCTTGTAAGTTATTGAATTATTTATAGCTGCTTGCATGTTTCACCCGAAATTGAAAGGAATTTTAATATCATTTTTAGTTTTCATGAAAAAATTATAATCGTAGCTCTCTTCATAGCATAACAGAAGTCTTGCCTAAGTGACTTGTACAGAAAACAACAAAGATGGAAAATTAGGATTTTTCTAAAAGTTACTGGCTTTGAATGAGAATGATCTTTGCAAGCATTATGCATAACTTTTTTGAAAATGTATATTTGTACAAAGAGGAAGTTATATTCTGACCAATCTATTTTTATTAAACTTAGTGAAGGAATTTATGACATTGTATTGAGATATGTAGTTGATTTAAAAACATTCACAACAATCCCAGTGGAAGCTTTTGTTTCATTTCTATGTTGTGAAACAGGTACTCAGTGGGTGAACATTCCAAATTAACATGTTCACTCTCAAGATCTCACTAGTAATTCTCCTTACTGTCTGTGATACAATTATTATGGTGTTAGTTTGGAGAACTTGGTATTGGATCCACTAATAATCCCCTAATTTATATTTTCTCCATTTTCATCACTTGTCTGCTTGATATTCATTGATATTGTAGGGAGAAATTCTGTGTTGGTTACCTGTGGGAAATTAAGGGTTAATTAAGAGCCCTACTAATCTGTAAAGCAGTCTTTCTCTGCCAATCCATTCAAAACCAATACACTTGATGTGTGATGTCAGAAGGTAGTTGTGTATTGAATTAATATCCTGCCATCTTAAAATTCTCATCCAGCCTCTCTTATACAAGTTATTGTTGGCTTCTCTTGATTTGTCTTGCGCAAAAAAAAAACAAACAAAAAAACAAAATTAAAGAAAAGAATGAGTAAGCAGCATGCTGCTCCTCTCAACTTTGGGGCTGGAAGTCTTCAATGCAGTTTTGTCTAGTTCACTCTTTCCTGCAACTTTGTTATAGTCATAAGTACATGAAACTTGAAGATTGTGGTATTCTCTTATGTAGCCTAATAGTGGCCTACTGTGTGGTGTACTGGACTCCAGGTAAAGTGGTCTGGGCCTGAGACCTGGCGGATGTTGTGTCCTTGGACAAAATACTTAACTCTCCAAGTGCTTCTCTCCACCTAGGAATGTAAATGGGTACTGGCAAATGGTCGGGGAAGCATGGGGAGAACCTTGAGATGGACTAACATCCAATCCATGGGAGGGTGTTGATACTACTTGTTGCTTCATGCTAAGGAATCAGGGAGAAGCTCTGGCTGGGTAGGCCTCTTGGCCGAAGTGTAGACTTCACCATTATTTTGTGTAGCCTACAGAACAGTTGTGATGTTTCTATGTTTTGCTGGAAATGAAGGTAAGCTCAGAGGTTGAGTGATGCTCTCAAAGTGCATGTAACCATTTGGGAAAAAATTTATACCTAGAGTATTGACCAACTTTTTAGCAGACGGACAGTGAGAAAAACAAGTTGAATATCAATCAGGGGTTACGTTAACCCTTTAACCACTAAGAGTGACTAGCATCTAACTTCTCATTACAATATCACTCATGAATAATAATACCAACCTTCAACCCCTAAGAGTGACCAGCAATCAATATTTCCTTTAAATAGTATTACCCATGAATCTTGTTAAGGTCACAGGAGTAAAGGAAGTGGTCACCAACTAAAGAAACTTGATTGTTAGACAAATTCTCCTTATTGGAACTCAAGGTGATGTATAGAGAACAGTATGGAGAATATGTTGGGTTGTAAAGGGAGCAAAATTCTTCTTGTTTATATGAAAAGAAATGTTTAAAAAACAATATAAAGAATTTTCATTCAGTTGAAACCTTTTTCTTCAAATTACCCCATTCTTTGAAACCCACCCATTTTCCACTTGGCTAAAAGGAAACGGAGAACAGTACCATACAGTCTACAGCTATGTATTTTAAGTGAATACACACAATGAGTTGTGGCTAGAAATAGACATTTGAGAATCAGATATTGACTGAGAATTATGGAAGCTTAAATACTTATGCCTTCTGACTAAATGCGAGACAAAGAAAGTAGAAATGGACTCAGGAAAACAAAATTGAATTAACTACAAGTAAAGCTGATAAAATTACCTTTGCATTTAGTTTCTCATCCAATAACAGTGAAGAATTTCGTAACCTTTCGGCTGAGTGGTGGATTCGATCCAGTGATGTTACAAGTTACACTGTATACAAAAATACTTAAGCTCGACATAACATTTTTACAGGTGAGGCTGCTTGGTATGTCGCGTTACGCTCTGAATGTTTTGTAATACTCCTGCAATGATCCTTTATATCCTGCTCATGTGTCAGCCATTCTGGCGCAATTCTTTGTGTCGTAGTAGCGATCGAGTTAATTTAAAGACCAAGGAATGTTTTATTTTCGCAACTTTCTTGCAAAAAATCGAGCAAAATTTGTGACCTCTCTCAAGCTTCCCCCCTTATTGTCTGCCGGCGTCCATGCACCAAGATAAGTCAACAGGTTACTTCTTTGGGTGAACACTGTTGCCTGTTTGATCGCTTTCCTGACGTTGTCGTGACCTTTCGGGAGTTGATTCTCGCTCTAATACTTCTGCCCCTCAACCTTCTTGTTCGGTCCTGAAGCGTAAATATGCCACTCAGCCAGCAGATACTGATCGTTCTTATAAATATTTTAAACGATCTTTATTACCAAAATCTTTGGCTGTGTTACCTAGTGATCCAAGTATAAGAATACGTTTCCAGTTGTTTGCCGATGAACGGACGGCTGTTTCTAACGGTTGTATTTGTCCTGCCTCATTCGTAAGGACTCCCCGCGGCTGGATTTTTCCCCTCTGCAGCAAGCCATCGAGACCCAGTTCAGTAAAAAGATTGAAGCTAAGTCTTTAGTCTCTATCCTTTAAATTCACTCGCCACGGCTGTCCACCAAGTTACGTAATTCTCCCGATCATAGTCCCTCGCGAGTGCCTCCGCTTCGTGATTGTTCCAAGAAATGATCGGCACCACACCATTCTCCAGACATTTATCGACCACGATTGTCAAATTTCTAAGAAACCAAGTGAAGTTGATAGCGTCACAAGGTGAAACATATAAATATATAATAGAGAAGATATCTACTATGTTTTGGCCTTTATAATGAGACAACGGTAATTTTTAAACAATTTGTCGAGAAGCCTCGCCCAGCGACTGCGGAAATACGGGCTGAGAGAATTTCATGAACGAAGAACTCAATGATCTCTCTGATTTTCTCGAAGTAACTAACGCGGGAGTAACTGCTACAGCGTAAACCACAAAAATACAGGCTGCGATCAACCCCATCTTTTGTTTGGTGTAACTTGCCATTTTAGAGTAAATATTTGTGCATCAGTTCTCAAAAACGGAAGCGTCTAGACTTTCACAATTTGCATACTCGAAGAAAATGTCAAGTGAATGACAGCTGATGTTTTAAAATTTAACAGGCTGTTTTCAATCTTGAATTAAAAAATTTCCTGCATTCAGGCTAATCCAAATTTTTGCTGCGTAAGTATTTCTTGATTGGTGTCTGTGGAGTAAACCTTCCATCAGATGACGCGGGTGATCAATGAGTCACGCGATCAAATTCGAACAGTTTTCAATCATTTAGCAACGCTCTAAAAAATATATGATTTACTTGTGTCGTTCAGATTAGGGAAAAGATAGTGAAGACATTCAATTAAACCCTAAACACCTTTAAGAAACGCGTGTTTCCTTAACTTAAAAATACCTCGCAGATTTCCCGCCAATTTCAATCAGCTGAGCATGGACCAATCAGAATGCGGATACCTTCCTTGTCGACAGCAATCTGTTCATAGTCTCAGCGGCGTACAAAACTGAGTATGCGCTGTGATGTTACTCCGCCATTTTGCCATTGCACCAACAGTAGTAACCGTTGAGGGCAGGTTGTTTTTACGGTATTTTTCTGTTTCACTCCGGCTAGAAATGCCCCCTAAAAAGAAGGAAGAAGAAAAACCTACGCCTCTGATGGGCCGATTTGGAACCTCACTGAAGTGTGGCATCGTGGGGCTTCCGAACGTTGGGTGAGTGACTCACGTGGGAGATGGAACATTTGATCGGAACACTCGATCTTTTATTTGATTTAGACGAAGCCTGTTATTTATACACGTGTACTTTTCAGGAAATCAACATTTTTCAATGTGCTAACGAAGAGTGCAGCAGCAGCTGAAAATTTCCCCTTCTGCACAATAGGTCAGTATAAACTGATTTCGTTTGAACAGATTTTGTAGAACGAACTGTTATTTGTAATAATACCATTTTAGATCGAAACGCCCTCAGCATAGGACCCTTTTTTCCAAATAGACAAGGCACATCTGTCAAATCACAGCTCTTTTGAAAAGACTGAAGAAATTGTTATCATAATCGGTCAAGCCTCTGACCTCTTAAAGTGACTAACATCAAATTTCTCCTCACAATATCACCCCTGATTCACACATTAAGGTCATGAGAATAAAGGAAATGATCACCAACTAAAGTAGCTCTTGATTGAGAAACTAATTCTCTCTGTTAGAACCTTTGAAAATATATACAGAACAGTATAGAGAATATGCATAGTGATGTTTGGATGTAAAGGGTTAAGGCAACCTTAAAACCTTATAAAATGTTTGGGGGGGGGGGGTGAGGGCTGGTTAACCTGTGCATGCAGAAGACTAAACATCTTGGCCCAGTTGTATGAAGGTCAGATAACGCTATTCAATGGATAAATTCCTATCCAGTAGATAAATGATAGGAAAACGTACAGTGTTATCAACCATATCTAGTTTATATCCAGTCAATCACATTATCCAACTTTTGAATAACTGGGGCCTCATCTTTAGAAAGGAGATTTTTTATTGTCACTTAACTGATCAGCATAAAACATTTAACATCATGAAAACTTGACAGTTGTCATATGTATTAAAAAATTTTTTTTTGTTCTTTTCTTTCAGATCCTAATGAAAATAAGTATCTTCTCTTTGTTTAGTTCTTGATAATTTTAAGGTGAATTTGATAATAGTAGGATGATGAGACCATCTCAAAAGACCAAAAAGTTGCTGTATATTTTTGATGTAGAAAAACAAAATTTTTGCCTTCAGGATTAACCTTCCCACTTGCAGCGGTGACCATTATGTGATTTCTCCTAACAATATGAGTGGATTTTATACCAGAAAAGTGTTGAGAAGAAAGAAAAACACCAACTTGAGAATACTATTTGATTGTGCACCAATTCATCAAAGGTAGAATTTCATAAAAAAAATTAATGTCCCTTTCTTATGGCAATTTCAACTTGATGTTGAAATTAATCTTTGATTTCATGGATTTGACTCTTCTACACTCTGCTGTTGGGTCTTAAATTTAAGTCACTGCCAGCAGATAGTATTCTTTAAATCATAGACATGTTGGTGAAGAAAGATAATTCTTTAATTTTTTCCTTTCTCTCTTGTACGTCGAGTGGCAGTTCCAGATGTGAGATGGGATTTTCTATGCGATTACCACAAGCCAGCGAGGTAGGGAGTTTTTTTTTCATAATCCGTGATAGAGTTTGATTCTAATGATGTTTAAATAGTTGAAGGTTCAGAGTAAGATTTCAAAATTGATCTAGTAGAAAGATGTATCAAATGATTTACTGTATTGACTCTTTCAGCAAAGTACCAGCTTTCCTCCATGTGACAGATATTGCAGGTTTGGTTCAGGGAGCACATGAGGGGCAGGTTAGAGTGATGAGAATTCTGTGAATTTGTCAAGTTTTGAAAAGTGATTGTATGTCAGTTAGCCACAAGCTGAAAAGGGGATTATCATGCTTATATTAGTGACTGTTTTGTTTTTTTTAGGGTCTGGGAAATGCATTTTTATCACACATATGGGCATGTGATGCAATCTTTCATATGATTCGTAAGTAACAAACTAGATGTCATTTGGGAGTCATTTCAAAATGATGACCAATTCAGGGCTGTGGTCTAGCAGAGCTCAGGTGCCTCAGGCAACCAAATTTTATCTTAATGGGCAACTTGCAAAATTTCATTTTTGTAAAAGCTGGTGAGAGCTGGCCACCCCAGATTCCTTAGATGATAAACTCTGGGCACCCTGTAAATCTTCTAAGACCACAGCCTTGCAATTTCATGTCAAAAGTTTTTATGAAAGTTTTTTTTCTTTATTTTATACTTGATCCACTCTTTTAAGTAGCCTCTAGTTCAGTTAGGTTGCTTAATTTGAAAAATAAATCAGAACAGAACTATACTTCACAGCTATGAACACTACTGAACTGGTAGTTGAAATAAGACCTGAAAAAAAAAATTCTAGCCTGTATGGGATTTGAACCCATGACCTCTGCCATACTGGTGCAGTGCTCTACTGACTGAGCTAACAAGCCAGCTGGGAGCTGGTCATTATGTTGGGTCTAAATAAACCATCCAAGTGATGAATAATGATTGTAGATGTATGAAAATCATATATGTTCTCAGCAGTGAAGAAAAGAATATAGGAGATCCTCGCAGCCATGAACACTACTGAGCTAGTAGTTGAAATAAGACCTGAAAAAAAAAAATTCAGGCCCGTACGGGATTTGAACCCATGACCTCTGCAATACCGGTGCAGTGCTCTACCAACTGCATTTCTTCACCGCAGTGCACATATATAATTTTCCTTTATCTTCCATCATTAGAACTATACTTATTTAAAGACCATAATGATTATCGTAATGATAATAGCAGTATGATACATGAGTATGAAAAATTGTACTCTTTTTAAGGGCTGTGCTCTCATTTTCATCAACCCTTTAAACCTGGAGTTTGAGTGACCGGCATCTGATTTCTCCTTACAGTAATACTGCTAAATCATTCATTATGATCATGAGAATAAAGTAAATGGTTGCCAAGCTAGGAGGCATTGATTGTTAAGCAAATTCCCCTAGTTAGTACAAAAGAAAATGTATAGAGAGGGTATGGCGAAAATGGATACTGATGGTATCAAATTTACTTTAAGTGGTCTAGGTAATTTAGTGTTAACAACTGAGTTGAAAACGTAAATTAGCTACCATAAAGAGTAAAAAAGCTGAAGTTTTGAACGTTAGCCCTTCGTTAGAGCCAATGGATTTGATTGCAATCACTCTGATGAAGGGCTAATGCTTTTCAACTCAGTTGTTAGCACTAAATTACCTGCTATACTCTCCCTCTGACACAGCACCACAGTTTCTTTAGAAACTTACCCCTTTATTACTTTAAGTGGTGTCTTGCTTCTCTCCAGGTGCGTTTGAGGGAGAAGATGTAACTCACGTAGAGGGTGATGTGAACCCCATACGAGACTTAGGAATCATCTCTGAGGAATTAAGGAAAAAGGTAAACTCAAACAATAACATTTATTTAAGAGCCAATTACAAGAGGTAGATAATCAAGTTTGTTATATTGCTTTTTCAGTGGTTAAAATTTTGTTTTCTTTTCTTAGGATGAGGAGTATCTCAAAGATAAAGTGGTTAGTTGTAACTGTTTACTTCCAATTATTGATTGCTTAACCATTTACACCCAAATTTCAGTATGCATAATCTCCTTACTGTCCTCTAAACATTTCCTTTTTTTCTGACAAGGAGAATTTGTTTAACAATCAAAGGCTTCTTCAGTTGGTGATCATTTTCTTTATTCTCATGACCTTAATGTGTGATTTAGGGGTGATATTGTAAGGAGAAATTAGATGCTGGTCGTTCTTAGCAGTCAGAGAGGTTAAATTTTGATTTTTTCAAGAAATTACAAGAGACTCAGTGAAATGAAATTTGGGAAGGAAATGCATAAAAGATATTTCTAATTTCTAAATGCAATTTTTACTCCTTTTATCTCTTTTTCAGAACAGTATGGACAAAACGGTTGTCAGAGGAGGCGACAAAAAGAGACTAGGAGAACTTGTATGTTGATAACTATTTTGTAATTATTTTATTTAAAATTTATGATAAAAAATATTTTGATTAAACCTGAACTATAATTTTATTATTTTATAAAGTAGACTGTGTTTCCTTACCTTTCTTTATCTCTTCTCTTTATTTTTTTAAATAATTTTTGCCGTGAGAATCAATTTTTCTTTCAAAGAAAACTCGCAAGTACTGTTCCCATTTATTATCCTGTTAAATTTTTGTAGGAAAGTTTGAAAAAAATTTACCACTGGGTTTCTGAAGAAAAAAAGCATGTCAGATTCGGAACTTGGGCTGCCAACGAAGTAAGTATGTTATATCATCATCCACAGCAATTTTATTTGTACCAAAATTTAGTGAGTGGTGCCATTTCCAATTTCTTCAGGCATTTTGCTTTTTATGATAATCATGCATTGTCTTTGGTGTCATAAGTTTTTATCTATTAATCTTTTTGCACCCATGAGTGATGAGAATAAAGAAAAATATAAATTAGGGGATTATTAGTTGATCCAATACCAATTTCTCAGAACTTGTATTATAAGAATTGTATGGGAGACAGAAAGGAGAATTACTAATGAGATATTTGGATCGAAAGGGTTAACAGTTTATAGGAGTTTTGAAAAGGTTTTCAATGCCACAGAAAAATTTACACTCCCAGACACATTTGTTGGGGACACCTACTGTCTCCCCTGCTCCCCTCCTGCGACTCTGAAAGTTGTTTGGTGAGAGAGCATTAAGGCACATTGGCAACAACATTGAAAGGGGGAGAATGATAAGGACGATGTTCTAGAGAAGTGTCCTATCCAATTATATATGTCAGGGATTGTAGCTCAAATCCATGTAAAATGAAGTCCTTTTGATTTCATCAGTCACTTCATTTTCTATAGGTATGGAAAACTTTGTTTCAAGTAGTTTACCATTCAAAAATGTTACATAACTATTAAGTATTCTTTCAAATGTTGTGCAAGTTTACAAAATGTAATTTGTTTCACACTCAGTTATTTAGTTACTTTTTTTTTGAAAAATTGTCCTCATTAACTTAACAATTCCATGCGCGACGCCATTCCATGTCTATATCTGGATTGATTATGGAAAAAAATGATCTTGATTGCTTTCTTAATTTCAGATCGAAGTTCTAAACAAACATTTACTACTCACATCAAAACCTGTGATATATCTAGTGAATTTATCTGAAAAAGACTACATCAGGAAAAAGAACAAATGGTCAGTGTTTTATGTTCTTCAATATTATACATGACTCACGTACAAGCACTAAGGTGGCTTGGTTACGTTACGTCCACGCCTTTGTCACTCGCAAGTCATGGAGCGACTTATAATAATTTTACCTCAACATTTGACATAAACCCTCTTATTTTATATTTTAGGCTGGCGAAGATCAAAGAGTGGGTGGATAACAATGATAGCGGAGCTGTGATAATTCCCCTAAGCGGTGCTTTAGAATACAAGGTAACTCAAATAACAAAAATTTCCGTTGACTTTCACTCGCTATTGGTCACAGTGCTTTAACAAAATCCCAATTGTGATCTCGTTGGCATTGAAACTGTGTTGACTTTTCGCGGATTTGTGCGGATCACATGCTCAAAGGAGAAGTAAAATTCAGAAACCGTAAAATTTGTTTCTTTGCCGCTATAAAAGAATATTTTGGTATTTACTAGTTACGGCGTTTTGAGATTACAGTTACATCAGCGCTCGAAAATTTTTGAATATGTACGGTGCGCCCTTTTTGAAAACATTTTGCAAATGGTAATCTACGGAAGGCCAAGAGCCCTAAATCAGAATAACTTATTTTCCAAAACTTTTAGTTAAAACCCTTTTTTCCTTCTTTTGCTAAGCTTATAGAGTTGGGTCCTGAGGAAGGCGAGAAGTACCTGAAAGAACTTGGTACCCAAAGGTGAGCCTTAGTGGTAGGTTATCTTTTGAAAAAGTGTGGCTAGCTGCGTGAATTGTATGTAAGTCTCTGAAATGATTTCGAGAGATGACGTGTACCACGAACAGAAATATAAATTATCACAGATTGCGCCCAGGGCGAAAAATTGCGTATCCTTTGCTAAGCGCGGAAGGATTTGCAACATGTAACGAAAGCATAAAGATGCATCTTAGAGGACTCTCTGATTCCACGTCGTGAAACCAAAACTGACCAATCAGAGCAAAGTTTGAAAACACAAGGAACCAATGGGAGCTCAACTTATGTGTTAACAACTGCAAGCGCGGGAAAAAACGGGGAACCAAAATGAGTTTTGCATCTAATTGGTTGAGAAGCTTAGTTTCTTAACCAATTAGAAGTTAGTGGAGGAAGACAAATGAAATCCTGTGTTATTGTTGGTTCAAAATATAAAAAAATTGCTTTATGCTATCATCGGAACTATCGTTTTGTAGAACTATGACAAAATTGTTCCGATTTCGTACAAATAATTTTAAGAATTTTACATCTAGGGGCGATGAAATGATAAATAATTGCAACTCCTTCTGGCGTAGATGAGTTACTGTTTTTTTTTCTTTTTTTTTTTATTTCGTTACCAGTGCTCTGGCTAAAATTATTACAACTGGATTCAAGGCTCTTCAATTGCAGTACTTCTTCACGGCTGGAAAGGACGAAGTCAAAGCGTGGACGATTCTGGTGAGAATAAACTAATATCTCTTAAGAAAAAAAAGTTTCAGTCAAGTATATATTTTAAACTCCAATGATATCTGCGTTACAGACGAGCGCAAATATTCGTCATTTTTCAAGAAGAGTCAACCCTTTAACTCCTAGAGGTGATTATCATGTAACTTCTCCTTATCGTATTCCTACATTATAGAGCAAACTGTTAATGAGAATACTCAAACTTATCAGGTAGAAGTTGTTAACTTGGTCTAACACCAAATTCTCACAACTAATTACAAAGAAATGAGTAGCAGTTAGTGGGGAGAATTGACAATCAGATCTTGGGAGTTAAACGGGTTGAGGCTACAAAGACTCAGTGAGACTATTTAAAAGTTTAAGCTCAACAAAGCGCGAAAATTAGACGCCTTTCCAAATATTCAAGCAAGAAGATTTCAAACCATCTAACCTTCTCCCATCGCTAATCTCTGCTGAACAGTAAAGTGAATTGTTTGTTTATAAACGCAGTGGCGTCTGATTCAGAATCTGACAGTTTATTGCTTTTTTCCTCTGTAGAAAGGCTCTAAAGCACCTCAAGCCGCAGGGAAAATCCACACCGACTTTGAGAAAGGTTTCATTATGGCGGAGGTGATGAAATTCGACGATTTTAAAGAACTCGGTTCAGAGTCGGCAGTCAAGGTGAAATATGGTTGAATTAAAATTCGAAAATAACTTTACGAGGGTTTTTTGATTGAATGTCGTAAAAACGAAAACATAAATAATCACAACGAACAATCAGAAGGGAAATACCTTAAGAGCCAATGAGAACTATTAGTACAAAAACAACCAAATTGCCTTAAGCGCGGGAAAACGCGGATGACCTAACGGTTGGTTATAATTTCGAATCTAATTGGCTGAGTGAGTGGGCGTGAAGTGGCGTGAGTTTTCTGGACCAATCACAGAGCAAAGTAAAGCGAAACCAAAGCAATCATGGCTTACTTTGGACACTCAATTGAAAATAGCCCTAATCTTTGTCTCTCTTTTCTCCGTCTGACTGTTTTCATCTTAACTGGTTTTTTTTTCGTCCCTCAGGCTGCTGGAAAATACAAACAGGAAGGAAAAAATTATGTTGTTAATGATGGCGACATCATATTCTTCAAATTCAACGCTGGTGCTGGTTTAACGGAAAAGAAGAAGGCCAAATGATAGTTTATCACACAACTTAAATCGTCATTTATCATAGAAACATAAAATAATTTGTTTCTATCAACTAAGTCGATAGTGTAAATTGGTTATCGTAAAGGGTCTTTTAAGCTGATGTTTTGGGGGTTAGTGCTTCGACGCTTGAAACGCCAGCTTAAAAAACTCTTTACGGTGGCAAATTTACGTTATAAACTCAGTTGATAGACCAAATTATCTTTTTACACCCCTACTGACGCGACACCATAGTTTCCCTGGAAACTTACCCCCTTTATTCATAGAAACACTGGAACTGAGAACTTTCAGCAAAAATAGAAATATGATATTATTCCAAGACTCTAACTGAGAGCTTTCAGTTTTTGAAAGATGGAAAATTCAAAGATTTTCTGTGTCGAATCTTTTAAATTTTCTGATTAAAGGATTTGTAGTTGGCTGCAGTTGTCCCTCAAAAGTTGTGCCCAGCGCTCGCGTTAAGTTGCTCTGAAACGTGTTAACTCAGAATTCGATAAGCTTTTAGGTATTCGTCTTTTTTTAGGGAGGTCTAGGGACGCACTGCAACGACCAAGCTACCATTTGGAAAAATAAGATTTGAACGTAAACGAACACTTAGACCACTTACTCTAAAGTTGTGCGTGAGGTCGTTTGAAATTTTCTACATAAGGCATGTTAATCAAAATACCTTTGACAAAGAAAAGATACTGTTTTATCTGAACAGATTCTTTTATTTTATATAAAGGATTATCGTGTCCTTGCTAGCTCAGCTAAGAGAGAAGGACTCTGTAGCTTTGCAACTTTGTCACGCAACCTTCCGTAGCGAACTAGCTAGAAATCTTTAAGGGGAATTGCGTGACGAGTCGTTTAGAAAGATTTTATGACGAGTTAAAGAGGTTCTCAATCTTCTGTGCACGCAGTGTTTGTTTCAGGAGAGTCCAGCGTCATTTGAAGTTCAAGGAAGTTCTAAGCTTAAAATTCAAATAAATGAACCAAGATTTAAAAAAGGCGAAGTTTTTTTTATTGCATTCTGATTATTATAGCGGCCTGTTTGCCCCTTGCGTTCGCCGCACGCTTGCTTTGTATTGTTCCTTGCTTTTCCGCGATACATGTTTCTAGAAATCGCAGTACACAACGTTTAAAGAGAGACGAATTTTAATTTTTTGAGGTTTTTGATCGCCCCAAGAAAAAATTAGAGGCTGATAGAGGTGATTTCAAATATATCCAGAAAAAATATCGGTTTGTAAAATAAAGTGTGAGTAAGGAAGTAATTGTACCAGAAAAAATTTTCTGATCTTGCTTTGAGAACTATGGTTGTATTTGCAATATACTATGGGGAAAATTGCCCTAACATTGATTCTGAACACTTCAGCAGCAGCAGGTCTTTACGCGCGGCCAAATGTACCTATGAATCCGCCTACCATTCTTGGATCCAATGTAAAGATGGAAATATTTTTCTTTCCAATGCAGACTCTAGGTCGTTCCAAATGTTTAGAATTGTCTGCTGTGAATCGCCCGCACATGGACGATTTAGGTTTGAAACAAAATTGCAGAGGATATCTGCACACTGATTTGCATTGCTGACCTACATTCTACATTCCCGCCCAGATAGAAGAGAGCTGTTCATTGGTTGCTTCAATAGCAAATCTCCGACGCGCGTAAGTTCAAGTGTTGTTTGCTACTATGTTGCAAGTTTAACACGAAAGAGAGTTGCTTTTAAGGCCTTAATATAGAAAAATGTGGATAGCGTAAGGCAAAAACTTAGCTCGTTTCGCCTGCCTTAGCTTGCCCATGTAGTCAACAACTCCGAAGACCTGCAAAGAGCCAGGAATTCTTCATATAGAACCTGCCATATTGCACAGGAAGGGAAGGTATGTACGAAACCCGTTTTTCTGTTTTATTATGTAAGGGGGAAGTATCTTCGTGATAGTTCCGTTCAAACGCAAAATTTATTTTCCCGACACTCTATTCTTTCATTTGCTGCTTGTGACGGATAATTTTTGTGATGTGTTTCTATGAGTTTGCCTTTGTGATCAGAGCTCAAGGTCTGAATGAAATTCTTGGCTGGGTCGATGTGTTGTGCCTTTGGCAAGACAGTCTTTACTCTCATATTGCCTCTGACCACCCAGGAGTAACTGGATATCAGTGAATCGCCAATACTTCTACTCCCTCGCTGCTTCCATAGTTATGGCTAAAAATCACCATAGTCTTAAATTTTCCTTGTATACACATGTGAATAAATCCATGTAATGACACTCATCTTGCATTTTATTAAAGGAACCTACAGTCTGTTTTTTTGCCCTTTCACATGTAATGTAGTGTTGTGGTAGAGGTTGTTTACCTGTAATGATATGATATTTGATGATATGATAAATCCATGTGATAGTGGCTCTTTTGGGAAAATAGATGGTAAATCTAGGTATTCCAAGTTATTTATTTCAAGTGTACTGAATTGACTTTTGATATCAAGACCATTATTTTTTCTTTATTGTAATATATAGCATGAAGGTTCAGTATGAAGGTATAACCACTTTATGACAGATAATATTTCAGTCAATGAAAGGTATGACATTCTCTTTATTTATTAGATATTTAATATGTATCATATTTATTGTTTAAAATAAGCTCAGATAGTGATTAAGTTATACCATGGCAGCATGAATCAAAATAATTTTTAGTAATTTTTTCATGCCTGATATCACCATATTAATTAAAATCTAACTTTGTTATTTTGGTAAGTGGTGATGTTAATGGTGTTATTATTAAATGAGGTTAACCAGCCAGATTCATAATTACCTCATGTTAATGCAAGCTGGTTTTGCAAACTTTCCTTACAAGAAAACCCCTTCTGTGAAGGTGAACCTGTGTTTTAGAACACTCTGTTACATGTGCAACAAGCATGGGGTTAAAACATGCTTTCCTGCCTGTTAACCCTTTTATGACCTGAGATCAGTATGCATATTCTCCATACTGTTCTCTATACATGTCTTAAGGTGCTGACAAGGAGAATTTGTTGAAAAATTAAGAGCTTCTGTATTTGGTGATCATCTCCTTTATTCTCATGACCTTCATGAGTGGTTCAGGGGTGATACTGTAAAGAGAAATTAGATGTTAGTCACTCCTAGTGGTTAAAGGGTTAAGGCTACTGAAACTGCCATTTTTTCTGGTAAAAGTACTGATATTGAAAATGTATAGTCAAAAAGAAGAACAACAATGAAATAAATTTTCTATTTTAATTTATTGTCCAAACTTTAGACTAACTTATCAGCTACAGTCCTTTTTTGTTTTTCGAAACCAGATTCCTGTAAGAGACAGGAGTGGCCACTTGAAACAAAATCAATATTAAATATATCCTCTCATCATTGAGAAGCTTTTGACAGGTGTATGTACAACTCAGGACTTTGACAAATCCCTTTCATTTACTATTCAATGCTGTCTGTTGTGGTACATTCAGAGAATCTAACTTTCAGATCTGTGAATAAAACACCAGTAGGTGACCTTTCAAATTTTCAGCCATTGAGCAGTACAGTTTCTTATACTGTGCAAGGTGGCTCCAACTTTCAAGTCTGTGGAAAAAAAACAGAAATAGGGCCATTTATATGAAAGCTATTAAGTAGTACTTTCATGCGGTACTGTTAATTATGCTGTAAAAGGTGGTTCTTTCTTTTTTATATGGATAAAGCCTCAGTTTTTAACATTCATTTAAAGTATTTATAATAAGCAATACTTTCATGTGGTACTTTTTACAATGCTGAAATCTAGTTTGTGGCTATTTGTCATATGATAATTTTTGTTAGCCGATTGTATTTCCTTTTTCTTTAAGAAAAGCGAGAATGTGTTGAGCCAGCGACTACCACGCAGATTCTTTTCAGCTGTATGCTGCATTATGTTGTACACTAACTTTTCGTGTGCCTTACTCCCAGAGTTCTGCGCGGCGCGCTAACATCAATTTTTTTTTTCTCTGAATTTTTTTTTTACTCGCGCTTTTTTATGCGATTTTTTTAACTGGCAGACTTTGCCAAAAGACAGGGACTGCTTGTAGTCAGTCCATATACACAAGTTTTAACTGAAAGTCCATCGATAAAAGCTATTTCATACCCGTGATCTCTTTTCAAAATGAAAGCTCATAGGTAGGTAGTGAGTAGTAATTCGACTTTCACGTGACCCTGTATGTTTCTTTATTATCTTGAAAACCAAAGTTTTTCTCCACCGCTTGAGATTTACCGCGATATTTTTCAGGGCTAAATAATGTTTGAGAACTAATTAAAACATCTAATGATTCGCCGTTAAACTTCCCCTCCTGGAGAAGAAACACACAAAGGAAGTGAACAAGGGCACCAGTAAAAAAAAACAGAGGAGCAAGGATAATTTCTAAAACAAGGTGTTCGCGAGCCTCAACCTTGGGAGAATTCCAATGAATTGATAATACCGACCTGTTAATTGACTTTTTTTTTTTAAGGCAAGACTGATCACCACTGGTGAAAGAAAGCTTCACAGTAGTCATTATATACGTTACTGTTTGAAATTTCCATGGCTCGACCCAGTGATATCTGCACAAACTAAACTTTTCAGCTCAAGGGTTCTTTAAATCCTATTGTGAACAATATTTCCTCTTCAAACTTTCTCTTTACCATGTGATAACGAGTTTATTATTTAATTAAGCAGGTTATAAAGAGGAAAGGGTGAATACGCACAGGTGGTAAAAGTTTTCCTTCGGGGCTAATGCCTTTTCTGTCAGAGTTTCAAGACCGTTTTGATTTTGTGTCATGCAAATTAAGCCAAAGTGTTTTGAAAGTTTTGATTTACAACCTGCGTGAATCTTCTCCATCTTAACAATCCTCATTCGATCTTTGTTTATCACTCTATCTCTCGAGTGATTCTCCATTTTTAGAGTTTATAATTTTTGATTTTTTTTCTTCCAAATTTGACTGCACAGTTTTTAACGGCGCGATAAAAGCGGAATACCGCGACTTTCCGACGTTGAATTGACCATTTGAGGTTGCTGTGGAGGGTATTTGTTAAAAACTTGTGATGATGAAGTTTGGAAAGAAATGTTTGCATTGACTTCATTTAGTGATAACAGGCAAGACATTTCCACCGGTCATTCTGCAGTCTTAATAACAAAGAAATGGCTGGTTAACAGGGCTTTTCCTCTGTGTTCTGTGTTACTCAACACAATAACCAAATGATCTTATCAACAAAAATAACCTACAGTGATTCTATCGCATTATTTTCCCTGTTTCAATGCTTGCACGCTGTGGAAAAGGCGTCTGAAAGACGGAGCGCTCTTGCTCAGATACTCTTTGCATTTCTTCAGCGCGCCGCTGTTAAAACACCGTCATTGGATGTTTCTACGCGTTCGTAATAAGCGGTTACTCGTGGCTCCACAGGGGTCTCCCCGCCTTGGCGCCAAAAGCTATTTCGATATGAACAAAACACCGACCTCTGTTCCACCTTTGTTTAGCGGTTGTCGGTCGCTTTTAGTCGTGGCATTGTGGCCAAAGCGTTTTGCCCTGAGGTGTACTTGTTTGTTGATATTCCGTGTTGTCGTTTGGTAAGAAACGGTGTAGAAAAACTTGAATACCTCCCGACACTCTGACGTGGTGGTTTTCTTAAACTTCACTCTTCCGCCGGCTTCTTCGCCGAATTTTGGGTCAGTTTTACTCTAGTTGTTAAAATAACGAAGTTAAACGTGTGGCAAATGAGTTTTAATTTGTGAAAATTGTTTGAGATAAGACTTCAAAGATCAAGCTGGCCATTTTAGCTTTGTAACAAAGTTCTTTGAGGGAAAAAAAACCGATTTCCAGCTTGGTAAATCTCGCAAGAGCTGACTTTCTATTTTCCCAACGATCCTTAATAAAATTCACCCTATTTAAAATATAATTTCAGATTATACTTATTCAAACTTTGATCTCTCCACTTCTCCGACTAAAATTTTTCAATTAAGGTTGATTTACATTTCACGCTGTGTTGAGGTTCGATTCAATATTAAAGTTCTGATAATTTAACTTGACCTCATGAGTCACAAAGGAACGTCCTTCATGTTCTGATCGGAGTATCACGTTTTAA